GAACGCAGCCGCGAACAGTCATCGATCGTACCTTCTCGATTAGGACCTAAATGGATCCTGCCATGTAAATACTATTACTAAAGCTAGATTTTCAAGGAAAGGCGCGCGCGCGTAATTCCAGCAACGAACTCAAAGGCGAGAGCATCAATCCAACCTACGAGAACCGATGCGTGGAGCCAGCCTCCTTTTCAGATTTACAGTGAATTGGTCTACAGTTTGCCACCCTATTTAAATCTCAAACCATTTTATTTCAAGCCCCTTTCCTCAACATCAACGAAAAGGAGCCTTGGACTTCAACCAGACATAAGGTAAGCGTAACTCCTTCCATGCTACCTACCTACCTTATACGCCACATCCGAATCACGTCAAGACATCCACGAACACTTGGGACGGACACGACAAACTACAGCATTTCAGGTATGTGGTTCATGACACTTTCCTCGTGCAGTATACGGCGCCAACTTTTGAGATACCACATCAGATTCACTTTCACACACAAGAAGAAAGGCTACTCACTTCTTGCAGTACGTCTCTGTAGGACATGTGGACATATCTATCGCGCTATAGTGACGTATCAAGGAAAATACCTACTTACCACTATCAGCTCCGACAATCGACACCCCGTACACGTATGTCTAACCCAATCTCAATAACATGTCTGGGAATCAGCACCCTTGACCGACAGTTGTGAATTATCCACCAATACTTCACAGAATGCTTGCTTTTCTTATGTTTATTTCTTCTAACGCCTTGCTAATACCAGATTTACAGCTTTGATCAACTATGGCTAGTAACGCCTCTGGAACTAGCACTTCTTCTGCCCCGCCAAATTACAAGAAGGTCAGTACCATCCTCGCCAAAACATACTCCGATTTCATCATCTTTGATCAGACCTCGGTTGGCATGATCATGCCGAGAGCTCTTAGCCTACAACAGTCGATCTTCAATGGATGCAGTCGAATGACGATGTCTTTCTGCTTAGTTGCTGTTTTGTATCAGATAATAACTGTTTTGTAGGCCGGAGTATTGAGCGAAACTTCTATGAAGACACGTACAGCTGCCATTGTAGCAATCCAAGAGGTATGGGGGGTTGAGCGGGTAGAGAATGTATTCCCTCCCAACATCCGGCCCAAATTCATTGGAAACAGCACGATTAAGCATATGAGATCCATCTCACGCCGACTAAGCAACCTCTCTGATGCACAGGCACTTTTCTTGGGCGAATGTCAGGATGAAGGAAAGCCTATCCCGGCTACATTCAACCATGTCTTGAACGTCTGGAACGCCTTGAAAAAGCGCGATGCTACCAGTGACTCCACTCCCAATACAAGCCCGAAGAACAACTCTAAAGAATCCTCTGGCCGGGTATCTACAGGCAATGGATCTGATAAGATTATAAAGAAAGCAAGTATCAAAAGCTCTACCATAGTCGCGGTAAGTCCATTAGTAGATTAAGGAGAGCCTGATTTCTAACCTACATTTAGAGTGGCCCCAAACTCGTTGTCCCAAATCCTGCCATTGCTCCTCCATTTAGCGTGAGTGGCACTGCTGGCAGCTTTTTACACGAGCAACAAAGAAAGAAAGACGATGTTCCTGCAAAGAGTCACTCCACCGACAAAAGCAGTGACAAGTTCTTGTACAACGACAAAAACGCAAATTTCAAAAGCAATGATCTTTTCTCACGAAGTTTGGTGTCTGATCACAAGGTAAGGCTCGTCTCGCAAGGATATGAGAAGCTGGTCACTGACTTCTAATTCAAGAAAAGCCCACGCCCTGAACTTGGTGTTTTAGCCAAGAAAGCTTTAACCGACCCATTCCTTTTTCCATCAAGCAAGAATCTATCCAGTAGCAGTGGTACTTCTCTTTCCAAAGAAGTAGGTCCGAAATTTCGTATTCGGTGAGAAATTGTCAAGTTGTGGATGGATCAGATGTTTTGGATGTCTCCTCTGCTTTGCCTACCTCTCCTATATCTACCACTAATTGGTGACTAACTCGGAGAATAGCTTGACCAGAACCCTCATTCAGATGTGACAAGGAAGCGCAGTTTTGTTGCCGATCGCCTAGACCAAGCACTCGATCCAGTTTCTAAGAAGCTCAAGGAAGTTGAGAAAACAAAGCCTATTGGCAACGACGATGCTCCTTACCCCGCAAAACTAACGTCATCTATGCCTGGTGAGCACCTTCTCTCAAAAGCTGTGATGAAGCGACTTGCTCATATGTCATACGCAGCCGAGATACCAAACAAGAAGACGCCCGCCGAGAAGAATTTGCCAGATTTGCTCTTTTCACCAGACGATGAAGATGAAGCTCAAGGTGCTCCGGCTCTTCAGACCAAAGGCATCCCTTCCCCCGAGGTAGGACTTCCTTTCCTTTATTAACATACGAGTATCTCTTGCTAACACTTGTATAGGATGAGGTGGATGCATTCAGCAAACACATGGCTGAGCAATTAGCTAAGGCTAGGTCGTACAACTTTAATGATACACCACGGAGAGCCTCTGAGCCGCCAACAGCCTCTGAGTTGCCGAAAACCCTTGAGCTGTTAAAGGCCCCTGAGTTGATGAAAGACCCCGAGTTGCCAAAAACCCCTGAGCCACAAGTCGACGAGGCCAACGGTCAGGGTCAGGATCTAAATCTAGATCTGGATGGGGACACAATTACCGTTGATGTAGGCGAATTGGCTGATGGTCAATCAGTCACCGCCCCGCGCAACACACTCGTCACATCTCCCCCGGCAAAAGATCGCAGGACTTCTCCATTCCAAAAGAATCGCCGTACTTTGAATCCCCCGAAAAGCGACCTCAATAATTACTTGCCTTCCAAAGTCGTCCATCGTGCTTTGGGTGCTGAGAATGACCATCGTGCCCCAGTTGCCCCAATGATTCACACTTCTAATGAAGAGAATCCCCTTAAAGGCTTCGTATCTCAGTTGCCCAGCAAAGTCGGCGAGCTACTCGACTTGGAGAAGATCCTAGACTTGGCTGGCCCAGAACAAACATCAACCTACCTTGGACTTAAGAGCGTATTCGAAACCACGATCCGTCACCTCGAACAAGATATTGCATTCGTCTTCCAAAAGGAGCAGGAACATCGCGATGATTACTAAATAGAGGACCCATCACTTTTCATTTGTCCCATAGCCACATCCATTTATGACTCACGATTCACGAAATACATTTAGCCCTTTGCTTGGGATGATACTCCTGATATCCATCGGTGTACAATAGTCTACGTCTTAAGATGCCCTATTAGCATAGATCATTTAATGAACAAATTAAGTCCATAGCAGAGGTCCCGAATCCAGTGCATCGATACTACAGGGTCCAAGCCAGGGCTAATCCAGAGCCTGACAAGAGTGAGTTCGATGAGGGTCACGTGCGTACATGTTTTGGCTCGGTTCCTCGAGGGGAATCGGTGATTTCAATAGTAGCTTACTTATTCAGGAAGAAATTCTTTTGTTATTTGACGGATTTGGGACTGGAAGCTAAACTCGGGGGTATGTCGGACGGAGACTGACTTGAACTTTTAAGAGTGGAGTATGTAACCACCGAGGAAGTTTCTCTTCATTAAAGTTCGCATCTCCCAGCTTCACTTCTTCCTTGTATAATAAGTCCCCCAAGAAGAACTTGGTGATTGCGAGATATAGTTAGTTGATGTGTCGAGAAACCACGATGGCATATTGTTTGCTCGCCCTTTTATATCTCACAAGGCAGCTCAACGTCATCCCGAGTTCCAGCTGATGTTGTTGCCCTTGGCAACCGCGTGGACGCGAACTCCTTAGAGGCGGACGCGTTCACCTGCATGGCTGGTAGCCAGCCAATAATCGAGGGTTTCTCAACGGCCAGGCGTACTGTAGAGTTCGTACAAGGACCACCAAACCATCAAATTAAATTGATGGCGTACTATATGCTGCTCCCTCATCCTAGTGGGCGGTCCGTCCCTTGTAAAGGGTTGTGTTCCCTGCTGCCGCTGTCGTGCGAGGGAGGCAGGGGAGGGCAATGGGGCATGGCATCGAGTCCTGTATCCAGTGCCCAACCAAAACCTCCAATGATTTACGGATGAACCTGCAGTTGTACGTCGTGGCGCTCACCATTCGCTGGGCGCTCTCAAGCTTGTGGATCTATTGCAACGTCGTGACCTCTCAACGTGTCTGGATTATAGGAAAGGCTCGGATTGGGCGGCTGTCGTGACGTTTGTTTTGATTCTAGTCATACCTCGTAGATGAATGGTTAGATTTCGTGAGGGGAAAGAATTGGAAATCCCTCAATGCGTGTGTGCCTGCCCTCGGACCTTCGTCGTGTGTGTGTGTGTGCTTGCTTCTTGCCTGCTTCCCTCACGCGCTTTCTTTCTCTTTTTCCATGGAAGAGACGCCCGACAACCGAAGATTGAAGTTGCATTTTGAAACGGTCGCAATAAAAAAATCTCCTGCAAGCAGAAAAGGTGTGCGTGTGTGTCAGCGGCAGCAGGGACAAGCACTGTACTCGACTGGACTCGGATACGTCGCCGTTGCTTTATCGTCGTGCAGAGCAGGGAAGGGGAGATTGGAAAATTAAGTTTCGCTTGTGCCGACGCAGACGGATATCAACATCTGGAAAAGACAATCAACCCACCATTTACAACCTCCACCACCCAGTATCACCAGACCACCGGGACCCCTACGATGATACATCTGTGCTGTCTTTTGACTTTTGTATTATAGTATTGCTTGGCGTTGTTGCTTTCTCTGCGATTGAGCGAATCGATTCTACCCTGTGCGTCTACTTTCATTTGAGCTTTGTTGACATTGCCACCTCCAACGCTTCAGACGGAAATTTGCTGACTCTCCCCCCACGAATAGTTTTTTTCACTACGATTTTATGACAATTCTACGGCCTTGAGATACCCTTCGCATCGATCCAATCCGCAGACTTGAAAACGTTTCGAAAGCCCTTCTCCCATACTTCCCGCCTCACCAGTTTGGAACCCACCTCTCGAGCTGGTCTGAGACCAAACCACAAATCATGAGTGCTCCACCACCTCCACCGCCTCATGGGCACAACCCCAAATCATCAGGATTGCCAGACGGAAAATACGACATTTTCATAATACCTCCACACTCCTCAGGGTCCGGATTTCTATACCTACCATCTCTACAACCCAATGTGAACAGCTTTGCTGCCGGCTTTGCTTCTGCTCTGTTTCTGGTGGTTGTGGGCCAGGCATTGGCACCGGCTGTTCAACAATGGTGGACTAGTATAAAAGGATCGGGGGGCATGGGAATGATTCTACTCATGATGGCCATTGGAGTTGGGGCATGGGCTCTGGGAAGGACACAGAGTGACGGGGGCCCGGGACCAGGTAGTGGCCCGGGTGGAGGGAATCCACCACCAGACCCAGGGGCTCATTCATACACAAACGCAAATGCCCATTCGAATGGTTATGCCAGCGGACCACCTCCTGCATCAGGGCCACCACCCGCATCAGGGCCGCCACCTACATCTGGGCCACCACCTGGAGCAGGTGCCGGTGGGCCTAAACCTTCGTCGTGGCAGCGCACAAACCCACCACCTGGTGCAACGGGCGCCAATGCAAAACCAAGTCCGGCCAGTGGTGCGGCTAAGGGAGCGTGGGAGAAGGCGAGAGAAGAAACAAAACGAAAGGAAGAGGAGCGGAAAGTCAAGGAAGCTGCACAAAAAAGGAAAGAGGAGCTAGAAAAGCGATTGAAAGAAGCACGGGAGAAAGAGGCTCGCGAACGAGAAGCACGGGAGAAGGAGGCCCGCGAACGAGAAGCTCGAGAGAAGCAACAAAAAGAGGACGAGGCGAAGGCTAAGGCGAAGCAAAAAGAGGACGAGGAAAAGGCCAAAGCGAAGCTTGAAGCTGAGGAGAAGGAGAAGCAAAGGGCAAAAGAGAAACTTGAAGCATGGGAGAGGGAGAAGCAAAGAGTAAAAGCGAAGCTTCAAGAGAGGCTTAAAGAGAAGGCTCAAGCAGAGGAGAAGGAGAAGCAAAGAGCAAAGGAGAAGAAGGAAGAGGAAGCAAAACCCAAGTCAAGTAGCTATGCTTTTTCTGCTACCGGAGAACGGACGAATCCTTGGCCAAAAGGACGACCTCCATCTCCGGTAACTCAACGCTCACAGCCATCCTCACCTACCAAGCGGCCACCTGCCCCTACCGCAAAGACTTATCTAGGTACCGACGAAGATGGATATTCTTTCCGACCATACGACAGACCAAACAAGCCAATGCACAAAAAGGCACCCTCTTCAATATACTCCGAGTCATCTTACGTATCGCAATCAACCTCCCGAACGACGCCGCCGCCTTCGCATCGAGGCCCGTATAGCACCAAGGATCCCGACAAGATTGTCATCAAAGCCGTATACGCTTTCAACAACGCGTTTCTCAAGACTCCGACTTCGCAATTAGTATCAGGTGTTGGATCAGTAACAGATGGTCTGGTTCTCCGAATCACGACTGAGGGTCTTTTCATCGATGATGATGTCCGTGGCGTCCCACAACGAGAGTGGGACGTCAAAGCATGGACAATGAAACTCGTAGAGGTATGGTGTCCATCTTTCCGCCAGGGTCCCGCTGGTAATTCGAATTTTGCGTCTGCTCGCGTTGCTTCTCACTCTGCGCCTAACACCAACAAAACGTTTCGTCGTCTCTGGGGCTTGGACAAGGACAAAGCCGCTACTTCAGAAGAGACCGATGCACTGTTGATCGATATGTTGCAACTTTGCAGGGATAATTGTCGTTTGCGTGCTACTTCGCGTTCTTCTGCTGCGTCGTCGTCTGCTTATTCTAGTACTGCGAGTTCGAATTCCTATGATGATCGCTCTTCCGTGTCCGATTCTGCTTATGGTTCATCTGTTGGCTCGTCGTCGCCTTCTAGTGGCAAGAGAACTGACAAAGGCTTGGCCTTCCAGACAGGAGAATTGAAGAGCGCGCGGCTTCACGTGCTGAGAGCTAGTATTCGGGATCAAGAAGGGAAGAAATACGTCTTTATTATTACGGAGGAGGAGAGTTGGAAGGTGGCCGTGGGCCTGCAGAAGTTGAGGAAGGGGTCGCAGGTCAGGGCTTTGGGCGTCAGTGGTATGAGTCCTAATGATGCCAAAGGGACTTTGGAGCATCTTGGATGGGTATGAAGTGGAGTGACTACAGAGGACTATATATGGGGATGGATATGTTGGTGGGAATGTGGTTGCTGTTGCGAATTCTTTGGAATGTGTTGAGCGAGCGAGCGTGCGTGCGAGTAAGCGGCATTTACACAATCATTGCGACGGAGTTCTTGATCCGAGGATTAGATTCAAGGGTTCATGCCCAGGCCTCCCTGTTGGACATACATTTGGAAAATGAGATGGGAAAATTGCATATACAGTACAATTTTATCTTACTGAGGCTGTGAGGCTTGCTTCGTTTACTTTATATTGGGAAGAATGCTGCGTAACGTGCAATACCGGCAGTGCAAAATGTAACTGCGGGGTTATGGGTCGTCCCGGCACAACTGCTGCGCGACTACCGGCTTGTGCGTGTGCTTGTGCTTGTGTAACAGTCCTCGCTGGCAGAAATCGAGTCCTTCGCACCTGCCCCGCCTGAAAAGGGGTAAAAGCGAGGCACGACTCACGAGACGTCTTTTCTATATTGAAATTAAAATTACTACTAGATCAGCTCGACTGAAACGAGAGAAGGAACAACCGACCGACCTGCTTAAGTTAAGCTGACTGTATCAATCAATAACAGTGGCCGATGCCGTCAGATGCTTATACTATACTCGTACGCACGCGTCTAAGTAAGCAGTACCAGTACGTTCTACTTTACTTCCTCGAGGGAAGGATCGATACGAGTTTCCAGGCAGAGAGTAGTTCGTTCGACCTTGAAAAGTGCTTGCTTGTTGCTGGTGTGGCGTGGTGTGGTAGAAACAGATGTCCTGCTTGGTTAGGTTAGTCCGAGCTGAACAAATGAGATGAGTACTTTGGTATATTTACAGTATCTGGTGAGAGATATCAGCTCACTCCTCTTTTTCTCCCCCCAGAATCATTCAGTCCCGAAGGAATCCAAATATAGATTTCAATATTCCTGCTCTGCTTCTCGACTTCCTTGCCATGTTTCTTTCCTCATCAGAAGAAAAGAACCCTAGCTTCTTTCACGTGTGCACGCATTGTCTTGAGTTTATTTCAACTTGGATTGTTTGCGTCTTGAGACTGACTGACTGACTGACTGACTGACTGGAAAAGGTCACAAAAATACGGACGAATTGACTAGGGATTAGGAGAGAAAGAATAAACAAGTCGTAAAATAATGTATGTGGGTCTAAGAGAAAGAATGAATGAATAATTTGAAGGAAGGATCGATAGCGCGATTGCACTTTCTCTCAATTCCCCAATTGGAAGTATTAGTACACTTCGTGGGAAGGAACGAAAGAAATGATATATTTATTGGGGGCTGCAAGAGGCTACATTCGGTTCATTCTTCCTTTGAAGGATCAATAAATCGTTTCAATAGTGTAACGGATTTAGTTTTAGGTATTCCTTCAATATTATAGGTATGTCTTTTCGCGGACAAGAAAGCGATTGGGAGAAAAGCTCTGGTTCTGATCTCATCACAAATTCTGTGACAGCGTGTTGTTTTGTTCGTGACTGAGCACCAGGAATACACGTCTTGGAAATATGTCCCTGGTGACAATATAATGGCCACTTGGACACCCAGAAAGCAAACACCGTGCAAATAAAATAATGCTCAAGAGTAGAAGAGAATATTAAGCTCATATATAGCTTATATATAATTGATGATTACCTAGTGGTATCTCTCTGGAGAATCATAAACTCATAGACATCCATAATCCAATACCTACCATCTCCAATGGCCCCAAATTTTCTCCAATATTCATCCCAAATCAAACCAACTTCATTATCACTCATGCAATCGTCCAGACAGGCGCTTTACTCAACACCTGCCTCCCTCTAACCTCTACACCAACAAACCCAGCAAAGCGGACCTTTTGCGCCCCATCTTCAGTCGATGCCTTGACTTTCCCCTCACTACTACCATCCTGGCCGCCTTGCGAACTGACACTAAGTTTCTTGCCTGATGGCGCGCTCGAACCGCCGCCCATCATTGCTTGTAACATGCCACCTGTGCTCTTTGTCTTTTCCTTTCTCAGTTTACCGCTTTCTGGCTTCTCTCCTTCTTTCGCTGACTCTTCCTTGTCCCCACTACCCGTACTCGCCGCATCTATTTCACTTGATGTGTCTATACCTGGATTTTCCAGCGGTGGAATCCCGGCTTCCGTTTTCATGATGAAGGGCTGTAGCATATCTCCAGGCATCGGGTACACAATCGAGATATCTCGGCTTTCCAGAGGGAGATTTGATGCGATGCTGACTGCCAGTTCAACTATCATGTGAGCACTAACATCGATACCTGCAGGTTCTGGCACTTGCAAGTAGTTGATCAAGTTTGCTGTCAGTCTTGATGTAACATATTGGGCGAAATCCTTTTTGTACTCTTCGCTTTCCGCTGTTGACAATGTATCCTTTAAACCTTCCAAAGTAGCCAACCTCCATTGTACTACCTTTGCTGTGAGTGCATCCGATTCTTCTTGATTGTTTAAAGCTGGTGAAAAACGCCGTATGTTTTGCTCGATGCTCTTTAGATTGCTGCTAAAGCTATCCTCAAGTCCTGGGTGGAACGTCCGGTTGAAAACTTCATCGACAAGGAATTTGGATATACAAGCGCGGCCCACGGCTGTCATTTCTTGCTTTCCTATCTTCATAGCTTCTTGATTTGTGAATGGGACTAGCCATGCGGGCACTACGTTCCAGTCTTTCCGTATGTTGAATGCAAGATTGGTAATAGCTCCATCCAAACGCTGGAATCGTGTCATATATTCACTGTCATCGAGTGATGTTCGAGACTGGGAGAGTCGCTGGTTTGCTAATGAATTTTGCAATTGCTCAACCTGAGCTGTCTTGTCAAAATAAAGACCCTTGACCTTTTTGTATTTTATTTCTGTTGGAAACGTTAATATGTTGCAAAACTAACATTTTTAATGAGACCTACGGAGTTCCTTGTAGGCAGCTTCAACATCCTGGCTTGCTGGCTGTGGGGGTGGCGTACTTCGCCCTTGTTCACCAGGCGCTGCAGGGCCAAATCGATCCCTCTGAGGTGGGCCTCCTCCATAGGCAGAACCTTGAGCGCTCGCAGATGAGGGCATTGGGCTTAGTCCCGGGGTAGCTGGCTGGTTATTGCCTTGAAATGACGGTACTCGACTACTGTAGTTTGGTGGTGGACCTTGTGGTGGACCTTCTCGCGACTCTGGCTGTCCTTGAGGGCCTTGCAGGCTCTGCTTCGGGTCCGCAGACCGGCGATTTTGCTGAGATGCGCCAGTAGGAGGAGCCATCGGAGGCACGACTTGAGATATAGGGCGCGGGCCTTGAAAAGAAGATGAACGGTCCGGAAATTGGGGGGGTTGGTAGGTAGTAGGAGATTGTCCGTTCGAGTGAACAGAGACCGGGCGTTGTTCTTCTCTTTGTTCAATGGGTGAATCGTGGGATAACTGTGAGACAGTCTCGGCGTTTTGTTGCTGGAAGGGAGCGTGTATGATTAGCCCAGGATAGTGATTTACTTGTTGCTGTGGGTGGTGACTCTGATTATGTAGTTCGTAGTTGATCAATGACCCCGAAGTAGACCGGTGATGTGTACCGTGCTGTTGTGGATTCTGTAGCTGCTGCGCTTGCAGTTGCTGGCGGCCCTCGTCGTTTGAGTGAAAGGGCGCTGGCTCAGAATCGCTTTGTACTGGGTGAATGGTGGGTTGTTGACCTTGTCCTTCTTGAGGACTACGGCGGTGAACGTTCTCTTGATCTGGCCCCCGAATAAGATACGGGTCGAGTCCGCTATCGTCCTCGTTGCCCTCTTGTGGAGAGGGGAGGTGTGACCTTGAATCTTGCGGCCCCGGTTGCCAATCAACCCTTTGCTGATCCAAAGAGTTCCTCTGTTGATGCGGCACCGTGCGTATAGTGGGAGGATTATCTTGGCGTTTAGACAGCCGGCGAGAAATCCCACTTGTGTTATTATTGTACTGGCCCTGGGGTAGGCTCTTCGGTTCGGATTGGGATAAGCGGTTTGAACTTGCTCGCATCCGCTCAAATATGGATTTACTCTTTCTCTGCTCGGGGATGGGGGCCGGGGCGGGTTGTGCCCTTGGCTGCTGATGAAACCTTCGGGAATCGAGAGAGAGATCGTCTGCAGAGCCGGCGGCTTGAGGCCGGAGGACTTGGTGCTGTTTCTGTGGCGCGGGATATGCACTCGAATAACGTGTCGACTGCGACCGTGAGGGGAGGTCTGCAGCACTCGGATATGGACGCTGTTCAAAGTCTGGAGATTGCGCAGGGCTGCGACGCTGATAGGGCTGGGAGTCGGGGTGAGGGGGTGCTTGCTGGAATGCCGGTTGTTGCAGCAGTGGTGGTGTATCTGGTTGCTGTTGTTGCTGTGTCTGCGCCTGTACTTGACCCTGTTGATACTGCTGCTGCTCGCCAGAATGTGTGAAGACTGGTGGTGGTGGAAAGGCTGATGGGTCTCCACTACTCGCGATTGATGAAGGAGCTGTGCCCTGGCCCTGGCCTTGAGCGCCGTGTCCTTGATCGTTCAACGCCTGCCTTGAACGATTGCTATGCTTGTGAATTCCGAAGGGCATTTGTTCTTTATGCGCAATCGTGGCCGTACGAGGGCTCACGATAGGATTCGAAGGGGGCAGCGCAGCGCAAGCCAGCGTAAATTGAAGCCGGCTGGGTGGGGCAGCCAAGGCAATAATCCGCAGAGAGCTCCCGTATGTACCGGACCGGACCAGAATACCTACCTACTGTACAGGTCCTACAGCAGTACCTTTGCGAATGGAGGGATGGCCAGCAGCGCAGCAAGCAAGCAGACACACTGAGCGTCCGAAACAAGAGTTACCTCCTGTTTCTTCAACTATGGATTAATGCGGTGCTCGTACAGCTTCAGCGTGTGGCAATGGTACGAGTCGTAGTTGAAGATGCGGCTGGCTAGGACTGGATAGGATAATAATAGCATTAGCTTCCAATTCGCGGGCGAGTTTGAGCAACGCGTGAACTTGGGCTCGGGCTCGGGCTTGGGTTTGGGCTTGACTGCCAGAGACTTGGGGCTGAGTAGTACTGTACAGTAGTTGTGGATGGTCCGTAATCCGCCGTTTGGTCACTTTGGCTGGAAAGAGAGAGTCGACTTTATGGATTTGGGGGCTCAATTGCCTCTGAAAGGGAGGGAGGCAGGGGGGAAGCAGCAGCAATTGCAGATCATAGAAGCTAAAAAAGTAACTATGGCGTAGGTAGCAATCAGATCCCACTCTATCTTTATCAACCTTTCGGCTTATTGTCCTCTTTCTCTCTTGCACCGGTAACGAACAGTTACTGACGGCCCATGCTCAATTCGTGGGGTATAGAAGTTATATATGAACCTTGTATTTATTATGCCTCATTATATACAGTACTTTTTAGAACTATGAAAGCAAAACGAGTTCAATGTTATAGTCATAAAATGAATCTCAACCAAGGGAGGGGTGTACGAGTACGAGACTTACTTCACATAGCAACGTAACGTAATGCTTAGAACTCTCACCTAGTAGCAAGAAACAAACTACATTACGCAAGCTTAGTTACCAGTACAACTTCTAGATGGAAAGCTCAAAAGATTAATATATGGGCGTAACGTTAGATCGGATTCGTTTTCCATCAATTGGTGATAGATATCCTGGTATAATGTAATGTCAGCTTGGAAGATACCGGGTGTATGGGTATTCATTCAGCTGGGACCCACCTGTGAGACAAAACATGCACACTCTGGAAGTCTGGATATCAATCGTTAACATCAAAGTTAGCCAACAATTGGGGTCTAACAGCTAAGCTTTCTTGCAGTTGTTACATGTACTGTATAGTAAATTAGCTCTCCGTGCTCCGTACCCCGCCTCGCCCGCCTATCCCTCGTTGAAGAATGACATGCGTCTATTTCTATTAATAGATTAAGTTGTGGATATCGGTTCGGGTGGGGAGCCGCAGATCGATCTCCGGTCATCAAAGCTTTCGGCCCCCCCTTCCAAATTTCGAGAAACTTGTTTCCGAAGTTATCAAGCTTCTCTCGACACGAGATGGGGCCATTACCACTCAACGAAACTATTGAAGAAGCGCATATATTGCTTCTGAGATCAGATCGTTGGATTTTGGTACACCGCTGGGAATCTAGGACGAATCAGTAGTGATTGTTCGAGAGCAGTCTTTGAATCCTTCGAGCTGGCTGAAGGAAGGACCCACCATCGCCATTGATGCGAGTAGCCGGAGTGAGAGGAGCATATTTGGCCCTTCGTGCAGCCAGATTTCAAAATGGGAGAGTGCAAGACCCTTTGTTTGAAACACAACTCCATGAAACAAACGGTAGAGCCATGCGTACTATACACAGCAGCGCAGTGCACGAATGAATGAGCTCTGCGGTTGACTTTCGTACTCGCACAGCCCTCAACCTTTCTGGAAGTTGTGGAATTCAACACCGTTACAGCGCCACGTTGCTTGCACAAGCAATGCATTGGACGAAAATCAACGGAGACAAATCTCCGGCCGTGGAATCAATTGTGCGCTTTGTCTTTGTGCCTTTTCCGAGGTCAGCATCGCGAGAGCAGAATTAAAGCTTTAATATCACACAAAAGCCGTCCTATTCTTCCGACATTTGATAACCTCGTACGCAGGAGAAGGACCTTCCACAAACAAAATCAGACGAGACATCCAAAAGAAAAATGCAGAATTACTTTCAATTTATATGAATAATTGATATGAACAGCACAGTACAATGATTATAACCTTTCATACAACCCGGCATGGACTCATTCGGCTTCTAGTTCGAGGAGATCGGGATTCTCGGTATACGGTGCAGTGGAGTGGGCCATACCTCCGTACTCTTGGCCGTTTCCCTCTTGGCGCTTGTTTCAACTCGCCTGATCTAGGCTATTGCTTGCGATGGTTTAATTGCCAGGGACCGAAAGGCTCAGAAAGGATGTCCACTTGAAAGTTCGAAACATACTACCCCGTCAGTGCGCACCAATCACACCTTCTCATTTTGGTTACATTCCTGAAGGCTCACATTATTGTTCCTGCCTTTGACCCAAAGTCAACAAGAGGGCAAGGATTCTCGCAGGGCTTCAAGTTAATGTATGGACTTCTTATTAAAGATGCCGGGACCTGCGAGATTTATCCTCATGGATACGGCTTGCTGATCTAGCGGTATGTAGCCGCCAAGCGTCTTCTGTGATATTCCTATCGTGAAATTGCCGATTTCTCCCCCGTACTTAAGTCATATCACTCCTAGATCTTCTCGAAGATCTTTTTCTAGCCTCGTTCATCCATCCATCCATTCATTCATTCGTTCATTTGATTTTTAGAGCACTTTCTGCTGCAAGCAGCCTGAGTTTTGTGCTGACACTCCGAGACTATTTTATACCAAACTTTTCAAATAAAACAGCATTATGCACGTCACTCAATTCATTTCTAGCCTGGCTGGCCTGGCCTTGACCTATCAAGTTTTCTTTCAGGCCTGCGAAGCCAGAAGTCCCATTACGAAAGGCGCCAGAATGTCTCCTCGCGGACTAGAGAAGCGTATGAATATCACGAACTTCTTGATCTCTGATATCTCCTCTATCTCTACTCTCGAGAGTGACAAAGTTACTTACAACAACTCTCTCTCATGTATGTCGTCTTATCTTTACAACAACTCGGACAATCACTGACCGAAGAAGTCCTCTTCACCGACACAAATTCAAACACCAATACCTCTTGCAGTCACGCCTGGAGTGATACTCTCAACAGCACTGCAAACATGCCGAGCGAGCCGATCGAATGTCTGGCTTCGGCCAATGCTAGCTCGGAGAGTTTCCAATGGCAGTTGAAGTCATATCCAGGGCCTAGCGCGTTCCAGGCCAGATTTCTACACGGCTTCAATGATCCTAAGTGAGAATCCTCGGCGATCTTTAGGTGACAGAACTAACATACAACCATAGGGACTATGCCCCACCATGGAGCTATATCAACTATGCGTCTACCACAAACGTCAGTCTCGCCTGCCACAAGAGCGCAACGACTACGCTTTGCAGACTTCCCAGGAACCAAACTACTCTGGTTGCGCCCATAAATGAGATATGGGACTAAGAAGCTGCTTTTGCGGTCTGACACTGTATATTGCATGTTTCGGTGTGAAACCTTAGGAAGGAAATCTTCATGTACATATATCAGAGCTTTCGACTTTACGTCACATGGGCGCATATGGACCCTTACGGGGAGAGAATTCTGTGGATTAGATTCGGTAATAGTAGTTGCTAAGACCAATGCAATCTTGGAATTTTGAGATACCACACTGGTGCCTAAGTTTAGTCACCCCCGAGGCGACGCATCATCTTGTTGTAATTCAAATCTCCAGGTCAACTACTTACTTAATTACCTACTGGTATTCATCCGATTTCATGTGTGAAACAGCCTAGGTTCATTCTTTGGCTGGAGATTTCGGTCGAATAGGTTTTCAGGTCCTACACTTAGGCTTCTCATTTAGACATGTCATGATATAGAGACACATTCAATCCTGTAGCAATAGACATGCTGAGGGTCCAGAATGACTCGGCTTTAACCAACTCCTAGCTCTTTGGATTAGTGACTCCTTCCCAACACATCCAGCAATAGCACATGCCTCTTCAAAATTTCCAACTAGATGAATTTAGCAAACCATTTAATATCCTCGATATCTGCCTTGTTGTTGGTGGGTGGTTGGGAAGAAGGATATTTCACATGATCGTATCACGTGGTTCCACAAAGACAACCAAACCTTCCCCAGGTTTATGCAGGTTTAAGAAACGTTGCATCATAATTGTCGAGACCAAGAAACAAGATGCTGGAAAGTATCTGCAGGCCTGCTTGGCTGCGTCCGTGTGTGCGTTCAACAATATGTTTGCGTCCGACACATCGCCACACCTCCGTGAGGCGCAGCAAAAATACAACCACATTTCTTCAAGTTGAAGGCGTAACCGATGGCACTTTGCTTCTAAATCAAATCTTCCAAATCAATTCCGTTTCACATTTTTATGGAAAGATATGTTATGCTCTGGAATCTGCCTCGGTCCGAGTGAAGAGGCAAGCCACAGTGGCTATGTATGCGTTTCATTGTGAGTCACTCCGATAAAGGCGGGACGACGACAACGAAAGCTGCCTAGGTACGTACCTATCACGCTATTTGGCATCACAAGCACATCCATTCAGATCCATCCAGATCGAGTCATATCTCGTGACTCCATCTACATCAAGTCAATGATGACTCTACGGGTGTGATGGTTGTCGTGATATAAAGCACGAGTCCTTGCTATTGTACTTGTTTTCCCCCTCTTCTCATCGCAGACCTCCCAAAATCCTCAATCATTCTAGCATCTACTTCTCCAAACCCACCTAACCTTTTAAACACTCCTACATATCAATCAATCATCATGGTCACAATGAACGGGTTCACAGTCACTCCGAACCACAGGCAAAACAGGCGTCGAGAGCGGCCTGGTTCACGGTCTCGTCGGACCATTACTCGGAAATCCAGCATACAGAACGAGTACACCGAAGGATTGCTGGATGCCTATGACTCCAGCGTCTATCTCCCCTCGGACAAAGCCAGGCCCTCTCCCCTTCTGCGGGAGAACTTTCACCAGACATGGCAGAGATGGAAGGCCAGAGAGGCAGAGGAGATGGCGCTTCAACTAGAGAAAGTACAGTTGGAACAAGCAGAGCAGCAGAGATTGTACGGTGGCGAAGTCTCTGACGACGTGAGTCTTTGTCCAGCCATGCTCAGTGTAGTCATGTCTCTGTTCGGCGACATAGACTATATTGATCCATGAATCTTTTACCTAACACCATATCCTCTCCTTTTCCTCTGGGGCGAGTCTGGAAGGCAAATGAATGCTTACGCATGGACGAGATCATATTCTGAGATGTCCAATGGATTCCACAACTTCTCGATCTCCCTCAGCAAACAGCCCGTCTTCCAATAGAGCAGTGACGGAGGAGGATTCAACGTTTCCAACCACCTCGCAAAGGTACGCGTCTTCTCCTTATCTTCCAAATCTGCGTCTACGATGAAACAATCTGGTAAAAGGTCCGACTGCTTTAAAGCTTTTGATGGTTTTGGTCGGAGCTCTCCAAATGTCACATGGGATAGCTGAGGACGCTTTCTTCGCTGTTGATGATCTTCGCTCTATCGGCAATCCTGCGATTATAGCAAGACTGCTCCCACAATAGTCTCTGTGGGAGACAGTGAAATCGCCGGATATATCTTGTCATATGACAGTACTGCTATCAGGAGTTGCGCGTCTTCTTGCTCCAGGACGCGTTACCAAAGGCTGCGGTGCAGATTTCATAGTGCGCTTATGCCAGAAAGCAAACAGAGAATTCATCATGGATTAAGTCGAGGCCTCCACTGTTGATACTGAGCCGAGATGCGAAGCCGCTCAAGTGCAGGTTGACGACCCAAATAAACTGAAAAGACCTGAGACGCATACTTTTTCTCTCTACATTTGGTTCAAAATAGGTGGGGCATCATTACTGACTGAGTCCTCATCAAGAGCTTTATCGAACGGGCATCCTATACGGTAGTAAACAGGACAACAAAGTTGCGTGTGAAGTTCTCTTAGAACAAGCACCTCCTATGTACATCATAAGATATTGCAAACCGAAGCGTTCTTTCCGGTTTTCGGCTCGCCGTACTCTGCCGCTCTACCTGTCTTTCTCCAGTCTCGGAGCGATGCTGATGCCGATATTGCGCGACTGTTGTCTCTTTCTATCTCAAACACACCAACACGAATGACGATTCAACACCGCGAAACATCTCCCCAGCACACCAATTCCACCGTTATTACCGCCTACGCTAGCGTTAGAGTCTTCTACCATTCACAATACCCCACCCATAGAAATTTCACAAATGTATTCTTTTCCGCTCAATACCGCAGTCGACGACTGGGAATTCATCAAAACACCACACGCACACTAGGATCCGCATACCTCGACCCCAATCTTCAAGCCAGAGACTTGGATTTTCTGAGCGACGACTCGTAGCAAATCCCTCATCATTGACCCCCGTCCTCGGGAGATGCAGTGGGAGGGATTGGTCCTCACTAAACTCAGGCCTGGTATCTGGTGGTATCTTGTCCGGTCCGTCTCAAAATAAAAAGAAGAGAGAACAGAACACCAAAACAACTCGAACAGAGAAAACGAAGCAGAAGATAGTGCAGTTGTGTGCTCACAGCCCGGAGGGCCGTTTGAGCTCGCTGCCATGGCGGAGGAGGAGAGAAGAGGAGAGGAGGACGTACCAATGGAGATGGGGATATGGTTTGTGGATTGTGTGATGCGGTGTGGTGTGCCAATACAATGATGTCTTAGCCTACTCTGTACTCTTTTGGTATTCGAGAGAAATATAATTTTGTATAGCAATCAATAAATTCTTTATACATTCGTGATCCATGTGACATTCATTTCCCGTAATCCATTTATATGCTGCCTGCGACCCAAGTCCACTGTCAATCGCGCTAGGGGTAACTATTGTACGACAAAGCATATATGTTTCCAATTGAGGCTTATTAGTTGCACACTGTTTTTATTATGAAATCAAATCAGACTCTCTGACATGTTTCTATTTTGGATACAGTGTTATTTCAAGGGAATTTTGCTACTTTACGAAAATTGTACAGTACCTACTTTACCCCAATATCTGCGAGTGCTTTACTAAAAACAACATGTCTCAAATCCTAGTCATTTACCTAAATTGAGGGGTAGTTTGTTTGTTTCTCCTTAGACTCCTATATGTTCCTTACCTTATTACATATCCAAATGCGCAATGTTGCGTTAGTTATGTCCTCCCATATGTATCATCCGTTATCCGTCATTTATCATCACAGCTATATCAACCCACCAAAATCTCCATCTCATATACAAATTACAGATACTGTAAAACCTCCCACCCCACTCTACCTATCCATCCTATCCATCAACAATCAACGTCCAATCCCCACCTGAAATCCCCTCCGCCTCTCCATCCACGCCATTCTTCGCCCTCGCCACCTTAACACCGCGCTTCCTCCACCCACCAACCAGCGTCCCCGTCACGCCCGGCAAGCTAATACTCCCCGTCGTGCCCGGCGGCGTATGGAACCTCAACAGCGTAAACTTGCCCAGTGCATCCTTCTTGATCTCGATATAAAACGAGCCCAGACTCGTGACAAATCCCGCTTCCACCTCGGTCAAATCCCCCAACTGCGGCGCAATCTTCCACGTCTTCCCGCTCTCGCTCACAAGCTGCAAACCCGCGACATAGAAACTAAGCGCGTATGTGGGGCCCGTGGACCAGCCGTGCGAGTGGCTGATAATAGCATCGCTCGAGTACAGCGGGTAGTGCAGCTCGCCTGTTTCCGCGTAGCCTTCGATGAAAGTCGAGTTCGTCATGCGCGGGTCGTCGAGCATGAAGTCGCCCCATTGGAGGCGCATGAGATCGAGGGCGTTTTGCGGCGCCGAGGACAGGAAGTGGGCTTCGAGTTCTAGGGAGCCGATGAAGGGGGATACGGTTGCTGGGGAGCCGGTTTCGGGGGCTGGGGCGCCGTAGGGGCCCCAGCGGGCTTTGAGGGCAGTGGATATGGCGGTGTTTTGGGTGGAGGAGTTTGTGATGCCTGCTTTAATGGCCCAGACGTTGCCGTCTTGGGGACGGATGTCGGAGTTCTCGTTGTCCTTGTAGAGGTTGGCGGTGGCGTCCCAGAGTAGGCTGTTCGCTGCAATCTTGACTTTTGAGGCAATGAGTCCCCAGTTGGATGCTGATGCGGTGTCACCGACAAGGTTGGCGAGATTGATACCTTGATTAAGGACGTAATAGAGAATCGCGTTGGCCTCGATATTGTGGCCGTTCATTCCACCTCGGAGCCAGTCCTTGTCTGATGTGACGAACATCAATCCAGAGCTATCAATTGAGCCCAGCGACCAAGCTACCCCTCGAGTATAGTGATCCCACGCGTCTTTGACGTATTGCAAATCACCAGTATAGTGAAAGTAGTACGCAATTGCAACGAGAGTGTGTAAATGATAGGTGAAGCTGACATCGTTAAAGGTGTTGAATGGAAATCCGGCATATGGGAACATCCCATCCGAATGTTGAAGATCGAGTAGGGCATTTATTCCATTTTCAATTGAAACCATATCATTTGTGCTTACGAATACAGCTGGAATCGACACAGTCATATCACCAGGCCAGATTTCTCGATCTCGTTTGGCTCCATCAGTAAGTACTGTACTTCCGTTCGCAATAGTGATATTGCTATACCAAAAAATTGTGTCTGTGTCTCGCTTGGCCGCCGTCTTCCCTGGCCAAGAACGCAGCGTCGAAGCTCCATAGTTCGGGTTGATGGTACACAACTGGTTCGTGTATGCTCCTAAACAGCTTAGCATCTGATAAAGCAGAACAATGACCTAAATTACTCACCAGCATACCAGATTCGATTCAATTTCTCATCATTCGAATGGAAATAACCTTTGTAATCCCTCAAATTTTGGCTGGGGGCAGCGGTAAAGTTGGTTAATACGCTCGTGACTTCAACGTCTGCGTTGCTGGTAAGCGTTAAAAAGCGAAACCCGCCTCTGTTATGCCAATCTTCAACCGTGTATGTTCCTGGGCCTTGACCAACAGGCAAAACGAGGGGCTGGTCAAACTGAGGACCTGCTGTAGCGTCACATGACTGGTTGCTGATATAAAGACTTGACTCTGTGTAGGTCAAGCTTATAGTAGCATTAGGCGAGGAAGAACCCCCAACTGTCACGCTCACAATGCCTGCGATATTCATACCATAATCAAATGTAATGGAAGAGGGACCGGGAAATTGGGCACTGCCCTGTGAACTGCCGAGTAGGGAGTTGGCATTTACGATTTGGCCATTGTTTTGATATATACCAATAGGATACAATGTTCTCGAATCTGGCGCATGAATATAAGAGCTGTAGTCCTGTGCCAAAGCCGTAACCAGAAATGTATGTAGAACGAAGGTCAAAAACATGGTTGCATAGGTCTCGATGGTTTTGTAATATTCAGCAAAGATTGGAGGCTTGTGATGGTGAATGTATTCGGGAAATTCTAAATAAGATGAAGTTGCTTTATTGAAATGGGTGTTGGTGATACGTGATGGGTTCAAAGGGTATTGACCGTATTGTGCTTGTAAAGAACGACCATGTTTGAGAGCAGCCTCCAAGGGCGCTCTCCGCGATATGTACTCCATGACGGTTTGTATTCCCACGACCCCTGAAAGAAAGAAAGAAAGGAGGATAAGGACAAACAAGAGGTAAATGAGCGTGCAGGAGAGGAGAGTCCTGTGATGAAATTCGGTGCAAACAAGGGCGATTTGAAGCGGGGAGGAGAGGTTGCGTAACTAGCGGTTCCGCAACGGCAAGGCAAGGCAAGGCTAAGCTTAACATAATCCCTGCAAAGATCCAGCTAGCTAGCCGAATCGAGATATACAAAACCATAACTCTGTATTTAACAAGCTAGAAATTTGCAACTATACCTCGATCATGCTGCCTTAGCTAGCTATGTGACATGGCTTAAGGCGCTTTGGACGTGTGTATGACCAGATAATTTGGTACTGGGGTATGTGACAGGGTTTGGCTGTATATGGAAGGTGGAGGGGAAGACCGAGTGAGGGTCAAGAGATGGAGATGCGATGCGATGCGATGCATATATAGATGCGGTCACGAGCGCTTACGGATCTTCGACTTCATCACTATGTAGACGGAACGGAATGAATATCATCATGACCTCGACAATCAGCTGAACGAAGAGCCAATACTTTCTGCTATGTCCGACTCATCCAGTCGTTCAGCATCGACTGGGCCATTCAATTAGTCTTTCAAGTTCTTCCTATGTCCAAGATATCGAGATTACAAGAAGTGCGAAAGAGTAGATAGATGCCATCAACAGACGAAACTGCTGGCGGGGTTCTTGTGATCATCTTGACTCGACTCTCGGGGTTAAACCCTACCGAGGAACCAACTGTCACGTTGAATACGGCATCAAAAACGATTCAAGTATATCTGCTTCTGCTGCTGCAGGTTGATGAGGGGTTGTTCCGCTTTGGGTTGTTGCCTCGCAGGTTTTGTTGCAAATCGCACAACTCCAGAACCAACCAGCGAAGCCAAGGAGGTTGCATGGGGTGGGGTGCTTAGTCACGAGGAAGCAGGCTTAGACCGTGAATCTCACAACCAATGATGGCCTTACCTCACGCTTGACGTCTAGACTTCCACTCACTCGCCCAACTCATAGATTGTATCGCAGTCGGTTTCCTTGCACTGCACTGCAGCTCGGAATAGATCATATACCATGGCGGAGATACAAATGCCCAGAGAGGATTTGAACCCCGAGACCGACTGGATCGTCTTGGACAACGCCGACATCTACAACTCGTAAGTTCTGTTGTGGCTGTCTGTGTCTGCGCATGACACTGCTAATGACGTTTGTAGTTTGGGAGACGGAGAAGGAAATGAAAAATACCCTGGTAAGTATCTCTGCCATTCCTTCTGCAAATACCTTCTCCGGGGATCTTGAGCTGAGCGAGGATGCTATCATCTTGAAACTCCTTGCGAAGTATAACAGGGGGGCTGTCTCAGCACTTATTGATATCCATGTTGCTGCGAGCCTGGTATTTGATGCATTTGTGTGGTTGGATTCGACCGACTTGTCATTTCTGAAAGTACCTCGAATATTCTGCCCGCCAAGTACCGAATCCGCCGGCCAATTTCTGCTCTGCTTCTCGGATTCTTTTGCATATGATATGCCATATCTCAACTAGCAACTTTGTAATATTCCGGTGGGAATTCGGGGTTCTCTGCCCTAGGATTCTTTTGCTAAGATCGAGTGATGTACACCCAAAAAATTCTCAAATACATTTGCCTTGGGTCGAATTCTGATCTATTCCTCTTTTTACGGTCTTTGGGATATTTGTGTTCCGGCTTCAGAGATGATGAAATGATGCTGATGGTCGCATAGCCAAACTACATGCCCGAGCAGTTGCCGAACGTCTCGGCGTCAGACAAGGTCTGATTTTCCTTCCTGGCGTCGCCTCGAAGACATACGAGGACTCGGACCAGGAAATAGCATTTCGCCAACGCCGTTACTTCTATTATTTAAGCGGCATCAATCATCCTGATTGCTTAGTCTCGTATGATATTGGACGAGATGCAGTCTGTGCCTGGATTCCACCTCCGAATACAGGACGAACCGTAATCTACAATGGATTTACCCCTTCTCGGACCCAGATCAGAGCTATTACGGATGTCACATACGTTTCCGAGACCTGCCATCTTAGGCAATACCTCAAGTCCTACGTTAAGAACTCGAGCACCCACGCCAAATTTTATCTTCTTCACAAAAGCCAGGGGCCCAAACTTCGCCAGCATTTAGTGAACGATGATGGAAGCGATATCATCGTCCCTAACTCCCAGTTCGACTTCACGAAACTACAACCAGCAATGGACGCTGCACGAGTGGTCAAATCCGAGCACGAGCTGCAGCTCATCCGAAAAGCTTGCGAGATCACCCAGAGAGCACACGTCAATGTTCTCTCGTACCTCAAGGACCTCGAGAATGAGACAGAGATCGAAGCTATCTTTGCGGGTACTTGTATTGCTGAGCAGGCCAAGCACCAAGCATACGGCATCATAGCTGGCTCGGGAGAGAATGCAAGCACGCTGCATTACGGTGCGAACAACGAGCCGTTGGAAGGACGGCAGCTGGTCTGTTTGGATGCTGGGGTTGAGTGGAAGGAGTATGCTTCGGATGTCACGAGGACGTTTCCTATTTCCGGAACGTGGACGCCGGAGGCTAAGGGGATCTACGATATCGTGGCGAAGATGCAGGATGAATGCATTGCAATGGTGAAACCTGGTGTAAGTCTAAACACACAATTACTCCTCAAATCATCAATGCTAACTACAATCATAGGCCGATTACCGCCAGATCCACATGCACGCTCACAAAGTTGCCATCAAAGGCCTCCTCGAACTAGGTCTTCTTCAAAACGGAACATGGCAGGAACTCTACTCATCCGGAGTATCCGTCGCTTTCTTCCCCCATGGTCTCGGCCGTAAGTTCATTCATTCACATACCCCAAGATAAATTTGCCCTCTACGAACAAGCTCGCTAAAACGCACGCACGCATAGATTACATGGGCCTCGAAGTCCACGACGTCGGCGCCCGCGGCGCTCTCCTCTACGGCTTCCCGCGAACCACGCGCGTGAACTGGGAAACGGCATATTTCAGCATGGGAATTGCGAACCCGTCCCTCCTCGAGCCTGGAATGGTCATTACCGTTGAGCCCGGAATGTGCGTCCCCCTCCTCTCCTCTCCCCTTCCCCTTCCACACCCATAATCACCTCCATACCCATGCCCATTTCCACTTCCACCTCTCCCCACCCAATCTAATCCTCGTTTACCTTACCTCCCCACCATAGTTACTTCTCCCGCTACGCCCTCGAACAAGTATACCTCAAAAACCCCCGCTTCGCCAAATACATCAACGCCTCCCTCCTGCCCACCTACTACCCCGTCGGCGGCGTCCGTATCGAAGACGATATCCTGGTTACGGGGACTGGGTACGAGAATCTGACGTCCGGGGTGCCGAAGGGTGAGGAGGCGTTGAAGATTATCAGGGGCGAGAAGGAGAAGGAGGAGAAGAAGGGTTGGTTTTGGTAGGATTGGAGTAGAGGGAAGATTGGAAGATTGGATTACAGTGGGGGGATGTTTAATAATAGTTCGTTGGTAATAGTAGTATGGTTTCTGAAAAATGGTTGATGAGTTGTGAAGACTGTTTTAGAGGGGCTCTGAATATTATCTGTCGGACTATGCCCGAATAATGCATGAGGGGTTTGTGTTGTGAAGAGTCGGCAACACGCGATTTGAATTTCCTACGGCAAGAGTAGAGTTTGGCTTGCTACCTATACGAAACTACCAATCGGCAGAAAACAAATGAACATGGAAAAAGAAATCATATTTTATGCTCACAACTAACATTCATTCGATTCATTAAAGACAGTTCAATCCACAAAGCCTCCTGGGAACCTCAAATCTTGATAGCAAACGACTTCAAGTATTCATAGTCCGGAATATTCGCATCCACAGTCTCCCTAATTATCTTCGCACCTTCCACCCCGTACTTCTCACGCCACTCTTGATCTTCGGTTTCCACAGTCTTGGTTTTCTTTGTCTTGGCGAAACACAGATCAGTCAAAGTCCGATCATCGCAGCAAAATAATAAAAATTTAACAAGAAAAGAAAAATATACAACTTACATGAGCGGCGCTCCTCGGTTTGAGGGAAGTACTATTGATCGCATCCTCGTGGAAGCCTTTCCACTTCTCAAATGCGTCTCTAGCGCGCTGATGGGCCTCCTCGGTGTCCCAAATCAGCATTTTCGGAGTATAGTCGATTCCAACTTCCGCGCAGTAAGCTTTGATGATAGCTTCGGGGTCGTCGAGAAGGTCATCGGCGTCGACAACGGTGATGCTGACTTCACCGTTCTTCAATTCGCCGTGCTGTCCGGCAATAGCGGGACCAATTTGGTTTTCCTTGCGGAGGAAGTCGAAGACGCGGCGGAGTTCATCGTAGCCGGCCTCGGCTGGCATGAAATTGTAGAAACCGGTGACTTGGTCTAGCGGGGGAATGGTGCATCGCCAGTACGATGGGATGCTGTGACGAGGGTGTCGGATCAAAAATGTGAAGTGGAATTGCTTCAGGATCTCTGCTGGAACGACGGTTGGATTGCCTGGCTCGGCTTCCGTGGAGTAGGGGTATGGAGCCTTGTGATAGCCGTTCGTATTCCCATTGGTGTGTCCATTCGTGACGCCATTCGTGACACCATTGCTAAGAAAACCGGTCTCGCCATTTGTTCCAACTCCTTTCTTCACAGTCTTCCCCCCCAGGGATGGAGCAATAGTAGCTGGTTTTCCCTCAGGAGGTACCAAGTAGTGGGTAATGTCCTTGATAAAAAGGCGTTTTCCCTGCTTGATCATGAGTTTCCAGCTAACGTTAAACAGTGTTTCCAAAGGTAATCAAGCCTGAGTAGGATGGAGGGAGTGACATCTACTAGCACATCAAAAATAAGAGACCGTTATTTTAGATGGACAAGCAATAAAACCGTGACAGACAGCTCTTGACACTGTCTGAATTGAAGCCAAACAGGGTAGCAATCCGATCATCCACGACGTCTACGAGCCGTAATATAGAGGAAGTTCTAAACGTGAAGAACGCACCGTATCGTGTTTTGCAGAAACTTCTTCAAAACGCCCAGAGGCACTTACCCAGGGACATACGGAATTAGGAATATTCGCAGGATTTGGCAAGGCTCGGGGCATGTAGGGGCCGCGCAAAGAGAGGAAGTAGAGCTGAGTCGAACCTCTTTTCCCTCTTGCTCAATCCTCTCGAATATGGTCTTAAAGGTACTGCTCTCAAAGCCACTCTCCTCACGGGCTTTGTCATCGTCTTCGTATCTGGGGCTCAGTCTCTCGGGGCCAAAGTAGAAGGCATCTCCGAAGGGTTCGTGAACGCAGGTTAGGATGTCGCGACGGGTCATGAAAACCTGGAGATAATGTTAGCTTGTAATTTTATTTGATCAAGTGACTTACCCGCTCAAAGGCAGTGCTGCACGCTCTCGGGTGCGTAGCCACAAAAATAGGTTTGTTAGACATGATCTGTTGGTCCTTCAGGAAAGAGTGGTGGGTGTAGTAAGGATGGATCTGGGGTCCGTTGAAGCAATCTGTATTCCAAGTAGAGCTTATGACGTTCTACCCAAAAGATGACAACCGTATCTCAGGTTGGCGGGAGAAGAGAAATGTAGACAATCAATGTCCTGGTAGTTGTGGACAGACGGAAAGACCAAATGGTAGATGTGGATGTGTAGCTGTGGAAGGGGGAGGAGGATACTTATGCCGTGGATGATCAACGTCTGTGGACTAGAAGCCCCCACAGAATTTTTATAGAAAAGGAAGGGGCCAATAAGCTGGGAGAGAGAGTGCGGACGGGGAGTGGAGGGCAGGTGGAACAGGAGGGGGCAGCTGCCGCGCTTGGCCCAGCCAGCCAACAAAAGGCTGGCTATGAGTAATGGCTTGATAGAATGGGCCAAATGGGTACGAAGTAGATGTTGATTCAATACGGAGGTACAGGAGCAATACGTATGTGGTCGTGTCCCTATCCCTATCCCTATCCCTGTCCCGTCCTGCCCTTCCTTGCCCTGTGTTCTTTTCTTTTTTTTCTTTTCTTTTTTTTTGCGCTCAACATGCTTCTTCTACCTTACTCTCCGTAAAAGGCTGGCTACAAAATACGTCAACGACCAGGTCCCATTCGTCCCACAGCCATGGCGTGCAGAAGTGCCCCACTTAAACAACGCCAGTACTTACCTAAGCTAGGTACCCATGCACATGCCGGTTGTGTGGAGGTCGAGGAGGTCGAGGAGGTCGAGTCGGTCTGGATGATTGGAAAGCTGGGTCGAGTCGCGGCATGTGCATGTACGAAACTGTGAAGCGTGGGAGGGGCATGCAGTTGGGACGAAAAGGCATATCATTATCAAAGGCTTTGAAGCTTTCGACACTTTTGGACATTGTTTTTGACGCGGCCGATGTCACTGCTACAGGTCAAGCCCCTCATTATCTCCCAATCGATAAGAGCTGCATGCATGCCGTGATCTTGCGCGAGCGAGGGGGTCGTCACGGTCCTCTCCCAGGGCAGGGCACTGAGTTACTGTACTAGTAGTACGTACAGTACAGTAGCACTGCAAGTCATTCCAGAACCCCGCGGACCTATCTGGGCATAGTCGTAACTCTCAGGTAACTACCGTACAAGTACTTGCATCTTTCTAGAAGCTCAGCCAACTATCCATCCACGCACGTATTTTCCACGTCTTTGCCATGTACTTGTACTTGTACTTGTATATCGGAATAAATCAGATCAATGGTATCCCATTACGTTGGACTGTGAATCGACGCATATGGTGACACTGTTACTCTGCCGTGCCGTGCTACACTCACTACCTGCACCTATTCTATTCCCCCAGAGTTGAAGTACAGTAGGTACCACGCAATTGCTTATCTGATGAGCTCAGCCTCAAGTATATCACTGGTGTCACAAAGTTCTCCTTCCTCACGTGATCTCGGTGGTCGGCCTTTAATGGCCCTGCTCCGGTGTCGCTTCATCTCGAGTTTTTGCACAATTCTGCATTACTAAGACCGAGGCGTTGGATAAGTGCATAAATACTGCGTAAGTGCAATCTGGATAAGAAGACTTTGTCTGTAATGATTCCCCACTATTCGATGCGCCAGTTGACTGTTTCCGTCGTACTTCACAGTTTAACACGAGGTCTACTCTACCTCTACCTATCGTCGACCATTCCAGCTTCCTTTTCTTCTTTCTTTTCCTCCTCGGCGCACTCACCGTGACCTTCTATCTGTTTCTATTCATCGACCAGTCCATTTATCAGGTTACTAACAGCCAGCCAGTACTGTACTTCTTTTCTTCTCGACCCTTTCTCCTACCCTACCTGACTGACTTATCCCACTTCCAAGAGCCAAATCCTAAAGTCTTTTACCCGTGATCTTATATCTCAAATTCAAGTCATCTTCAGTAGTCTAAGCTTGGCCAGAACCAAGCATTGGCGCCGTATCTGCCTGCTTCTACACGTAGCGTTGCGTTGCGTTCTCTTTCCAAAATTTCACCCTTTGAGAAACGCAGACGTCACTCTATATTCGCACTACTGGAGGGATCTACAACTCTCGTCATATAGCATTCACCCAGTCCTCAGATCTAACGGCCGACAAATCTCAAGACCCCCGTTAGATAGTCCTAAAACGATTTTCCCTTCTATTCTTCCCAAGAACCTCACGAGCAGGACCCCTTTGACATGCGCGGCGCTGTCAGAACTTTCGCAACATGACTGGCTCGCCGTTTGAGCAAGGGGCCATATCTGCCGCGATGACTGTCTCAAACTCCCCCGAGTCTCCAGAATCTTTCGAAGTCGACGAGGAGTCCAATTCAATGCAATCAGCGCATTGGCAGACGCAGGACCAGACATCTCCCAATTCGACCTCACAAACGCGCACGACTGCGCCTTTGCAGAAACGAAGGCGAGTTACAAGAGCATGCGACGAATGCAGGAGGAAGAAGATAAAGTGCGACGGAAAGCAACCGTGTACACATTGTACTGTGTACAGCTATGGTATGTAGATTTGTCCATGTGGGGCGAAAAAAAAGTTACTGACATGTTCGCAGACTGCACATACGATCAGCCTTCGAATAGGAGAAGAAATCCTGCGCCACAATACATTGAAGCTCTAGAAACACGGTTGCAGCGAGCAGAAACCCTTCTACGAACACTCCTTCCTAACCTTGATCTAAATGATCCGAATATTGAGGCTACAATTCAACAACGCCAAGCGGGGAATGCCAAGGGATCCTTATCAGGGGGAGCATCAAGCGATGCGGCTGCAGAGCAGGATGCCCAATTACGATCCATGATAGCATCTACAGGTCAGCTTGACCTAGATGATAGCGGCCATTGGGATTTCCATGGAGGCTCATCCGGAACAGTCTTCGTCAAACGCATGCGCGAACAACTTGGAAGCTTGTTAAGTGTCGAGAAACCTGGTAGTGCCTCATTTCTCCCGAAACTACCGCGACCTTATCCTGCTGTTCTACTGGATTCACCACGTTCCGCGACAGAATCTCCTCTCGATGGAGGCCTTCCCAATACAGTTGATCTTCCAAGTAAAGATGTCGCAAGGACATTGTGCGAGCATTCTTTGGATACAGCGTGCTCTCTACTTCGATTTGTTCACCAACCGACTTTCTATATTATGTTTGAAAGAATCTACGAGGTTCCTGTCGAGAATTTTGGCAACGAGGAGAACCAATTCCTAGCCCTACTCTACGTTGTACTTGCTCTGGGTTGTATGTTTGACCGGCAAGGTGATGATTATGAGCAATCATATAAAGCTGGAATCGATCATGGGTAGATTTAACCCTTCATTAATCCCACACCAGACCACCATTCATTGTCTTCATATCAATTTGACTTGTCACTCCATTATCTTCTACGTTCAACGAGACTAATTTTCACATATAGCCTAAAATATTTCAGGGCGGCACGTCAAATGATGGATATAACAGATTGTCGTGATATCATGCCGTTGCAGGCTCTACTCTTCATGATTCTTTTCCTTCAAGCGACTGCCAATTTAAGCACGTGCTATTCGTATATTGGAATTGCTTTGCGATCTGCCTTGCGGATGGGGTTGCATCGAAATCTTGCTGGGAGCTTCAATCCAATCGAACGTGAAACTAGGCGGCGCCTGTTCTGGATAATTAGGAAGATGGATACTTACGTTTCTGCATTGTTGGGTTTCCCAATGATGCTAAGTAACGACGATATTGACCAAGAATTACCACTCGAGGTTGATGATGAGTATATTACTAAAGACACAATCCTTCCCATGCCACAGGGCAAGATATCACTTTATACAGCCTCCAACGCACATACACGTCTAATGGCAATCCTTTCGAAGGTCGTCAAATACATATATCCAACCAAAGGTCTAGAACAGTCAGTTCAAGGTTGCGCAACAGCTTCATATGTTATCAGCCATGCGAAGATCAGAGAGATTGAACGAGACTTGGCAGATTGGCTTGATAAACTACCCATGGCTCTGCGACCTGGGGGAACTGGATCACCAGACCTTCTTCGGTAAGTTTACTCGCGGGAAATCAATTCATGATATGGCACTCCATATTATGCAGTGAACGAAGGACCAGCTGACATTTATCAATAGTGTGCAACAACTTCTACGTCTAGCTTATGCTCACGTACAAATGATGCTATATCGGCCATTCCTTCATTACGTCTCTCGAAAAGCAAATGCTGGGGGCAAACTTGATGAGCGCTCCTATGCTTGTGCTGCCGCATGTGTCAGTGTCGCAAGGAACATCGTTCATATCACGTCTGAGATGAAAAAGCGGGGTCTCTTATTAGGGGCATATTGGTTCACGATGTATACAACTTTCTTCGCAATTTTGTCTTTGGTATTTTTTGTACTCGAGAACCCAGACAAGGCTGGGTCCCAAGAGATTCTCGTGGATGCGAATGACGGAAAAGCTGCTCTCGAAGGTCTTGCGAAGAAAAGTCAAGCTGCAGACCGTTGTTCTGTGGCTCTCAGGGTAAGTCGCTAAATATGTTTTCCTGCACGCCAAGCTAATAGAAACAAAAGTCACTGTTTGAGCAATTGCCTAAGAGGCTAAGGGAAGGACGAATGCCAAATATTCTTCCCAAGAAGAAGCGCTCCGCTCCATCACCAAACCTTGGACCACGTGGCACGAACACTCCTAACTCTCAGGATCGGCCTAAGTTGGACTCGAGCACTCCTGTTGTATCAGTACCAAGGTCGACGACCTTCCCGGTGTCCACACCCAATCAGAATAGCAACCTTCAGAGATCCTCGCTTGATGGCAATCGGTTCCAGCTTAACACATTATCAACCCCAAATTTGAGGCAAAGCTACCATGAGATGATGTCGCCCAAGGACTTTTCCAATACTGGAACGCCAAATTCTAGTAGCGCTAGCCCTAGCATGTCACAGCCTTACTCTACTCCTCATCAATTCGGCGCTGTTGATTCATTCAATGACCTCAATTCAATGATGTTTCCATCAGCAGATCCATTTGCGTACCCACCGAACCACCCGATGATGGAATTGGAGAATTTTAAACAAGAAAACACTGGGATGGCCAACGATTCTCAGACCCCGTCCTTTCTCTCAGATACTGGGGCACCTGGAGTATATGATGATCTTGAGGGTCAACTTTTTGGTCCAATACCACCTTATCTAACACAAGGACAACAGAACTACGATTTTCAGGGACAATCAAGTTCAGGAGGAATGATGTCCCATCTGAACCCTCCAGATATGAATTACCACCCTGGCTTGACTCCGAATGGAGATATGAATTTCTTACTGTCGGGCGATAGTAGTGAATGGGACAATATACTTGCAGATGGACGGCTTCGATGAAATCCTTAAGTGGGTATGCAAGAGTGGTGTTTGTTTATATTGTTTAAAGATGTATGTTAGGAGTCACTTGGGATAGACTTGGGGGCGAATCTGGTATTAGGTGGGAAAGGCCGTGCACGCTTTGCGTTGGCGCTGGGTTGGCTGAATGTTTTAATGATTATTGAGAAACGAGTTCATGATTTATACGCAACAATAATTCGCCTTGCACATAGAATGTACCTCTTGTTCCTCTTGGCTTTTGACTCGCTCTTCTCAGGGCTGCTATATATGAGGTTTGAAAAAAGGGTGGTTATGCACGGTCCATATACACGTGACTTTGATAATTGGACAGCTGCCTGGACCGCGTTATATTTACCCCACAATCGTGTCTTCCTTTAGATCGCCCTCTACATAAACTCCTCACAACTCTTCAACTGGATTTCGAACCAAGATGACTGGGACTCAGAACCTTCCTTCCTCTCCCACGCAAAGTCGCAGTAAGAAGACGCTGTTGGTTACTGGTAAATGACGACCTGCATTATAAGCTTTTACAGCTATCTAACATTGCCCAGACCCCCCGAAATTTGACCTGGAATCATACATACAAAACTACCAAGGTACTCCACTAAATCTTTAATAATATCTAGCACGTAGCTGATATACTTTCAGGACGAACCAGATTTGAACGGCTCCTCCAGATTGGCCTTTGCTCAACTTTCCTCGGAGTCGACGCTCTCAGGCTTGCGGTCAAGGAGGCAAAGCAGGGCAAGGACACCAAGCGATACATACAAGCACAAGGTCATCTGCAAACGATAGGCCCGAATGAACCTGAATCTCGGAGGGACCAAGCATGGATCGAAGCTACGGACAAGAAGAACCAGGCAGAGACAACCCGCCTCCAAACCGAGCTGAATGGATACAAACATAATCTTATTAAGGAGAGCATTCGTGTATGTTATTCGTACCACCTTACGGAATTACTTGGAGATTTTGGTTTGGCTAATTGCAACACAGATGGGCAATGAGGATCTTGGCAAGCAATACCAGGCGATGGGCGATCTCCCAAAGGCATCCGAAGCTTTTAGTCGTATGCGACAAGACATCAGCATTTCGAAGCATATTGTAGACGTCAGCCGACACCTTATTGAAGTAGCTACCGAGCAGAGAAACTGGATGACAGTCACTTCCAATGTGCAGAAGATCAGAGGTATCCTTTCGTCTTCAGACGAGGACAAGTCCATCCTCCCATATCTCCAGGCTGCAGAGGCGTTGGCTTGTTTCGAAAATGGAGATTACCGTAATGCTGCTCTTGTATTCCTTGGCACTGATACAGGACTGGGTTCGACCGCTGCGACGATTATCAGCCCCAACGATGTCGCCATTTATGGTGGCCTTTGTGCTCTTGCAAGTATGGACCGGAATGAGCTGCAAAAGAAGGTGCTTGAGAACTCGAGCTTCCGAACATACCTGGAACTGGAGCCGCAAATTCGACGTGCCATCGCGTTCTTCGTGAACAGCAGATATACTGCTTGCCTAAATGTCCTGGAAACATACCGGGCGGATTACCTCCTGGACATCTACCTGCAGAAGCACTTTGAAGAACTCTATCATTTAATTCGCAGCAAGAGCATTGTTCAGTACTTCATTCCTTTTTCATGTGTCACTGTCGATAGCTTGAATCAGGCTTTTGCTCCACCGGGAAAGACTGTAGACAAGGAGCTAGCAATGATGATCCAAAATAACGAGCTCAATGCAAGAATCAATACCATTGAAAGGGTAAGTTGTAATGACAACCTTCCTTGTAGCCAAGCTAATAAAGATCCAGCTCCTCGAGGCAGTCCCTTCCAACCCCCGAACCGAACTCCAACGAGGTGCTCTTCAGATAACCGATGACTATGCCCGCGAGGCGCGCCGCCGAATCATGCACATGAATGTGTCGATGGCAGATCTGGAAGTCAAGGGAAAGCGTGGCACCGGACACAACAACATGGGCCTTTCAGACGACCTATTCGGTGAACCGGTGGGTCGGGAGCTGCGGTCGAGAGGCGCTGGCTCGACCATGTTATCGTGAGGAAGTACTATTATGACGAGAAAATGATTTGGCCAGATTGGGGAGCGAATATGGCGTATGGATGCTGAATTGGGGCATTTGTTTTGGCGTTATGGAGTGCAAATGGTGCATAGAGGCAACTACATAGGTTGTTGGAGACTGGCGTTGCGAACAATAGAAGCTGATATCGCTTGCTTTTCGCAAAACAAACTCTTTGAGGAGATGTATATTCATGGTAAACTGATCTATTGATGCAATTTCCATTGCCATTTTTGAGATCCCCTTGTATAAATATGGCGAGTGCCACTTGTAGTGTCTCCCGTTGCTTTCTAAATATTGTCTTGAGTTTTGATATAACAACGAAAAGCAATTTGGACGTTTATATACTGTCCTGATTAAGCTTCTAGGTGTTTCAAGATATCCTTGCAATTACTCATTTACTCACTTGAGTGTCGAGAGCAGTTAGGATGGGTGGATGGATGGATGCTACGGAACGGATATAGGGTAAGGGTATGTGTGTTGGATTAGCATAAAATAGCATGCTAAATTGATTATCCAACAGAAAGAAGGAAATGAGTTGTTTTATACCTCAGTACCTTCAACGTCGTAAATGCACTCACTGACTCTTTGGGGAAGCTTGCTTGCAGTTTAACAGTTGATCGGTCTATGGTTGTGCAAGCTTCCAAGCCTGCTTCTCTTGTGTATGCCCAAGAAGGTAAATTGTTGCACGTCGCGATTTTGAGCTGATGCTCTGGACCGCGTTAGTCAGGATGCTAGGAAAGAAAGGAGGTTGGGGGATATATATAAGTATGTGCTAGCATGACACCGGTGTACCAAAGTTGCTTTGAATCTAGGTATGCATACCTTTCGCTGACCGCTTTCTCACCACTCTGAGTACTTGGTTCTGGAACATGACTTGATTTGCTGGGGGGCTTTTGTCGCGCTTCATATTATACCTTTTTTATAGCATAGTATAGTAGTACCTAGAACGATCAAAGGAACCCCGGGGTCGGTTTATGCTACTTGGAGAAGAGCTTCCCAATACAGTACTTGGATCTTCGGCAAACCTCTTCCTATACTATCAGCTTGTTACTGAATTAATTGCCCTCGGTACCTACTAATTGTCAGACGAAGGCCTGCCTTATTGGAACGAGGCATGGATTGAAGGCCGACGCGTCCCTAAACAATATGCTATTCTATTCCAGGTGGAATTTGCTAAACTTCTGCCGTAGATGTATAATGTCTCACCCCGTAATGATATAAAGACACTTTGACCAAAATTAGTGTTGCATTTGGTCTGATATGAGTACACAATGGAGTGATTCTCTCCACGAAATGATCATACAATGTCCATGCCCATACTATACAAGGTCATCTATGCCACCTCCCCCGTATTTACAGCACAATATTCTCCGGCTTCTTTGTTTGCTCCTTAACCGGCTCAACCTTCTCCTCTGACGTCTGCTCCTCGACTTCCTCAACCAAAACCTCCTGTGGCCTTCTATCCTGCATCGGCCCATGCACCACATTCCCACTCCACGTCTCCGCATACTCTGCATCCAACATATTGTTCCACAAAACCTCAACAGGCGCCCCCGTCCCCTCTCCATGCAACCCAAGCCTGGTCCCCTTCTCCTTCCCAACCTCTACGGCATCTAACCTGCTACACACAAACGCCATATCCGCCACACTATTCGGCTTCTGATCCATCAACTTCCAGCCCACCATCTTCCTCCTCACATGATTCTTTTTCTTTCCCTGCTGCTTCTCCGACAAACCCTTATACTTACCTTCAGCCACATAAGCGCCCTCTAGGTAATCCGTCCTCTCCTTCTCATTCGGGAATAATGATTTCACACTCCATTCTAGCTCGTGACGGCGCCGGAACTCGCGCAGTCTTTGAAGCGCGGAGATCCCGATGGTCGGGGAAGGGAAGGTTAAGGTGGCCAGGGGTGTCCAGTGGTCTTTCCGCAGGGCGCGAGGGACGGTTTTTTTGCCGTTGAAGGGGATTTGGCGCAGAGATTTGTGGTTCTGTGTTTCGTGTTAATTAGCATTTAGCCCCCTGAGAGAAAGATATAGAGAACTCAGAAAGGCGAGGAAGAGTACTTTTAAAGTTTTGGTTAAAGAATACACGACGTGATTCCTCTGCAAGTGGTTGTAGACGAATATCTGCCGGCCCAATTCGAGCTTTGGTGGCTCTGGAGCTGTCGAGGCATGCCGTGCCCCTCGGATTACGAGTATCGCATGCCGCGCGAGGTCTGTTGTAGGGCGGACGTTCATTGTGTGTGTTGACGCCTGGGGAGTGTATAGTTTGATGCTTGAGTTGAGGTCCTTCAAACTGAACACTTGTGGTTTAGCGCAGAACTTTGCGCACCTTACCAAATTTGGACAACTGTAACTTAAATTCCATACCTTTTGGTGTTGGGAAGTTAGTTGCATCCCTTCTACATTCATACCAACCTCACCTTTTAATCAGATCGATTTTTCGATTGTTATTTCCCAGATTCTAAGACGACTTAATAACAATGATAGGAAGTGCCCTACGTATCTACGAAAACCCTCATTTAACCGCGCGAAATTGTCTTAGCTTCAGCCTCAAAAAAGGAAGTGAGTACTTACGCGCTGAGAAATCATATTGGTTACGAGCCGCAAGGCGCCCGCATTGTCTATGCCTGTTCTCCGATACTTAAGCGGCTGGAAATGCTGCGGTTGGAGGGCAAGGCGTCAGCGCATCAATATAAAGCCGCCCAAATAACCTCCCTGAAGTCGCATATCAAAAAGTTCACTTTGCTCTGCCGTCCATATCAAAAATCTCCATCGCCACGAGGAAAACATTGACATTATGACGGGATTATTTTCGAAAAGCAATTGTTTCACGCTATGTCTGCTTCTATTATCACTTATTGTTCCTACCGTAATTGGCGCGGCCATGACCTTCTTTGAGATATCTGGAACATATATTCGATCTTACGGGGTTTTGGTCGGAAGGAATCGAGCATCTATCCACGATCCTTGGCGCTTTGCAAGTGTATGCGGTATCCAGTATGATTAAGTTTGGGGCGAATATCAAACTGCTATCAAATTCTGTTTCGCTCAACACTCTGAAGCTTTGGCACGTAACTACCCTCGGAACACTTGACTTCGAGCTTTCCAAGAGCAAAACAGCCGCGGTAGTCATTTGGTTTGCCCTGATTCACGTTCCTTCGGCACTTTGCACTGGATCTATCATGCCAGTGGTTGCAACTGCAGATGTTCAATCATCTTACCAAATTCCTGATTACAGCCAGGAGACTTCCTCGTATTGGGGGAATTTGTGCCCTCCTGTGACTCCATGTATTGATCGTATCTTGGGAAACACATCAGATTTGGCCACCTTTCCGTATGCGGCATGGAAAAGTGAGTAAGCCTTTTTGATGTTCACTATGCGTTGAAACTAATCATAACACGTCGTGGCAGCCAAGACTGGGTTACTTATCAACTCAATTAATCAAGCTTCCAGTCGCAATTATTCCGGTCCCTAGAATAGCAAGCTGGACAGCACTGGGTTTACCTACCGTGGCCGTCCATTTAGTATTGCCTCCACGATTGGTCTAGTAGAACCTCCATCTCAAGAAATCGCAAAGACTCGAGATTCCGAGCTCCTCAGTTTTACTTTCGTCGAATATGGCTATTCTTCCAGGTAGCATGCAGATACAACGAATCTAGTCTCCTTAGTTTCCATGGATTAGGCTATGTGCGCACGCCGGGGGGAATTTACGGCCCCATGGGAGAATGGGTTGATGGTCCGAATGGAAATTTGTCAGGCTTCCTAACCTGGGGAGTGGTTAATAGCAGCTTCATCACTGGTCTAGCTGCTGTGAATGAATCACAGTATATGTACGGATTTGTGGCCGGAAGCTATTATAGCCTGTTGAACACAGCTCAATGCGAGGTTACATTCACGCCAACTGCTTTCCCGGTGTCCGTCGACATGGTCAATAAAACCATCTTAGTTACGCGGGCTACACATGAGAACCAGACAGCCGTCGACATCGATCCTTCTAGAGCACTGGCCAATATGTCTTTCTCTGGTTTGATGTACCTATTTCAGACACTTACCACCATGTATACGTCAGTTCTCGGAGACTCATTCTTCAATAACATTGACAACGTTCGACAACGAAGCAGTCATGTGAATAGCACAAGTACCGATTCTCTCTCTGGTATCGAAGAAGGGCTTGAATTACTGCTCGATCACTTCCTAGGAAGCAGCAGGGCAGCCCAAGTGATGCTCTCGGGCAGCTCGAAGCTCGTCGACACAACAATGGTCATCCATGTCATCCGTTTCGGCGATCCGATCTTTATTTATTGGTCTTTTGGCATCAGCCTAGCCATATCAATTCTAGCTGTCGAGGATGCGATTAGGACTAGGAAGTGGAACACGCTACCTCTCCTCAACAGCCGAGATCTGAAATCCGCAATTATCGCTGCAGCGAATGGAGAGAACTTTCTGCCGGTCGCGAAGTATTGAGACGGGGATAAGGAAGATGGTCATGGTCTCTGAGGTTCAGAAGAGATTTCACTTCTGCGACTAACTTAATAAGACTTTCTGTTTTCTACTACTACTTGTCTGAAGTAAATCTTGCCTCGCGTAGTACATATCAGGGGTGTTTACTTTACTCCCTGAATCTCCGACTAGGTATTTTAGCGATGCCCGTCAGGCGACGCCCGAGCGACAGGGGTGCATTACATAAGGCACTGCCTAGGTACCCCACCCCACACCGAATAGCTCCCCTGCCCTGCCCTGTTCCGTATGGGGGCGGTGACGGAGGGCAATAAGGTGGGCTAACGACCGCTGTCACCGAACCGGTTTTTTCCAGTGAAGGTTCCAGAAGCCACCATTTAATGCGAGTTCTTGGTGGGCTGTTCCAGGAGACTCCAGTTCACACCAGATCCTTACGACATCGAATAATCCAAATATAAAATAAATCCTCCTTCCGAAACTCGCATGTTGTTCTCTCTTCATTATTCAATACAAACTCAATTGTAAATAAGGGTGAAAACAAGACCACAACCATTCACGGTTAGTCAGACATAAACACCGACGAAACTGAACTACAACAACCACAACAACCACTGATCAGACATTGATCCTATAGACAATATGTCTACCTCGAACATGAACTTCACGGATAGGGCCTCAAAAGCCCTTTCCGACGCTATGGCCGTAGCAGAAAGCTACGCTCACTCACAACTACTACCCCTCCATCTCGCCCTCTCCCTCCTCGATCCTCCACCAGACGAGTCGAAAGACCAGCAAGTTACAGCAAACGCCTCACACGGTGCAGCATCACAATCCCTCTTCCGCCAAGTCGTCGAACGAGCCCATGGCGATCCACAAGCTTTCCAGCGAGCCCTTCAAAAGGCAATCGTCCGGCTGCCCAGTCAATCACCACCGCCAGAACAAATAGCTATGGCACCTTCGTTCACAAAGATTCTGCGGTCTGCACACGAATTACAAAAGACACAGAAGGACTCATTCATTGCAGTTGATCATTTGATCATTGCACTATGCCAGGACCCCACCATTCAGGTCGCCATGACTGAGGGCAATATGCCCAATGTCAAGTTGATCCAAGACGCCGTCCAACAAATTAGAGGCACACGCCGGGTCGACTCCAAGACGGCAGATGCTGAGGAGGAAAATGAAAACTTGAAAAAGTTTACAATCGACATGACAGCAATGGCGAGAGAGGGTAAGATGGACCCTGTTATTGGTCGAGAGGAGGAGATCCGCAGAGTTATTCGAATTCTGTCTCGCCGAACAAAAAATAACCCGGTCCTGATTGGAGAACCCGGTGTTGGAAAGACCACTGTCGTCGAAGGTCTTGCGCAACGAATCGTCAATTCGGACGTTCCGGACAATCTTGCGGCATGCAAGCTGCTTTCACTCGATGTTAGTTCTATTGTTGCGGGCAGCAAATACCGGGGAGAATTCGAAGAGAGAATGAAGGGAATTCTGAAGGAGATTGAGGAGACCAAAGAGATGATCGTTCTCTTCGTTGATGAGATGCATCTTTTAATGGGTGCTGGGTCGAGCGGAGAAGGTGGAATGGATGCCGCCAACATGCTCAAGCCTATGTTGGCACGAGGGCAGCTACATTGTATCGGTGCAACGACCCTAGCCGAATACCGCAAATATATAGAAAAGGATGCAGCTTTCGAACGTCGGTTCCAGCAAGTCCTTGTCAAGGAGCCGTCGATTCCTGAAACAATCTCTATTCTTCGAGGTCTCAAGGAGAGATTCGAGGTCCATCACGGAGTCAACATTTCTGATAGCGCTCTTGTTACTGCGGCTACATTAGCTGCCCGATACCTTACCCAGAGACGACTACCCGATTCAGCTGTTGATCTCATCGATGAGGCTGCAGCCGCAGTCAGAGTCGCTCGCGAGTCGCAGCCCGAAATCCTCGACTCATTGGATCGAAAGCTCCGGCAATTGAAGATTGAAATTCATGCCTTGTCACGAGAAAAGGATGAGGCTTCTCAAGCACGTCTTGCACAAGCCAAGCAGGATGCAAGCAACGTCGAAGAAGAGCTAAGACCCATGCGCGAGAAATACGAGAGTGAGAGGGCTCGTGGCAAAGCTATTCAAGAGGCCAAGGTCAAACTTGATCAGCTACGTGTTAAAAAAGATGATGCCACTCGAACAGGTGATGATAGCCGAGCCGCCGACCTGCAGTACTACGCCATTCCTGAGCAGGAGCAATTCATCAAAAATCTAGAGAAGGAGAAGAAGGCTGCCGATGCGGCTCTCAGCCTCAACAGCAACCCAGACTCTGGCGGATCCCTGATTACAGATGTCGTTGGCCCCGAGCAAATTAACGAGATTGTTGCTCGTGCCACCGGCATTCCAGTCACGAGACTAAAGACTACGGAGAAAGACAAGCTTCTACAAATGGAAAAGGTTCTAGGCAAGGTTGTCGTTGGACAAAAGGAAGCCGTTCAAGCAGTTTCCAACGCTATTCGTCTTCAACGTTCTGGACTTAGCAACCCCAACCAACCTCCCAGCTTCCTGTTCTGTGGGCCTTCCGGAACCGGTAAGACTTTACTTACCAAAGCTCTTGCTGAGTTCCTGTTCGACGACCCTAAGGCCATGATTCGGCTCGACATGTCCGAATATCAAGAGCGTCACTCTCTCAGTAGAATGATCGGTGCTCCACCAGGATACGTTGGACACGATGCCGGTGGACAACTCACCGAGGCACTTCGTCGCAAGCCCTTCTCCATCCTCCTCTTCGATGAAGTCGAGAAGGCCGCAAAGGAAGTACTTACCGTCTTGCTTCAACTCATGGATGATGGCCGTATCACCGATGGTCAAGGACGTGTCGTCGATGCACGAAATTGCATTGTCGTTATGACATCCAACCTCGGAGCTGAGTATCTTCAACGCCCAACTACCAAGAGTGGAAAGATTGATGAAACGACAAAGAAGATGGTTGAGAAGGCTCTTCAGGATTATTTCCTTCCCGAGTTCCTCAACCGTATCAGCTCGACCGTAATTTTCAACCGCTTGGCACAATCCGAGATCCGCAAGATCGTGGATCTTCGCCTTGTAGAAATCCAGAAGCGTCTCGAAGCCAATGGCAGGACTGTAAGAATCGATTGTTCACCCGCTGTCAAAGATTGGCTTGGAGCTGCAGGCTACAATCCTCAATATGGTGCTCGACCACTGGCGAGGTTGATCGAGAAGGAGATTTTGAATAGGCTTGCTGTACTCATTTTAAGAGGTAGCATCAAGGATGGAGAAACTGCTCGTGTTGTTATGGAAAACAACAGAGTTGCCATCTTGCCAAACCACCAGGAGTCGGAAGAGAGTTCGAGTGAGGATGAGATGGACGTCGATGATGCTGTAGAGACGCTGGAGGGCGAGGATATGGACCTCGGGCTTTACGAATAATATGATCCCAACATACTTGATGAGCGATGAATGGCGCGGCGTCTCTTTTCCTGGCAAGGCGTTTGAATTTGGTGACAAGAATACTTTACATGTTAATAGCCTATGTAACTATCATCGAAAATAAACCGATAACATATATCTTACTTGATTTAGATAAATGGACATATACTGGTTCAAATGAAGCTGTTTTGAATGTGCCACGTCTGTGATATACAAACGCGATAAAGAGTCCGAATTGAGCAGGACTTACTAGAGGTATTGAAATTAATGTCTCGACTTCAACATAATGTATAATTCTTACTGAGCCATTCGCATCATCTGTCTCGTCTTGCGACAATTATGAATTGTTGTGAAGTTATGGGGACATCACGTTTCACTACATCAGATGAAACCCAGCGTCAAAGCGTGTTCATAACTTTTCCACCCCCCAAACACACTCTTCAAATCCACCAATACGGATTTTTTAGACACCGCCAAAAGCTTCCATGCCAAGAAGTGCTTGACCGCGGTCCGCGCACCATGCCATGCCTCTCAGGTGACTTGTGAAGTTCTGAGAGCAGAAGATCATACAGTACAAAGCTGTATGATCGACCGCCTAACGCTTTCAGACCTTCCCACCCCAAGAGCCGCAACCTCTGCGACAACTAGCACCTCAGAGCTAGTTTCAAAGTCCTCAAGAAGGTTGACTGCACGCGAGTAGGCGCCAAAGCCAAGATTGAGTATTGAGAAAGACGAGATGACAGGAGAGGCAAGATGAGACGGAGAGCCCAATCGAAACCATTATGCCTCTCAGTGTGCTTGCTATGGCTTGGCAGTATCATCACCCTCAGAGTTCAGTGTGCGTGCTATGGCTTGGCAGTATCATCACCCTCAGAGTCGAGGTGAGTATAGTATAAGATGGACTGGTATGCACATAAGTTAAGTTCTTTTATCTTCAGCTGTGCTCTAGTTTCTACACCTCCCTCTTTACTCAAGCGTTTGAATACCTCCGTCTTTTACCTTACACTCTTTGAAGCCAGCTGTGCTCGCTATACCATATTTATACTTCTATTGTTTATATCTTTTCAAACCACCATTTTTGAAGTATCAATCAGCCAAACAACACCATCATCATGCAGTTTTCATTCGCAACCGTTTCCCTGGCACTCTTCGCCCTCTCCCTCGCCTCCCCAGTCCCAGTGCCCAAGAAAGCAGCAGCCACAAGCTCAGCCTCCACAGCATCCGCCACTGCAAAAGCCGCAAAGGCAAGTAGCACATCAGCGGCGACCGCCGGAGCGGCAGCTGGAGCCAGTGTCCTGACAGCATCCACTTACAACGACATTCAAATCTCCGGCGGAACCGCTGGTACCGCAGAAACAGAAGCCAACGCCCTGTTCTCGAAAATCGACCAAACCAACCTGGCGGGTGTATCAGCCGCTGATCTGGCCGTCATCAAGGCGACCCATGATGCTGCTGAGGATGCAGAAACATCTGCTTTCAACCCAGCTATCGCTGCTGCGAGTGGAGATGCTGCGACTGCGCTAACGGTATGTTGTCCTTTCGTTATGCTATGTTGTGTTTATTATTTGAAAGCGAAACGTTTGGACTGATTTGTGATCGCGATAATAGAATGGCAAAATAAAGAACAAGGTCCTCAAGCTTACTGCTGAGGTTCTGGGTATTCAAATTGATGCTGCGCAGGGAGGAGATGGATCTGATCTTGCAGCTGAGCAGACTAAGCTTACGACTAATATTGGGCTTGATACGGCGGCTGCTGGACAGGCTTCGACTGCTGTTCCGTTTGATGCTACTACTTAATTGTGTGTATGTAGGTCTCAGATGGAGGGAGAAGAGTGAAGGGAAGATGAGGAAATGTATATTAGCCCGACATTGGGAAATCCAAATGACAATGCCTCAAAGTAGTTGAACGTTCTCAGTATGGTGTAGACTTGCTTTACGTGGATGCATTTGGGGGGCATCCGCCTGGTTGGAGTAGCCTTAAAACCCGCCCATCGCTGCTTACCCGAGAGACTGTCTCACAATCAACCAAATGTTCACAAAAGCATAGTGATCTTCATTTCGAATCCAAACGTCTGTGCCCACCGGAATGCTCGAGCTCCTGAATCTCATCAAAATTATCTTCCAGGTCCACGTGAACTCTTAATTCCTTCTCGCCCATTACCCTCCACGTCCCTTTAAGTTCGTCGAAGCTAGCCAAGTCACCCATTTTCTCAAACCCAGTAATATAGAGCTCCTTTGCCTGTTCTTGAAGTCAGCCAAGTTCAATAATGTCCCACAGCCCTCGAGACATCCGAAAACGGGCGCGGAAGGGAATTGGTGTCAAATAGCTTACCCAAGGACAGGCTCTTAAGGCCCTGTACCAAATATCCTTCGCTTTTGATCTGAACTGCTGCGTCTCGAGGCAAAACAGGATGTAGAATTTCCATAGGCCAGCTGAGGACTTTGAGGCTGGCGAGTTAACGGCGTGCTCGAAGGCAGAGCGCACGGAATGGATAGTGCCGTAGCCAATCTCATAGTAGATGGCGAAGAGACGTGACGTTAGGACGTCGTTCTGGGGCGTAAGGATAGTCGAAAAGAGGATGTTGCGGACTCGGTTGTCTATTCGGAGACGGGACTCATTCCATGTGTAGAGCGAAAGGAATATGGTATTTTGCGGGAAGAGGGTGATGAAGTGCGATAGCCGTTCCCGGAGGAGGACTGGGCGGAAGGGTCCAATGCGGGCGTGATGGTAGAGAAGGCGGGCGGCGGATTGTAGGAGGAGTTCGTGTGAGGGCGATTGGGAAAGGTTTCGGCTGGTTAGTGTGTTGGATACTTTTTCATGGCATGCAAGAGCACTGGCGATATCGCCTTGGACCTCAGATTGTGGTTCTTGGCTTGTGTTAGCGGTCAGGTATTCGAACATGGCCAAGCATTCGCCGTATCTGCGTTTGAGTCAGTATTTGCCCGGCGCGGTTTAAAGTTTCAGTTTACACGAGACAGTAAAATGGACTTTTGAGATGCTGGGAAAGATTGCTTACGTGGTGGCGAAGCGGGTATCGCCTGCGGACAGGAGGTAGTCGCGGTTCGATATAAGGTGTTGTTTAGTTTTGAACAGAGCTGTCGGAGATACTTCGACTGATGTATTGCTGGCACCATCCGCTATACATAGCAGATGCTGCAACGCAGAGCTCTTACCTCCTTCTTCCAAAGAAGTCCAAATCCAATTCGTCCATAACATAATAGATCCCCTCTTGTCGCTCTCAGACATAGATTTGCTCATATTCAGAGCAGCAGAGAACACGCCATCTGCAACATCCTTATTCCCTCTGCCTGATTCAATCATTGCGTAGGCATTATACAATCTGAGACTAGAAGGATGTTGCTTCAGAAGGTTCTTCGAAACCTTCTTGATTGTTTCTGGCTCATTCCTCCATTCAAACGCCAAATAGTACTCGGCCAAGTCCTCTCGAAAATGTGCCTGGACAACCTGCTTGAGGGCATTTCGAGTCCATTTGTAGGACACCGGTCCGTACTCTCCTGCATAACGGTCACGCCAATCAGCAATTCCTGTAAGTATGAGGGGTTAGTATTGCCTGATCGAGAATAATCTTGGGTTTGTAGAATATTTAGAATGTCTCAGAACTCCTGAAACATTAAAAGTGGCATTCAAATCCACAGATCTATCGGAGTAAGGCGAAGAAAGGCCGGGTAAATTACATACCTTTGAACCAAAACTTAGAACAGAACATTGTGCTAGGCGAGCTCTGATAGTTGGACAGTGGTATGTCTAATGCAGTCGATATGTCGAAATTACCACCTTCTAGCTCGGTCTTCTTCGCGTATGCGTTGGATATCCAAGCAGAGTTACATTCAAGCAAATCATTCCCCACAAACGCGTCTGTAAAATAAGATTGGGTAGTACTTTCGTCGAGAATCCCCAATGGCGGTAATTGACAGAAGATGAGAAACGCGTCAAGGAGGCTTTTGCGTAGTTCTTCCACATTGGGTGGGAGTATTATAAGGAACTGCTCAATGTCAGGGAAGAGAATCACCCGAAACGGGTCGTCTTCGACAACATCATCCATGGTTCTCGCTGGAAAGAACGCATCTTTGCATCTTAAACGCTCATTGTTTGCCCAGCTTTGGAACAAATTCCCATTGTCCAGACTGTTTTCTTCTTCTGCGACGAGTGCATCTACTTCTAGAGCATCTTGATTCTCAATATGATAGCGCCAACCACTGGCACCATCATCCCCGATTCGAGGAACTTCGCTCTCCCAGAAATCGCTGAACAGACGAACGCCTTCTTCTGTTGACATTGCTTGCTTCGGAGTGCAGAAATTGACCTCAAGTAGCCCCTGCCAGATTGCTACTGCGAGCTCTGAATATCCAGCTTCACGCATAAACGTCGTAAGCCGGATTAAAACATATAGGATTTGCTGGTAAATAGGATTGACGGTGTCATTGCCTGTTCTAGAGGCAACCTCAGAGAGAAGTTTGATTCTCCTGATGCAGATATCCCGGGTCTCTTCGTATCGAAATGTTGAGAATGTACTTTGCTTGAAATCAAGAAAGCTTCTCCAGAGCATTAGACTATCAATGTTGTCCTTAGAGATTTTCTCCCAGCGATCGGATTGAGCTTTGGTGTCCCATATTTTTGCCCCATCTTCCATTAAGCCAAGCAGAAGCCTTTCACGATCTCTCAAACTCGTTGCTCTTTCAAGCGCTTTTTCATACATGTGAATCTTGATTTCCGCTGTACTCTTCGTCTCAGCATTGGTTATCCGGCGACGGTCATCTTGGCCTCGTAAAAGAACATCCTGATGCCCGATCAATGCTAGCCAAGCATCGATATCATTGGGATGTTGTTCAATCCGCCGACTCAGTTCAACATTCTTTTGCCGCCGAGAGGCATCAGAATCCAACTTGAATCCTGCCTCAGATCCTGACGACTCGCTTTCTGTGGCGTACTGTAAAGCCTCATCAGTTGGCTGGCTTCTGGCCTTTGACTTTCCATGTATCGAGCGGTAATGAGTATCATCATTATCAGAACCAAAACTATCGTTCCCACTAGTCCTCTTGCGTTTCTTTCCCCTGACCAGATCTAGAGACACAAAATCTAAACTCTGATCTTCCGGATTTTCAACCGCAATCTCGGGTCGTATCCTCAAGAGCTGGGGTCTTTCACGTTCGACCCGGGAGAAGACGTATTTCTCCCGGTGTCCAAATCTGGAGGCCCTCCAGTCGTATAGGACAATCCCTTTGTCGTCACTGTGATCGCGGTCGATTTTTAACTTGGATGGTGCCCCCAAGACGCCACCTGCACCGATCCTATAGAATGCAGGCACATCGTAACGATGGATACTTCCGTAGACAATGTTCTTCTCATCCCCTCTTTTGTCTATGAAAAATGTCTCGGCAGAGATGGGTGATTTACCTCCAGCGGCGTGGGAGGGTTCGGGTATAGATTCAGTAACGTGACCGTACTTTCCTCTACGTTCGAGTTCTCGATGGCGGTGCTTTCTATGCTCTTCTTCTTTTCCATCGTTATCTCTAGACCTATGCTTCTTCTCCTTTTCAACAGAGGCGGGCGGTGGTGCCGTAGTTTTCGGCTTGAACGATCCGAACTTGGGTATAGCCTTCGACATCATCGACAACGCATCTCAGAGACCTCTGTTAAAGCATATTTCAAACGCCCATTCGAAATTAACCTTTGCTTGCTCGCTCGATACGTCTGTGCAGTGATCTGATTCAGATCTGTGGAAGATATCCGAGCCTCGCGCGCAAGGCTGCGTGGACGCTAGCTTGGTTGGGACTAGACTTTCCATCCACAAAAAAAATAATTCTCTAGCTGATCGATAAAGCGTAAAGATTGTTATCGACGGGAAATAGGTCGCCCAATATGATTCATTGAGCCCTTTTCCTTAAATCACCATGGCGACATCTTTGGCAGACCAGCTGTCGCAAGTCGCTGCTAATTCGACACATGCTTTGAACCTCAAGGCGCAGAAAGCTGCCCACGCAAAATCTCTGATATTCGAGCCCCGAGTTGCCGCATCTCAAAGTTTCGACACCATATACACATTATGCCACGAAGGGTTTCAAGAGTTATGTCTTCTAGACGGCCGTTTCCTAGAATTTCAGAGGGATATATTCAGCGAACAAAGCCAGGCGGAAGACAGAACCCAAATGACCGCTGGAGAGAACTCAGAACTCAATAAGCGTCTGGAAACTTTCTTGGGCTTAGTGGGGGGCAAGTTGAGATTGACCCCAGGTATCAAAGCGGTAGAATGGCTTGTGAGGAGATTCCGGTAAAGACTCTGTTTTACAAGTCCCAGAGCGATTGACTAATAGCTCCTTATAGCATACACGAATACAATACTTCGTTCCTTCTAACGACCTTTTTGCCTTACCACACCCTTCCAATTTTCACTACCTTGCTGTCAATACTACCGACGAAGGTGCCAGAAGAGTACAAATTCCTTTATCCATATATTCGGTCCTTGACCCCGCCTCCGAGACATACCATCGTTCACACCGCGACCAACAATACCTCATTTACTTCATGTCTCAATACCTACGTTTTACGTGTCAGCCATGTCCGACAACATCACTCGGCGCTTTTGGCCTTTTGGGCTGGAATAATGACAGAGGCAGTTGGAGGTATGCTCGACAAAGCTCGATCTGGAAGGAGGGGCGTGCAACAGCAGAATGAGCAGGATGTCATTTTGAGGTTACTGCCAACCTTGAACGAAGGATTGGCCATGAAAAAGGTCCCAGAACTTCGCGTTGGATGCTACATGTTATTGTCTGTCATGGCATCAAAAGGGGGGCTTGATGACAAGCTGTTGACTGCTATGATGGAGGCTGTGGTCTTAGGGTGGACCACGGAAACCTCGAACCCAGGACTCGTCTGCCTCACCGTTTTGGCCCAACACCGGGGGGCAAAACAGATCACGAAACGACTCACAAGAGAGTTGATGAAGGTGGAAAAGCTACCTGCTCTTCTCGTTGAGCTTTCTAAGCAACGACGACTAGATAAGCTCGCAAATGGGCTTTGTCTATCTCTTGTGGATCGACTGAGGAAACATGGCGATATCAACGGTCTTCCAGTCATTGGCCAGATTGTCAAGAATCAATTATTGAGTGATCAACAATCCAGTGTGATCGTTAAGTCATTACTTTTGGTAGCCCACCAAATTGATGACGAGCCAAGCCAAATAAGCATGAGCCCTCATCTTGCTTCATTACTAGTAGATCTCACACAATTATCAGGTCACATAGGAGATGTGGTACGTGGAGCTTTAGAAGAAACAGATGTCGACATGGACGAGCTGGAGATGAAGCTTCATACAACGATTCGACCAGTGGCACTTCCATCATCGCCCTCTGAAGATGTGAAGATGGAAGATACAGATGTTGGTGCATCGAGTGCATCACCTAACTTCCAGTCTATCCTCCAGCATCTCCCAAAACGAACAGCGAGCGAAACGACTCTATTAAGCCATAGTGTCTCGCATGTCTATCCAGACCTCTGCCAGGCTTTCCTAGCTGCCACATCGAACGCATCCGATCTTGACTTATTTGATGAAGCCCCCATTCTCAGACGCGACTCGGCATTAGAGGATACTCTGTACCTGAGCTTTTATATGAGAACTTGGGTTGGACCTTATCCGGTCTTAGCTCGTGCCTCCGCCCTTCAAATGGCAACTCGTAAACTGTCGGGAACCCAAGGTTCTTTTGTAGATATTCAAGCGGTGCTCCCTTACGCTATCGCTGCTCTCGGAGATCCTGCTGCAAAAGTTCGTCGCGCAGCAGCGGAGCTTATCATTGCTTTGAACAAACTCTACCCAGCTAATGTGGAACCCAAGAAAGCCCTGAAACAGCTCCGCCGCTGGGGTTCTGAGGACCTATACGGACCCGATACTGAGACGAATGACCTCAACTGGCTTCAGCCCGATGCTGCAATTCGATTTCTCCGAGATCTACTTATTCCAGCATTAGAGGAGTGCATTCTTGACGCAAAGCACATCGAGTCAGTCTTTCAACAAGGTCTAAACAGCCACTCTAGTACGGAAAGCCCAAAGAAGAACGAATCTAGGCGGATTCCGCAAGCTTTACGAACATCTATCATGGCATTCCTAGCGTCCCATGTTCTTCATACACCTACGTTCTCTGTGAAGCTAAGACTTCTCGCGTCTCTAAATCAAGTTCGAAGTGTAGCAGGAGTAACGCGCACGAAATTTCTGCTCCCAGCCCTCGAGAGATTTGGTGCTGTTGACCCATCAGAATTGTTGACGCACTGCCAAGAAGAGCAAATCGACCTAGTTGAATTTGATGATCAGATGATTGCGACTGTCACTGCAAATGACAAGGAGGGTCTCAACTACCTTGCCCGCGTAGTGAACGGAGAGGTGGCCACAGGTAGACATCTGCTACTGAAGGCTGTCTTTAAAAGGATACAGACTATCTGGACATCACTAAATGGCGAGTTTAAGTTAAGTACAGCCCAGATGCTGATGGACTCTGCCCAATCTGCATCGGAACAACTCAATGAAGATCAAGAACTTGCCTCGCAAATGTCGACCGAACTTCTGAGCAAAATGCCCCTGTCTACCGACATTCTTTCAACCTTCCTTGACCAACTTCCTACCGCTGCCAAGCTAGCAGACAAGCCTCCTGCTTCCAAACGACGACGAACTAGCCATGGAGAAGTAGCCCGAACTCCTCTTCAGGACTCGAAGCAACTCACTGCTGCTATCAGAAAAGTAACCTTTATTTTGCAATTGGTCGATAGTTCCAACCCAGGCACACATCCTGAGCTCCTGAGGGGCCTTTTTACTGTGCTGGCGGAGCTTCAGCATTTTAAAGCTCAGGTGTCCTCGGAACTTGCTTACCTGCAAGGTCTGGCGCTGAGCAGTCTTCTGTCTATCCTGCAAGCGTGCAAAGCAAATCCAGCTATTAAACTGGATCGATCGGCCGTACGTGCAGACTTACTTGTTGACTGTATCCAGAAGACCGCAAGCCCGCAAGTTCAAAATGCCGCATTGCTTCTTATTGCTTCTCTAGCAGACACTGCTCCTGAACTAGTGCTTCACAGCGTTATGCCTATTTTCACGTTTATGGGCAACTCAGTTCTGAGACAGAACGACGACTACTCTGCGCATGTGATAAGCCAAACGATTCGCGAGGTTATCCCTCCTTTAATATCTTCACTCAGAAAAGATAAGGGGGACTTGGTGACTGGTGCTGCCGAGCTTCTTCTAAGCTTTGTTGCTGCATATGAACATATTCCTGCACATCGTCGAAAGGGTCTCTTCACGTCTTTGGTCGAGACCCTGGGCGCTGGAGATTTCCTATTTGCGCTCTTGGCAATGCTCGTAGACAAATACGGCGCAATAGAGAGCATCAAGACGTTTGCGGTGGAGTTATCGGGCTCTTTCAGTGTTGAGATTCAGCTACACTCGGTTGCTAGATACCTCGATCTCGTAAAAGATGTCCTGAAGCCTAAGCCAACTTACTCTTCCGTGTTATTGAACGCCAATGATGAGGGAGTGTCTGATCCGCATGAAATTGCCTCTATCGAACTCTCTCTATTGCCCGAGATTCTCTCGCAAAAACGATTGATTGCACAGACTGGGAAGATACTCGAGCGAGATGATATGGACGCAGCAAGGGTTCGAGACCTATATTCGACACTTTTAGAGAGTCTCTTGGCATTGGCAGATTTGTTGAAGGGCCAAAAGCATCTACACAGTACTTGTGGCGATGTCCTAGAGAGCTTATTAGGCTTGTTATCTACCAGTGAATTTGTAAAGTCTGTTGAAGGCCTGCTTGATAGACCCAACGAATCTTTGCGGAGGAAAATCTTACGCTCACTGGAAGTCCGTATCGACCAGGAGAATCCTTCGGATGCCGTCTCACGGGTCGCAATGCTTAGCTTTCTGCCTCAACTTACAGCAATTATTCGTGAGTCCAAGGATGTTCTTTACAAGCATACCGCTGTGGCTTGTGTGGACAAGATTGCCGAAAAGTATGGGAAGAAGGACCTCGAGGCTGTTTCAGCGGCAGCAGAAACAATTGCGAGCAGTCATTGCCTGGGTCAAGCAGACAGCCGTCTCCGAGTCATGGCCTTGCTTTGTCTCGCGTCATTAGTCGAAATCCTCAAGGAAGGCATCGTCTCGGTGCTCCCATCCGCAATCCCCAAAGCGTTGGAGTATATGGAAGCGAGTGTTAAGATGGATGCCGAAGGTCAGAAATTGCACAATGCTGGATACGCGTTCATCAGTGCTTTAGTACACCATCTACCATATATGGTATCAGGCGGGTACTTGGACAAGCTCCTGCAAATATCCAATGTATCTGCTGAGGCGGATCTGGAAGATGAAGCGGATGAGAGCAGAGTTCAGTGTTTGCAACTTGCCGCCAAGCAGATTGATGCGAAGAGCATGTTTGGGGCTCTGGAGAAAAATTGGTCGCAGGCTGTGACACAAGGATCATTAGTAAGTTACTTTTAAAAGCCTACCGGTCTTTTACTTACACAAAAGCAGGCACTCCGAGAGTATGTTGAGGTTCTCAACATTTCTATTGACAAACACCCCAAGAGTGTTATCACCAAGTACTCGACTATCCTCGCCAGGATTTTCCAAAATGCATTTGACCTCAGAAGGCAGTGGACTGAGGCCGAGAACGACTCTTCTCCCGAAATTATCTCAGAAATCGAGGCGGAGATCAACGAGGTGGCAATCAAAATGATCTACAAATTCAACGATGCAACATATAGACCTATCTTCGCCAACCTCATCGAGTGGACGTCTTCATTACCTAAGAAGGATAAAGCGGGAAGAAACATGCGTTTGCAAAGCATATACGGTTTCATGGCTATGTTCTTCGACAACCTCAAATCGATAGTGACGAGCTACGCCACCTACTTGCTTGACAACGCAGTGGAAGTCCTTAAAACTGTGAACCCCAAAGATGAAGAATCGAAAGATTTGTGGATAAAGGTTCTCCGAACACTAGTAAAATGTTTCGAGCACGATCAAGACGACTTCTGGCAATCACCAACCCATTTCAGCGCAGTCGCTCCTGTACTATGCGCACAATTTGCTCATGGTTCGTCGCTTCCTTTGATTGAAGAATTAGTGCCCGCAATTGTTGAGCTCGCGGCTGCCGCCGATTCGTCAGACCACCACAAAGAGCTGAACGGGGCCATTCTGAAACACATGCGCTCAGAAAATTCCAGTGTCAGATTTGCCGCGGTGAGGTGCGAGCAGGAACTGACAGGCAGACTTGGCGAGGAATGGTTGTCTATGCTACCTGAAATGTTACCGTTCATTAGCGAGCTGCAAGAGGATGATGATGAGGTGGTGGAGAAGGAGACTCATCGCTGGATTGTAAAGATTGAGGGTGTGTTGGGTGAGAGTCTTGACTCCATGCTCCAGTAGAGAGCTTACGCTGTCGAAAATCTTAATCAATACAAAAATGGAAAAGAAAGTAGAGAACGCGAAACATGTCTCTCTCCCAAATAATTAAGTGATAGCTACCTACTTAATTGACCGGTTCAGTCGAATTCGATACAGTAAGCGTCACCATCGCATACCTCTTCAAATCCCCTACCTTTTCCCTCACAGCTTCCGCATATCCCGGCATATCAACATCGAAAATAAAGACCGCCTCCGCAATGTCCATCCCCAATTTTCCAACCAAATCCTTAGCCGCAAGAATCGAACCTCCTTTCCCTAATAAATCATCCACCAAAATAACCTCCTTCCCCTGCGTCTCGACGCCCTCAAAAGCATCACTCTTCATCTCAAACATATCCGGTCCGTACTCCTTCTCATAAGTAACACTCAATACATCCCCTGGCAATTTTCCCTTCTTGCGCACAGGGATACACGGCAGACCTAATCGTGATGCGATCAGAGGCGCGAAGAAGAAGCCGCGAGCTTCAAGACATACGATGGCTGATATTTGAGAAATAGAATGAGTGGATAAGATGTGCGTAGTGAGATGCGATACTACAGCTTCTGTTGCTACAGGGTCGCGGAATATGGGGAAGATGTCGGCGAAGAGTTGACCCTATTCCATTGGTTGTCAGGGAGTCCTTACAGTAGGCGGGGTGGAAAGAGGAGGCGGGTGCATACGGAAACAGGGTGATTGCGATATAGCTTGATCTTGCTGAGAATGAGATCAACGTCTGCCATTTTCTCTAAGTGAGTTTGTTGGATTGGTTTTTCACTGCGGTCGTCCTTTTCTGTCTGCCTCTGTTTCTAGGTCTTCCTTCTCTCGATTACCCAGTTTGCTATAATCCTACACCAAGGTGAATCACGTGCGGTCTACAAGCTCTTCCTAGAGTGGGGGGGGATCCCTTGACAGCATCCGAGATTATTACAGTACCTAGTATTTTCTACAGTACGGCCTGAGTCTACAATTAATCGCACCTGTTTGTACTACTTTCTTATTTAGTAACAAGCATGCAGTTATTGTTTGTGGACATGCGTCCTTGTATCAACTTGCATGATTCCGCCGATATACGGCGATATACAGCCTCCTGCAAAAGTTAAGCCAATGTTTCTTATCAACTCGTGCCTTATGGGGGCTCCATAGAGAGAGGCGAAAGAGTTTGTTCAACTTCTCGAGCCTCTCCAACTTCTTTCCTGTTGAGTTTTCCTGCAATTGCTTTTTCGTTTAAGCTTCACAATTGCTTAAGATGTCGTCGAAAATCCTTCGCATTGCTATTGCCTTCTTTTCTTCATGTCCTCCCTTCAGCATAGTCTTTGCTGCGAGATTCAGCGAATTTGCCCACAGGAAGGGTCATGGACCTACTTTGAAGAGCAGAATGTCAGAGCAGCCTAGTGAGCCCCAGGACTCGGAACAGGGCCATAACTTTCGATTCCTGAGCGATGAAACCCGGCGTAAATCACGCTTCAGAATATAGAGCAAAGATGCAGAATGTGATCTTTGGGGTAAAGCCAACTCAGCTGCGTTTGCGTTAAATCCCTGTTTCAATGAATATCTTATCACTGGTTCATGCCCATTACTCTCAGATCCACCGGGAAATCCGACAGCTCTTCAACTCTCTTACCCAGGGCTACCGGTGTACTTCAATCGGAGTGTTGTGAAGAAGGCTATGCATGCACCAGAGGACGTGGAATGGTTGGAATGCTGCAATGGTCCCGTCTTCGTGGGCGATGGAGGACCACAAGATGAAGGCGATCTATCGCTAGATCCCATCCAATCCATACTACCCCGTGTATTAGAGGCCACACACCGCGCCCTCATTGCCAATGCGGACCTAGACATGAGTATCCTCACGATCGGCACACTGCTTGCGATTCAAAACATGACCCGGTGTGGTAAGCCGGGATTCCAGGAAGTTCCGATGACACCAATTGTGATTACCTTGCCCGATCTTCAATATCAGGCACTCTTCGAAACACAGGGCTTGGGAGGCATCGATAATCCGCAAGGTACAATGGGTATTCAGCATTTTGAACGTGGATTGATGTGAGTGGAGACATTTCTTTCTGGGCACATGCAGCCGCAATTCCAACCGAGAAGTAGCTATCGTCATTTGCAGTGGGTGTTGGGTCATATTGATACCTTGTAATCATCCATCTTGGTGTTTCACGTAATAGACGTCGTCGCATTGGATATACGATTAGAGTGAATAGCAAACAAAAGTACTTGTCTTTATAAGATGATGTTTCCAGAGTGCTAGAAGTTGACTTACTTTTCAAAACGGTAACAAGTGGTAGAAAAGTTGACATATACCGAGTGCATGTACATAATGTACAAATCGAAATGACTGGCCTAATGTCTTTCTTTGGGATCATGATTCCTTTTCTATTCGTCTCCGTCGTCTCACAAAAGCAAGAGATGCTTGAAAGGGGAAGTGGGGCAATCACGTGTCTGACGCGAGGTTCAGCGCGTCAAACCTTCAAGATCGCGTCGAACACTTTTTACCTTCACAACCACCTGGCTACGACCGAACGATGTTCAAGCCATTTAAGCCGCCATTGCTGAAGGTTGCCCCGAAACGGGAGCCCATAGTGGTTGAACCCTCGGACGAAGAAGATGGGCTGAAACCTCGGCCATACAAGAAACGAAAGTTGCTATATGTCGATATAGACAAGGTCCCCGACAGCCCACCAAAGAAAGCATCATCTGCGATTGATGCTCCCAGGAAACCGTTATTACCAGTCAAGAATCAAGTTGAGACGAAGAAATCTGTGGATGATGGAGTGGGTGGACTGGAAGGATATTATATGGTGTTATGGTTGGTCACATTTTCTATACTTGAATACGTGAAGGCTGATTAGATCTTATAGGCGCAAATTCACAATGAAGAAGCACAAGACATGGGATGGAGATGGCGTCCTTTCGGTATATGGCGGTTATGCTCGCCTTCAGGATATATCAGGGAAAGAAATGGGAAGGTGCATGTTCAAGGATCCTCTGCTCCCGGGTAGCACACTAAGCATCGGGGGGAAAGATGTCGAGATTGACTCGAGCATAAGTAAAGCGGACTTTCTAGCCGGAAGACCGTTCTTAAAGACTCAAGCAAGACGAACTTCGAGCTTAGGAAGCCACGGCAGTCTAGCAACAGTACCGAATCCCCCTCTCGTTGTCAGCAAGCCCAAACCTCTGTTGAGCTCCAAGACAAAGGATGATGCGGACATAAACGAGATTCCGGCGAAAAGCTTCTATGCATCAAGCACGGCAATGAAGGCGAAATTCAAGAATCCGCTTCTTGCAACGACAGTTATGCCGCAGAAGAAGGATGGTGGCGCAAGCCCTCGCCATGACCCTAACGCTCTTGGTGCTCTGGTAATGAAAAGACCTAAACATTGTCCCAAAGGCAAAGAAATTGTCGACGTTGTCTTGGATCCATTCCTGGGCCAACATTTACGGGAACATCAGCGAGAAGGCGTCAAATTCATGTACGAATGCGTGATGGGACTGCGGGATTATAGTGGTCTAGGTGCTATTTTAGCTGATGAAATGGGCCTCGGGAAAACTTTGCAAACGATCGCTTTAATATGGACGCTTTTGAAGCAAAATCCAATCCACGGGACCGACGGAGTCATCAAGAAGGCCCTAATTGTTTGCCCTGTGACTTTGATTGTCAATTGGAAGAAAGAGTTCAACAAGTGGCTGGGGACCGAGAGGATTGGGGTTCTGGTGGCGGACAACACGCAAAAAATTAGGCTGACTGATTTCACGCATGGTAGGAGTTACAGTGTGATGATTATTGGCTACGAAAAACTGAGATCCGTTCAAGAGGACTTGAAGAAAGGCGGCGGGATCGACATTGTGATTGCAGATGAAGGTCATCGCCTCAAGACAGCTGCAAACAAGTCGGCCCAGGCTATTCGCTCACTCAACACAGATATGAGAATCATCTTGTCCGGAACGCCAATGCAAAATGACCTTTCCGAGTTCTTCGAAATGGTGGATTTTGTCAATCCAGGTCTCCTAGGGAAGTACAACACTTTTAAGAAAGAGTTTGAAGGGCCCATCGTGAAGAGCAGACAGCCTGGAGCTTCAGAGAGAGATGTCGAGAAGGGATCCGCGAGAGGTGAGGAGTTGGCGTCCTTGACAAAAATGTTCATCTTGCGACGAACCGCCGAGATTCTTTCGAAATACCTACCTCCGAAGACCGAATATGTGCTATTTTGCAACCCTACACAAGCGCAAGTACAGGTGTACCATAACGTATTGCAATCGCCGGTCTTTGGAAAAGTCGTGGGAAGTTCTGAGGCGTCACTACAACTCATTACGCTGTTGAAGAAAATCTGCAATACTCCAAGATTATTAATGAGGAAAGACGAGGTAATGCCGAGTGATTCTGCCCTTGGGCAACTCCTGGAAGTCATCCCGTCCGAACTCATACACAAAGCTCCTGTCAAATCAAGCACGAAATTCAGAGTTCTCGACCAGATGCTCAAGTATCTTTCCAAGAATACGACGGAGAAAATTGTAATCGTTTCGAACTATACCGCGACCCTGGATCTTCTAGGCCAACATCTCGCGTCTTTATCTTTACCATTTCTTCGGCTTGATGGCAGCACGCCTACGGCGACGCGGCAAGATCTTGTTGATACTTTCAACAAAACTTCTGCTGCTAGGAACTTTGCTTTCCTTCTCTCAGCTAAATCTGGTGGTGCAGGCATTAATTTAATCGGTGCTTCACGCCTGGTTCTATTCGATGTTGATTGGAATCCGGCCGTGGATTTGCAAGCAATGGCACGAATCCATCGAGATGGTCAGAAAAAGCCCGTGAAAATCTATCGTTTCTTGATGGCGGGCGGTATGGATGAAAAGATCTACCAACGACAAATTACGAAACTAGGACTGGCAGACAGCGTCGTCGATGGCAAGAAGAACGAGTCGAGCTTTTCACCTGAAGAGCTGAGAGACTTATTCAGGCTGAAGGTGAACCCTGGCTGCCAGACCCATGACCTTTTGGGCTGCGACTGCAAAGGCTTAGGTGCCGATCCCCAGCCTCCAGCAAGCCAACCAGAAGTTCATGACATCAAAGATAGTGAATACGAGGAGGACAGTGACGATGACTTGCCTTTCGATCCAACTGCTGGTGTTGTGCCAGCAACGAAAGCAAACGTGGAAGCAATTGAACTCAAAATCCGCGAGGCGCGAGAGAAGCGGCTCAAGAAATCAAAGGGGAAGATGCAGGCACTGATGCAGTACAGACACATTGATACAGCTATTTTTAGAGGCGAGACGGAGGACGTGTTTGGTTTTGAGAATGATGAATTTACGAAGGTGAAGAATGAACTTGATGATGTACTAATCAATATATTAGAGGACGAGGGTTGCAAGGTTGGCTTTGTGTTTGCTAAGAAGGGATAGAAAAATAACCTCTGGACTGGAATTGCGTTGCTCAGGGTGCAAAAGGAGTGTTTGCATAGATGTCGCTGAATATAAAATAGAGACGATAAACAAGCTATTGTAAACATTTGTTTCAAGATCCACGCTCTTACATGTTTGTAAGAGGCATTCAGAAGAGATGTGTCCTTGATTGGATTCACAGAAGCTTATAAGTACAGTAGCAGTTGCAGAGTCATATCATATCCACACAGTCAGTATAGAATTATCATAATTCTATGAGCTTCTCAGTACAGATTTCAGAATTAGCGGCGCTGATGGATGGTGGGTGGGTGGTTTTATTTGGGTAAAAAGCGGGTCTATAATCCCTGTCAAGATATATCTGGCCTTGTGTTGTTCTGCGGGAATCTTTGTTCGGTTTAGACTTCTCAGAACATCCACGTTCTCAACTTTTAATTCCCTTATCTTTCCTTCACGCTCTTTCACTTTGCTTCTGGGCGCCTTCTCAGATCGTCCAGGTTTGTTCGCAGCAATAATCAGCTTGCGCGCAAGCATCTCCTACAGCGCAGGTCTTCCGGACTAAATACCAGCACAATGAGTGGGACAGATTACTCCTACGACGAGCAGGTATGATCAGCCTTCGCAGAGGTATAGTAGCATGCTAACATCCTGCAGGGGCAGTTCTTCCCCATCTTCATCGCTACGATCGTCGGCATAGTCACAATTCCCCTGACATACACTGTTCTGAAGCCCAGTTCGGACCCTGGAGCCACAGCACCTCGAATCAAGACAGACTACCGACCTGAGCATGCGGACCTGATCGATATCCAGAGAAAGGCTCAGAAGAAGAAAGAACGGAAGCTGAAGCGCATACTTACCGTCGTTGCTGGATGGGCGACCATAGCCTTCATGGGTTATTTGATTTATGTCACAGCGCGAACAATACCCAAGATTTGGAACCCATACGACATCCTGGGTATTTCAGATGTACGTTCTCCGACCGAACAAAAGTATACGAGCTGACAGTATATAGTCTGCAAGTGAGAGAGAGATCAAATCACACTATAAGCAGCTTTCTAAGAAATACCATCCGGATAAAGCCAAGCCAGACCCTGCGAAAAACGAAACCCTCGAAACCATAAACGATTATTATGTCGAACTTGTTAAAGCCTACAAAGCACTTACCGATGAGGAGATCCGAAATAATTTCATTCAATTTGGCCACCCTGACGGCAAGCAAAGCTTTAGTATTGGTATTGCTCTGCCAAAGTTTATTGTTACTGATGGCAATGGAAAATACGTTATTCTGGTATACGCGGCCTTGTTGGGAATTTTGCTGCCATATTTGGTTGGAAGCTGGTGGTATGGGACTCAAAGAATGTCTAAGGAGAAGGTTCTCATCGAGAGCGCCAACAATCTATTTAGGGAATACGATGAAGGTCTTGAGGAAGGGGGCATTGTTAGTGCTTTGAGCACTGGTCTGGAATTTCAGAATGCTTTGAAGGGCGACAAGGCCGAATCTGGTCTGGGCAAGCTGGAATCGAGGATCCTGGCTGAGGGTACCGCGACCCCTCTTGCTGGTGGACTTTCTACAAAGGACCGAACTGTATTGGAAGATTTGGATGGCGGTGCTCGACGGAAAGCACTTGCACTTCTATGGGCTTATCTTGGACGAGTGGAACTCGACGACCCAGCTCTCAACCAAGCAAAGATTGAGGTGGCGCCCATTGCACATGCTCTTAATACATCTTTCACCGCAATCGCTCTGGCCTTCGGTACTACTGCGCCCATCCTTGCATCTTATCTCACTGGTCAGAATCTGTTGCAGGCAATGCCCCCAAAAGCTTCTCCCCTACTTCAGCTTCCTTTCATTACTCCGGCCATTGCCAAGGCGATCGAAGGAGATTCGAGAACCCATTTAAGCTTACAAGATTACATGGCACTCCCGGAAGCTTATCGGAAGAAGCTAGCTGTTGGCAAAGGTCTATTGACCGAAGCCCAATACAATACTGCTATGAGCGTAGCCAAGCAATTACCTCGCCTACAAGTTGAGAAGGCTTTCTTCAAGGTGACTGGCGAGAAATACATAATTCCCAGTTCGCTAGTATCATTGGTTGTCAAGGGCCGATTTATCCCCCCTGGAAGCCAAGATATCCCCGAAGTTAACGAGCTCGACCTAGAAGACATCGATCCAGACGAGGACGATCTAGACGCAATTCTGGGCCGGAAGAAGAAGGGTGTCAAGGGCGCCAAATCAGAAGAAGAGAAAATCGTCCAACCACCTCTCGCATTCGCCCCCTATTTTGCCCGTGACTACTCTCCCAGATGGCACGTTTTCCTTACCGACAGCAAGCAAGGGAAAATTGCTGTTCCTCCTTTTACATTCACAACCTTCGACAAGCCAATTTACGACGAAAGTGGCAAGCCAACTTTCAATATGCAGACACTGAAGGCGCAGTTCCAAGCCCCACCACAGGCTGGCCACTACACCTTTGTCATGCACTTGATTTGCGACTCGTATGTTGGATTTGATACCAAGATGGAGGTCACGCTAGTCGTGGACGAAGCTAGTAAAGGAGCAGATATAGAGGCGGATGATGATATCTCTGAACCCGATGAGGGTATGTTCTCTCTCCCATCCCCTTTTCCTTTTCTCTCCAATTTTTCAATACTAACAAACTGCAGACTCCATAGCCGGCCAAATGCAAGCCATGAAGTCCGGCGTTCCCGCACCACCCAAGAAAAAGAAGAATAAGCCCGAGTCCAGCGACGACGAGGAGAGTAATACCGAAGAAGAGGTCGAGGATACGAGTGATACCGATACCGACACCGACGAGGAATAGTTCTCCTTGCTTTCTTCAGTGGGCCGGCAATTCTTGCATTGGGTTCTCTTGTAAAATATATAGTTTTATGGGGGCGTGGCATTTGGGATGGCGTCTTGAGAGATACACTTTTGTTTGTGCATATGGGGTCCTACACTTGAGGTTTGGCCTTAGCCTCCTCGTTATTTGGTGGGATTGGCGCAGAGAACAAAATTGAGGGTTTTCTTCGAGAAAGGTACATTAATGGGCTACGTCTTAATCTGTGAACTTTGATGTGTTTTCAATGCGTTTATCTTTCTATCTATACTATCTATACTGGGGTCTGTATGCCCGAGACTTGATCGAATAGGGGGGGTTTAACAACGCAAGAGGTCACCTTCCATCGCTATTTGACAAGGCTCTACTGAATCAAACATCACTCAAGCGCCGGGCGATACAACGTCGAGGCAAATCGAGCTCCTATTGCATCCACAAATTGCAATGTATAATAACAGTAAAATGGCCTATCCTTCCTTCCCTCAGGAATAGAACACCCAACTCCACACATTACCATACATAGCCAGTCGAGCTCAGCAAATCCTGACCCCACAAACATCCATATTTCTCCCCTCCACATGCGCCCTCCGTCCAAAATACTCCTTGCTCACTTCCGCAACAAACTGATGGTCCGTTGCGCTCCAAATATCAAGCCCCATACGCTCCATATCAACGCTACTAATATACACAGCCGGCCCATCATTTTCATCTTCTGTCAAAGCCTGCGCCTCGTCTTCACGTTCGTCATCTGAGTCCGTGGCATCGACAATGTCGCTGAGCGTGGATAGAATTTGGGTTGTGAGACGGTGGAAGTAGGCTACGATGGCCATTGCCTGCTTCGCGCTCTCGTCTTTTAGAGGACGCATGCTTAGTAAGGTGCTTGACTGAGATAGTGGGCGGATGGTGTTGGGCGTTGAGGGCGAGATTGCTAATCCTGAAAGCAATGCAGCGTCCGAGTCTGCTTCTTCGTCTGAATGTAAGCGTTGCTCGCCTGCTGAAGCCCACCACATGAACCCGGAGTACGCGAGGGCTGCCCAAGAGAGGGGCTCAACTATGTCGTCTGTATCGGGGAGGTCGAGCATGAGGTCGTTGACTGGGTGAGAGGTGCTTGATGTGCTTCCGCGGGGCGTTTCGGGTTCTTGGGGCTCGGTGCTGGCTCGTTTTGGTGTTGGGCTAGATGGGGGTGAGGCGTGCCGAGAGAGACCCCAGCGGAGGGTTTTGTAGCGGCGGAGATCTCTTTGGGTTGCTTTCATCTCAATGCCTTGGGGCGATTCGACTTTTGGCCAAACTTTATCCGTGGCATTTTCGGAATATTGTGGCGGCATTGTGATTAGAACATCGTAGAGTGAGCTTTTCATGGCGAGGATGCTATCAGTTGTGCAGGCTATCCATCCACATCCTGGCTCGTCCCTGCTTCCCGTTTCCTCTGAGCCGGGTGTAGCTGCTGCTGCTTTTGCGGCGCGGAGATCTTCTTCCAATAGGGGAATATCATGAACTCCGATTGAGAATAGGGGTCGTAGTCTTTGAGGGGGGGCTGTAGATACTAGTAAATCGCTAACAGCGAGGGGTATATTTGAGAGAATCGAAATATCATATACTGTCCACGATCAGCGATTTATATACTAATTACGGAATAGATTCCCACCAAAATTACAAGTCTCCTGAACAGGTGCATGTGCAGTTATCAGTATTCGTTTCCGTAATATCGCAGCACGATGTATCGGGAATATCAAAGGGCCAAATGCTTCCAAGAGGTGCGGCAAGCTCCAAGCTGGATGATACGGAGCGAGTGTCTGGCCGGGAGGCAATAACGCAGTTCCATCTGATGCCGACCGGTTCCTAGCATTTCCTCTAGGGGGATGTCCAGGTGTTGTCCGTATAGGTTTAAATTGTGCGCTTGTAGGTGTATCTACGAGCGATTCAGTCTCGACATCTGGCGAGAGACCATTTGCCTTGTGTTCCTTCCAGAATTCTTCCAACACATCGGTGTCCGTAATGTCCAGGATTAGCTCACTGTTACAATCAATCGAATCAGTATTACTTTAGAGAAAGAGCTTTGGGAAGTTCTACTTTGCCATTTCCTTCAACGCCTCAGCGTGCTTCCAAGCCCTGCCTAATCTTCCATAAATAAGAGGGACCATTATCCCCACGGCTATCATGCGAGCATTTCTCGACTCCTCTGCGGCCGGCGCATTGACGAATGCGCTGAGCCCGGCATGATTGTCATGAACGAAGTATATCAGATCCTCCTTCACAGTATGTAGTCCAGAGGGCAAACTCTTGTATTCCACCACTCCTTCGAGCTCTACGCCTGGGAAAGACCGCTTCCACCCAATCGTGTAGCCTGCCTTAATGTCGAAATAGATAAGGAAGAGGGCAGAAATGGGGGGCAGATCCGAATTAGAGTGGCCGCCGGGAAGGTCGATATTCAAGGGCGCTTGGCCTCTTCGAGTGGCGGCCATGGTGTTGTTAATACCGCTCGGGATGGTATTTATTACTGGTCGCGGGGACCATGTTGGAAGTGAGTCGTCGAGATTAGAGTTAGGTAGTAGCAAGCAGGGGTTATTGTGATTTGGCGGGGCTTGGTCTTGGCTTAGGCCGTTTTGAAAACTGGGGTGCGTCAAAGTTGGCGCAACTCAACCTTACCTCACCTCACCTACCTACCTCGTGAATAGTGTCACTTACTCTCATCTTAGCTACTGCTATTATGAATACGTCTCATACGAACCGCATGTCTCATATGAATTGATGACAACCTCATCTCAACGTGGTACAATATAAACAGCTTAGGAAACGTTTTCAAGCGAAGAGTCAAGGGGTAAAGGTGGCTCTTTTACTTGACGGAGTGTTGGTTGGGGATGAACGGTTGCCTGTACTAGCTGGTCGATAATTGCTGCAAAGGATCTATCAAATCATTCCACATGATAATACACTCGAGACTGACTCAAAGATAGTATGACATTTTCACAGCTACCTTTTCTTCGCAAACTTGCCCTTCACCTGAGCTGGTTTCCCCCCCTTAATCTTCTGCTTCCCCTTCCCCTTCTTCGCTGCCTCCAACGCACCCTTGCCATCTCGTTCCGCGCGTCCCTTCTTCCACACCTTGCCCTCCGTCCTCATATCCTTATCGTCCAACTTCTTCTTATCCTTATTACTGAGCTTGCCCGGCTTCTTCTTCAAAATGGCTGCCGCGCCATTCAGTTCCGCTCGCCCCATTTTCTTAGCCGCATTCTTGTCCACCTCGCTCTCGAACCAGGTTCTCTTAGGTCTGCCCTTGATTTCATCTTCGTGAACCATCAAGTTTTCACCCTTCCTAACCTCCATCTCTGATTGAGCGAGCAATTTATCTTCTTTTTCTTCTGCAAGGATCTCTTCAATTTCGTCCTTCATATCGTCGACTTTATCGGACTATACGGATGTCAGTAATGCGCGAACGAGAATGCCTCAGGATTCCTGAAACGTTAGAAGTGGCACCTACCCAAATATCCGCCTCCGCCGCCTCGACAACCTGAGAGACAATCTTGGCGCCTTGAGCACGTGCGCTCTTCACAGCAGCTTTCACGACCTTGCGGTCCGTTTCAGCTGCTAAGGTGCAGGCGCGACCTGTACGGCCGGCACGAGCTGTACGACCTACTCTGTGCAGGTAGATCTCGTGGGATTGCGGGGCTTCGTAGTTGATAACTGTATCGACGCCTTTGATGTCTAGACCACGGGAGGCGAGGTCAGTGGCAAGGAGGAACGAGGCTTTGCCGTCTCGGAAGGACTCTACGCTTGTAATACGCTGGTGAGGATGTTAGTAAAATGTTTCAGTCTGCGTAGGATATCCGCAAAGGAGATAGACGGGAAGGAAATTTACCTGCTCTTGACTCATACTACCGTGTAATTCTGTAGCTTTAAGGCCAGAAAGTCCAAATATGACACGAGCTCTGTGAGCTTCTTTCTTTTGACGGAAGAAGACGATGACTCGATCTCTATAGAGATTCTTGCAGAGATACAGCAAATATCCCATCCGTTTCGTCTCTCTGCCTGGCCGAAGCCGAATGAACTCTTGCACCAGAGTACCGACAGTCTGCTTCTGTGCATCGACAAGTAATCTGACTGGTCTGTTGAGACCTACACGAATGAGATTATCGACGGACGAAGTCATCGTTGCGGAAAACAGCATGGTTTGTCTAGACTTTGGTATGGTAGTCAAGATCTCGTTGAGTTCGTCTGCGAAACCAGCTTCCAGCATACGATCAGCCTCGTCCAGAACCAAAATCTCAAGTGTATCGACTGTAAAGCTTGCTGAATTGCGCATGTGATCAATGAATCTTCCGGGGGTTGCGATAATGACATCGGGGCGGAGCCTTAACTCTGCCTCTTGGACTTTGAGACTGAGACCTCCCACTGCCAAACAGAACTTGATGTCCGTATGACTTGCCAGCTTCGTAGCAACAGCGTGACATTGTATAGCCAGTTCACGTGTAGGCATGAGAATCGCTACTCTACTCGTAGGAACTTTCTTAGGTCGGTACAAGAGACGCTCGAGAACTGGGACAATGAAAGCTGCCGTTTTTCCGGAACCTGTAACAGCTCCACCAACAACATCCTTACCAAGCAACGCAACTGGTATCGTCTTGGCTTGAATCGGAGTGGGCTGCGAAAATCCTACAGCAGCAAGGCCACGAAGAATCGGTCTCGATAATGACATGCCTTGGAAAGAGGTTAACGTAACTGGTTTAGCGCCTTTGGCGGGCTTCTCCTCCGGAGCGAAGAAAGCTTCCCGACGTGCTGCTTCTTCTGCATCTTCCTCATTTTCTCCCTCATCTGAGGAGCCTTCTGATGCGACATCGTCAGGATGAGGAGCTGGGCTAGCAACCGAATCGTCGTCCGAATTGTCCTCTTCGTCTTCGTCTTCTTGCTCCGAGTCCTGTGCAGCATCTTCGTCGCCAGACTCCTCTTCATCAGACCCAACAGCCATCCCAAAGCCATCTTCCGCCATAAACTCATCACCGGACCCATCCAGCTCGAGCTCCAACTCCGCGTCTTCCTCAACATCCTCGGATCCCACAACATCTACTTTTTCCTCTTCTGTCTTGCCTCCCGATTTCTTCTCCCTCCTCCGCGCAATAATCTCATCAATATCAGTGGCCCTCTTGTCCCCCCGACCTAATCCCTTCTTCGCATCCTCAAAACCCCACCCCTCGAATTCCTGTAATCCCTGGTCTCCTTGCTCAATCTCAAACTCGAATTCCGAGTCCATAGCTCCATCATCCTCGTCTTTGGCGCCCCATATTCCGTGACTCTCTTCTTCTTCGTCGTCTTTCTTGGCCTTCTTGCTCTTTTTTGAGGCGGCATCGTTATCCCGTTTGCGCTTCTTCGAGGGGGGTTCTGACACTTCCTCAATTGGAGTTGCAGATTCTTCTTCATCGGACAGGGTCAGAATAAAATCGTCCTCTTCTACCTTTTTGGGTGCCATTCTCGGTGATTTTCTGGTAGGGACGGGTTGCTGAAGAAAGCTGATCTCTCTACTTTGAACTTTTTTTGTGTGGGGTTGGCAAAATTCGCTGGAAAGGGTCTAGGGTGTACGCGGCGGTGAAGATCCCGATCTAGACGCAGTGAGATATCTTGGACGGGTTCACCATGACCACTCAAAAAGATCCTGTATGTGTACCTCGAGTTACTTTCCCGAAGCTCTTACCGTTCGTTGCGTCTATACTGAAGAAACTGGTTTTGTATCATTACAGTACGAATGCCTTGTATCCTTCCTGATGTGATATCCACTGTTTTAGCCTCCAACTACGAGAGGTTCTTTTGTCAATATAGAAACAAATTTACTCTTACACCCTTGCAGGATTCCTGAGCTGGGTTGCTGTTAGTGATTTTATTCTTTTGGGGAACCTTTCGCTGGAAAGCCAGGCTCCGCAGGTTTATAAATCCTGAAAAGTTCGCACTTGGTTTTTACCACACATTTTGGGTCCAATATTACCGTTGTTTTATGATTTCATTTGATTTGTAGGAGTTCTAGCTTACAATGGGGATATAAGTAATGTGGGTGATGTAGTGATAATGCCAGATCCCCTTCGCGAACCAGGAAATTATTCCATCTCAAGTTCAATGTTTCAACCAGAGGCAGCCCAAGTCATGCGGAGGCGTACTTAAAAAAGAGGTCGAGAACGAGACGCCGGTGATGCAAGCATCGTAGCTCTCGTATGAAGTATTATAAGGACGGATATGTCTTGGTGCAAATCAGATGCTGGCCGTCCTCCATAAGCAGTATTTTGATCATAGTACAGTGTGGAAAGTCTCCGCGTGTGCAGGCATGGATGGAATTAGGGGGGTTACGTCAAGATGATGATAAGATGTTGCAGGGAGCTGGCTCGAAATGGTGAAGAGCTGGAGCTATGTAAGCCAAATACAATCCTGATCCAACCCTTCGATGAACCAAAATCTGTATGCCTGAGATTCGAGAGTTGAGCATGCAAACCGAGTATAAGAAACGTATCATTCCTAAGCAAACGGATCGAAATCGTCTCCTGCCGAGGCCCGAGCTTGGAAGTAGACCAGGTCGAGCCATTTGACCGGACCCTGTAGCGTTGAGCTTCTTGCTACTGAATTCAAGCGAGCTACTTCTTCGAACAAGAACTTTTGGTGGAGGAAATGCTTTACTATTGCCAAGTTGGGGTCATTTGCTGACAAGACCGGTAGTTGAAATATCATTTGATGCCAGTTGCCCGCGCCACCAGCTTCGTGGGCTTTGCAATTGCCTGGATTGCTCCAAGAACAGGCGCTTTCGTATGCATAACCTGGATTCAGGATATGCACAATACGATCAAGTAGGTTACGGCCGATTCCTTTGCGTCTGTAGTCAGCATGAACATACAACTGCAAGTTTGTTGTGGTTCGAGATCGTCCATTGCGAGCGCCAGTGAAACTATAGTTAAAAGTTTCGACATTTGCAAAGCCAATCACAGCCTCGAACAGTGGCATCGTAGCCTTCTTGGTTGCTCCTGCTCGACCCTGCTTATCATGGAATGCGGGCTTTTTGCCTTTAATGGCAACGAGGAAGGGCAGCTGCTCATTTCGAGCGGCGATGATCATGGCCTTTGCATCATCGGTTGAGATTCGGGTTTGGTCCTCTGGGATGTGAGACCTTTCAACATAGAAATTATACACTTCGACGACACCGGGGGCATCAAATACAGTAGCGGGTCGGAGATACACCTCTATGGTCGGAGAGAAGGGGTTTGGTTCAGGATTGAGGGCCATTTCAGCGATTTCTCGGTAACGAGCTTCCTGGTCATCTCTATTTGCTTTCTTGAAGATCTTGAACTTTTGCTGCTTCTCTTTGAACTTCTTGCTCTCACTAGCAGAAGTCTGGTTGAGTCTCCTTTCTTCATCGTAAGAATATGCGATATCTGCAAGAGGTTAGCGATCTGCACAGTATACAGCAAAGCGAGGGATGAGAGTGAAAAGCATACCAGGTTTGGAGTCAGGTTGTTCAATAGCCTCAGCAAAGTGCCCGGCTTTGACTGGTACTGATTTCTGAAACTCTTCGGCGGCAGTATCGAGTATACGGTTCGGGAATTTTCTACAGTTGCCAATCCACTCAGCGAGAAACGCAGGAAGGAAGAGGGTGCTGCATCCTGGTCGATCATCTTCCCAATCAACTGGTGGTGGAATCCAGGTTTTACCATCCCAGTCAAGCAGCTCCTCGGCGGCAGAACGCCCTTGAGTAGCACGAACGCCTTCTCGTGGTCGGTCTTCGCTGACATGATCATCATCGAGCCCCGTCTCACTGACCACATCCGTAATAGCGAGTGTCTTAGCTTGAGGTTTTCTAGGGGTAGAGCCAGTTGCCTTGATGATAGCTTCTTCGGTCAATGGAAGGGCGTCATTGTCGGTGATATGTTTGAGGTCCTTCACATCTTGAAGAATCATCTCATGCATAACTTTCGCATCAAACGAATTATGAGCACCCCAACCATCTGAAGACGTGGTAGGCCTGCTAAGGTTCTTCACCGGCGTCTTAATTTCAGGTTTGGTAGCCCAGCCGGCTGAAGATGGGCGGCTTGCATTATGGACCTTGTGCTGTTCATTAAGCAAAGCTCTGGCATCTGTTGATGCAGTGTGCTGTGGAAGAACATTGAATTAGCGTCGTTTCTTACGATCATCTTAGGAGAACAGAACATTGACTCTGGATTTGGAGACAACGGTGGAGAGCAGGGTCCAAGTAGGCCTTGTCTTGCATACCATGTCGAAGGATGAAATGATCAAACTTTGATTAACTTACTTCTGGAGGGTCATCATTCTTCGCCTTCACTTTCAGATGTGGCAAAACCTGACTTCCTGCTCCGGCAGGTGGTTTTACAGGTGTTCTCTCATCTTTTGCCCTCAACATCATATGTGGTAAAAGACGTGCTCCTGTTCCGCCCGTCGCAATGGTACTTGGACTCTCATTGTTGACCTTCACCTGCATATGTGGCAGAATCCGAGTTGCTGCCAACGATCTGGTTGATGTGTTGTCACCATTGACCTTCATTCCGGTACTTGGTGGAGATCGGAGGTGAACAGCATCTGATGATGTGGTAGGAGAGCTCGTATTATTCACCTTCATCCTCATGTGGGGAAGCTGATGCCGAGTCGAAACGCCTGAGTGGCTCGTAGTTGGGCTACCTGTCATGGCTCTCACCTTCGCTGGGTTATCATCAGCTTTGACAGGCTGAGAGTGTATCGTAGTGAGCTTCTTGTTCGAGTCTTGCATGTGCACTGCACTCGATTTTGGGTCGTTCCATGCCACAAAGGCATTGAACCCATCAGCGGGGGTCTCCATGGCTGAAATAGAATGCGGAGTTCGTAGTAAAGATGCTATGAGTAGTGGAGTAGAAGTTGTTGGTGAAAAGCCAATTGTTGAGGAGTTAGTCATGAGAAAATGTGGTTCATAGAAGGAAGTATCGATTGAAGAGAGAGAAATGGAGAAGCTCGCTCGTCAGAGGCTAGCAATTGAAGTGAATTAAGACGGGGGAGAACTCTGTACACAGCGGGGACGCTTGCAAAAAGGGTTGCTCCTGAGAATCTGTGATCGAGAATGCCGATGGAAAGTGTTTATTGTGGAATGTTTCGATGACTGTTGTGGTGCCACCCGTTGTAGACAAGCTTTCGGTCGAGATGGTGGTGAAAGGATGTATTTTTCAAAGGGGGCAACGGTGAATTTTGTAACAACCGCCGTGAGAGAGGGAGAGCTTCTGAGTAGGTGAGGTAGGTTATGGGCAAGGTCTGATATTGGCCGCTCTCGAAGGTATATTTAGAGCCTGGTGTTGAGACTTTTAATTCACTGAGTTTCCCATTCACCTCGAGCTTTTCCCTGCGAGCCTCTAAGTCAGTAATGGGGTAGTATAATTTGGCAGTTATACGCTTTTTCTCGTGAAAACCAGCAAACTGATCGTATCCGCCAGTCTTGTCTGCTTCCAACGGCCACCAAGAGTGTACGGCTTGGGATGGTGGTAATTCAGCTGATGACACTGCAGTGACTGTGGAGGGTGACACGGAGCGTGAGTGGGAAATACTTGACGATGAAGAGAAAAAAGCAGTGTATGGATTGAGTCTTGGAGTCTTTAAGCGAGCAGAAGAGAAGGCGGGGGCGGCGTTCGATGTCAGGATCGAAGGCTTAGGCCGGTTTCCAAAGGTGAAGGAAATCAGGGCTTTCGAGTTAGATGGGTATTTCTTTCTCGACTTATCGTGCTATGCAAAAGCTTTGACTTCAGAATGTGCCATGTTTTAACTGTATTTCAAGGCAGGTTCGATTGAGGGTGCGATCAGATTAGGAAGGAACGAGCTTGAATGTGCGAAGGGGAAGCGCTACGGTACGATATATTGGTTTTCAAGGAGCAAAGCTAAACTCCGCATCCCAATAGTCATTCATACATTATGAGACATTGTCAAGACGATTGTGAAAGTGTAAGCTAAAACAAGGCATTGGAATAGCCTCAATTATTCGCCTTCGAGCTTGATGACTGAAGACTGATGACATGGCTCGAACCTTGAAGAATGCCAAGAAATAGATGGTAGTGGGATCAAGAATTTGATGAAATCTCATTGTTTTATCAAAAATGTCTTCCATCCGTTGAGGCATACTGCTATTGTGTATAAAACGTGATGAGAATCGTTTAGCTCTGCTCACTCGAGATATTAAAGGAGTCGAATAAGGCACGGGGTTTGAAGGAAAGACTGCACAAGCATGCTTCATTGAATACAGCAGTCTATACAATGACACTTGCTTGAGATCAAATTAACAAGATTGGAAAACGCGTTAGTATTTTCTACTAATAACTAGCACCATTTCAACATTAGCAAATACAATGAAGCAAGAGCTAGTGGAAGCCAAATGTGACCCTCGGTGTTGCTGTAATCGAAATTGTCGGAGTATCTTAGAGATGCAGAATATAGTGAAACTTTTGAGTACTTACGTATTGAAGGACAAATAGTAGCACTGTTTCCGAAATACGGGGAAATGGTGCCTGGGAAATGCACGCAACTACGATCCTCAGGCGTTTATTTTATGCCAGAATCGTGCTTCTCTTGGAATGAGCAAGTGCCAGCTACTGCCAGCTACTGTCCCAAAGAAGTTTTTTGCCTCGATAGTCCGAGGTCCGCAACTCATCACACCTCTGAGCTTTCATATGAGCACGTGATACATATTAAAGAAGGCTATTCAGAAAGTTTTCGGCTTTCCCCTCGCAACACAACCAACCTCAGAAATCAAAATGCTCTCGATATTACGGAAAGCGAGATTGAAGGACAAAGAGATGCGCATTTTGATGCTGTACTGCATCCCAGACAGAGAATTCAAACTTTTGCTGATATATCTGCAGGGGACTGGACAATGCGGGCAAGACGACTATAGTCAAAAAGATTATGGGCGAAGATGTCAACAGCGTGAGCCCAACTTTGGGGTTCATTATTAAGACTATAGATTATGAGGGGTATAATCACCACTGTCAATTTACTGCATTACTTCGCTGACTGTTTTCAAGATATAAGCTTAACATTTGTAAGTCTGATGGGTGTTTTAACTACACCCTGCGTTTGCTTATGCTTTTTAGGGGATGTTGGTGGCCAGAAAACACTTCGATCATATTGGAGGAATTACTTTGAAAAGACTGATGCCTTGATCTGGGTTGTGGATGCGACAGACCGGCTGCGGATCGAAGACTGCAAAGAGGAACTACACGGCCTGTTGCAAGAAGAGGTCGGCACACATGCCCTTCATTCCTATAGGTTTGCTGACATGATTTGCAGAGGCTCTCGGGTGCAAGCTTGCTTGTATTTGCGAATAAAACGGATGTAAATGGATGCATGGATGAAGCAGAAATCCAGGAGGTCAGTAATATCGAGCTCGAATGTCGTTGAAAAGGTCGGGAACGCTAACCGTATGCAGGGACTTCGATTGAACGACATCAAAACTCACAAGTGGCATATCATTCGTTGCAGTGCCATCACGGGTGCAAATCTCCAAGAAGGTCTAGCATGGGTTGTACAGGATGCCAAAGCAAGGTTGTTCCTATACTGAAGTCCCAAATTCGAGGGTCTTTGCCATGCTATAGGAGGTATAAGAGGGACAGCCCCGGGTGGCGTCTAAGTTAGAGCTTGACAGGGATCCACGACTTTAATTGGCGTAAACATAAACAAGAAGAAGACAAGTCAAAATTTCTAAAGAAAGGAACGCAAGGAGTTGATATGGTTATTGATTGTCTTTCACGTACGAGTAATAATTGCTATAATTAAACATCTATATGCTGGCTGCATAGTCGCGGACCTGTGAAACTTCGAGAAGGTGCAAGCAAGTCTGACGCAGGGCAGGCAGGGCCCCAGAAGCGACCCGCAGATCTTGTTTCTTCCGTAGTTAGGTACGGAGTACTCTATGAAAATACTTGTCTCTTCTACCTAGTACCCCGCTGGGCGGATGATTTTGTTCCTGGCTCATTCTGGCAAGGTCTTAGAAGTATCTACCTAGCTTAATACATTGTCAACATGTCTTCTCCTGCGGTAGAGAGTTCCGAGGATGTCAACGATTTCCTGCTGCGAATAAAAGAATTAGGAGACAAGCGCGATCAAGAAGACGAGGAACGCAACCGGAAGTTGGAAGAAGAGATTTTGCAAGGCAGAAAAGAACGACAGGCGCGTCGAGCTGGTGAGCCTCTTCCAATGCGGCGGTGATTCATGGTCTTGGGCTTGATCGAGCGCCAGACGCGACACAACTTGCATTTGGCAGATGGCTAACCACAGAATACCCAGAACGCGCCAGATCAATATCTCCAACCAAATCCTCTCCCACGACTACTCCCACCACATCTAAAATATCCTTGGCGGAACAAGGCGCCCTGTCTCAATCCATTGATGCTGCAGAAGCCTCCGAACCTCGACGCGAAACTGTACTTGACAACTCCATGGAAAGATCTCCCATAAATGAAAACTCTTTCCCAATGAATAATGAACGCGATACTGCCGACGCAGATAGCAGACGAGACGAAACTGTTAAAAGGCCACCTTCTACTACGATGCCTCCTGCGAGAAATTCACCCCTCTCATGGCAGCAACGACGTCCGAATTCTCAAGCCTCAGATCGTCCACGGAGTCGACCCCTTTCAACGGTAGCTACGGAGAACGCAGCTCGCTCGCCAAGAGCTACCCCAGAGCCAACATCAGCATCCGCTGAGCCTACTCTCTCGCGGGACAAGATTGCCCAATCTCTAGCCACCAAAGACCCTGCGTGGTTTCGACAGACGGCCGACAGAGGACTAAATTCTCCAGCATACAGAAGAAGCCAGGTTGAAGACGAAGAACGATCAGATCACGGGCTAAGCTCTGCCCGAGTCCAAATGCCCGGAATGTCGCGTGGACCATCGGAGCCTGAACGGTCTGTGGAGGAACCTGTAGATCGATCCACTTCGCTATCGCGGAGTAGCGCTGGGTATGGCTCCTCGAGCTCATATCAAGCTTCGCCTAGGGTTTCTGGAGGAATCGGATCGCCAGTCCCGTTGACGAACGCCCAGAGATTCGAACCGCCAGGCTCAGAGTCCAAAGCCGAAACCCGAGGCCTCGCAATGTCACCTTCGCAAGGTCGGATCTCGCCCGAAAGGCGTGACCGTCCAACATCTCCTACCAAAGGCATGGGGGGATTTGTGCAGAGTGCCATGATGAAGCGCTCGGACAGTGTGAGCAAAAGGTGGAGCGTCCAATCACCCCCAGGTCTAAAAAGGGGCAATTCAGTGGCAAGCAACACTAGCAATCAAGGTACTGGCAAAGCTTCTATTGGGGGCATTGTTCACGCGTCGGTAGAAAGTTCACGGCCAGGCAGTCGGAGTCGCGAGCCCTCACCACAGTCTAGTTCGAGACCTACCTCAAGTCACAGCAATGCTACAATAACCCAAGATCGGCCCCCGACTGCAAGCTCCATGCGAAGTAACACGACAGCTTCTGCCTCTAATGATGGTTTTGTCAAGCCTACACTTCCAGCTTCGCGTTCGCAAACACCCCAAGGCTTCTCGACCAACCCGGAAGATCCATCGATACCACGTGCAAACACGTCCCCGCCTGTTAGTCCTTCAAAGACAATGGACCCACGAAGATGGAGCCCTACAAAGTCTAGTTGGTTAGAAAGTGCTCTAAACAAACCTGAATCTCCCAAACCGAAAGCCGTCCCACCTCCTCAACAGCCTGTTTGGATGTCAGAAATTAATAAAGCCAAGCAAAAGGCGAGCATTGATCTTGGGCGTAGTCCCAACGTACCTCCCAAGCACGAGGTCAATATTGGTGGTCTCATGAGATCCCCTCCTCCAGGAGGGCCTGCAAAACCACAGAGCATTGGGGGACTTCCGGCAGGGTTTTCTTCTGGGGCCGCCTCGAAAAGCCGCGCGGAAAGTGTTTCCTCACAAGATGCCAAATATCCTTTCAAGCGAAGCGATTCCGGTGATTTAAGTGGCTCAAATGCTACAACTAAAGATCCATCTCCGGCTAGTGGTAAAATAAAGCCAGACACGCCCCCGAAAAAGGATTTCCGGGCAAATCTTAAATCTCGCCAACCTCCGGCAGATAATGATGGAAAAGGCGAGCCTGAATTCAAAAATGTCTTTGGCCAACTTCGACGTACGAAAACTCAAAATTATGTTGCTCCGGATTTACTGAAAAGCAACATCAGTCGTGGAAAGGCTGCTTTGAACGCTACTGGGGGCCCCAAAAAGACAGAGCGCGTGGATGAATTCAAGGAGGCCATCTTGAAGAAGAAAGATGATTTTAAGAAGACTCAAGCTGAGGGGAAAAGCGTTGCGGCTGCGCGGCCAATGAGTTTCACAAGTCAAGACACTGCTTTACCCGAAGCTCTCGCCAGGAGGAAAACTCTAGGAAAAGCAGATGCGGTTACTATCGACACTGGATCCAACGTCTTGGACTCCTCAGAAAGGCGCTCTGAGCGAGAACTTCCAAAACCAAGTCTACCTTCTAAAGAGACTAGCGCACCTGGTCGCCTCCAAGATAAGGAAGCTATGGGAGGGAAGCTCGCAAGTCGCTTCAATCCAGCTCTTGCTGGGATCCTTGCGCGAGGTCCTCCTTCTATGGCAAGCGATACATCCCGTTCATCCAGTCCTGCTTTGTCTCAACGTACAGCCAGCCAGAGCACATCGATAACGAATCCAGAGGTTCCGGACTCAGGGCCACAGCTTACACATATGACCAAAGGGCGTGCACGCGGGCCCAGGAGGAAAGCACCTTCTAGCGTACCCAACGCTAATAGTACACCCTCCGAGAGTGTCAGTAGAGGTCAAGAGGAACTCGTTCTGAATACGAAGGCACCTAGCAAGCCCACAAATGTTACAGGGTTGACGAAGTTATCAACACCCGAAGCCACCCAATCGTCTACTGCCAAAGACACCGAAAAACCAGTCTCGCAGCCCTCGTCTCCCCGAAAGCTAGATGTGAAGAGACGTTCGCAATTCCTACAGGAATTACCGAACCAGAATAACAATGCAGGACCGCAGTTGGAGTCCCCCAAACCACTCTCACCCATCAGGAAAGCCAATCCGGTCGAGATACCCTTCAGTGCGCCAGCACCAAAACTCGACTCTTCTCCATCCACAAAAATGAAGCCCGTTGCTCCTCCCAAGTCACCCGCAACAGCCTTCAAGGCTTCGGAAAGGATGGGGAAAGCATCAGAGGCACCTATTCCAGATATTTCCCCTCTTGCCCTTCGATATAAGAAAGTGCCAGAACCGGAAGATCCGAAAGCAAACGAAAATGATCCTTCCTCCCAAATAAGCAGCGACGAGCCTAAGCCAGCGGCTAAAGGGCCACGCCCTCTTTCGGTAAAATCGGTCAAGAACATCACGGCTCAGTGGGATAGCCCATCCGAGTCGAAATCACAACAAGCATCTCCTCGGGCTAGATCTCCTATCAAGCTTCCTACCCATGCTGATGAAAAGGCTAATATGGTAGCTGCGGGGTTACGCCCAACGAGTCCTGAGAAGGAGAAAATTGGCTTGGGCATTCAAACGAAAGTTTCACCTACGACCCGGCCACTGCCGACACCTCCTTCGAGGTCCATAGCATCGCCGTCTCCAAGTGCTAGTCTACAACCTGCAACGTCGCCTAGGATAAAAGATAGTTTAGTCCCACAAGCGTCAGAAGCTTCGACCTTGCTTGCTGATTTCTTTGGTCAACGCAAAGTCCATGCACCAAGTTTCACAGCGGACACAGCAGCGATCCTAGCCGCGCGACCTGATCAAGGAACGAATATCAAGACGCTACGATCGGCTCTCTATCAACTTTCAGCAGACGGCAAGAAGCAGCTTGTTCCCAGTCATCAAGAACGAACACTATTTGAGGGGAATTTTTATCTTTGTACTCACACATTTGGCAACGCTGCTGGTAAGAGGGTCACGGAAGTTTATTACTGGGTTGGAGATGAAGTCCCATATTCTGTAGCTGAAGAAGCCGAGATATTCGCACAGAGGGAAGCTAAGAGCTGCGGAGGCAACCTGGTCACCATTCGCCAGGGCAGAGAGCCTCCTGAGTTCTTCCAGTCTCTTGGTGGCATAATCATCATCCGGAGAGGGACTTCCAACAAATACGACTCACTTGCACCCCACATTCTATGTGGGCGAAAACATTTTGGTCAAATCGCATTCGACGAAGTTGACTTTTCCGCTCAGAGCCTGTGCTCAGGATTCCCCTACCTGATTTCGACACAATCCGGCAAGTCATATTTGTGGAAGGGAAAAGGCAGTGGGATTGATGAGCTCAGTTGTGCCAGACTCATAGGAATGGATTTTGGACTCATGGGCGACATTGAAGAGGTGGAAGATGGAAGTGAGCCTGCTTCTTTCCTCAAAATCTTCAATGGGGACATTTCGAAGTCGGCGGATCATTGGAGAATGAAGCCCAATTACAACAAATATTGTAGCCGGTTGTTCTCTGCCGAATCATCGGCCAAAGACCAGGTAAGCTTGAAATAACTCCCCCGACTTGCCACGACTACAAGTCCTATTCGAGAAACACCAATTGTGACTAATTCGTTCATAGATTGTCGAAATGAGCCCATTTTGCCAGGCTGACCTCTCCACCTCTAAAATCTACATTTTGGATGCCTTCTTTGAAATATATATCCTCGTAGGAGCTCGCGCCCAGTCACAATATTTGGAATTCCAAACCGCCCTCATGTTCGCACAGGAGTACGGTATTCTGGCTGCAGGAATGGAAGATCGCCCGTTCGTGCCTGTATCAAATGTAATTCTCGAAGGGGTACCTAGAGACCTCAAGAGTGTGTTCCGCAAATGGAAGGATGGATTGTCGCCAACAATGCAACACCAAAATACGGGTTTGCAAAGGGGTCGAAGTCTAAGAGTTGTCCCGCTCAACGCCGCGATCGAAGCCACACGATGAGTGTGCAAGAAGCTAGGAGATTTGAGGCTGTAATATGGGAGGTGGGAGTCGTGTTGATGACATATACAGGGTCTTTGCTGTTTGTATTGCTTCGGTGTAAATATGTAGGGAGGGAAGGGGTTCATAAGTGCCACACAGGAGTCCGTCCCTAGGCCGGCACGAATTATGCATAAATGGTAATGAGTTATTTATCTCCGGTGGCATCTATCCAGAATAGGATGCATCATCGATTCCACGTGGCTTACAGGGAGATGAAATTGCGAGTTGCTTCCCAATTAGTCCACATCCTTCTTTAATGAATTCTCCATTCTCGGCGTCCTCGTTGCAGGATGTTGGAGAGCCGATTGACTCCCATACGCAGAGCCAAGCCTGGACTGTGGCTCAGTTCAGGCACCTGGCGAATGACAACCCCACCTTATGTCAGCGTCCAACGACACAAATTCATTGGCCCGTTCGTATGTTTCAAACCGATGGGGGAAGTCTTTAGCGCATCAGCCTTGTGAGAGACGTGGACGTGGATAGCACTATTGTATCTACAAGTAAATCCTCATCTGATGAACGCTGAAGCTCACTCATATTGGTCAGCTTCACTAATCCTCAGTGCCTTCCCTCTAAATTAAGCTTACATGGACGACAGTGTGAGACTGCGCCCCAAGACGCTATATTCAGGCATAGCATAGCTTCAAATTAGTGGGTGACTGCGACTTCACGTCGCCCTTGTATATCTAATCCATCCATTCTCTTTACTCCTCTTCTCTCTTCGCTTCTCTCATAGATCTTCTTACTATGCGACGGTGACCTTACACACAATGGTAGCTCAAACAGCTCCAATCCAGCGAAAAAGGCGGGCATGTGGTCCCAAGACTCGCACGGGATGCTTCACATGCAAGTCCGTTACCCATTGCATTGAGTCGTATTGACAATCATGGAGCAATTGCTAATAAATCTACAGGATTCGACGCGTGAAATGCGACGAAGCTAAACCGGCTTGCAATCGATGCTCGAGTACGGGAAGAAAATGCGACGGATTTCCTCAGGATGCATCAAGTAGTTCAAATGATGGGGGCAGCCCAGATATCCTAACGAAACGATTATCTACGAAAGTGCCAGGCAGCGCGCAGGAAAAGAGGGGATTCCACTATTTCATTCAGAAGACCGCACCGGAATTGGTATGCCAGATCGTGTCCATGAAATGCCAGTTGGAATGGCTGAAGAGCTCGGCTTTCTGCTTCCAGAAATTCAGAAAAGCCTGTACTAACTATTTGGACAGTGTGGATTTTACAACACTGGCTTCTGGGAATATCTTGTACTACAAACCTCGGCAGCAGAGCCAGCGCTGAGGCATAGCGTTATAGCTATTGGCGCTGTCCACGAGGAATTCGCAGCAAAGCGTTTGAACCAAGGCCCAGGATTGCCGCCGACTGAGGGGTTTGCATTTGCCACGAATCAATATACAAAAGCAATTGGGCACTTGAGGAGGTCTCTTGCCACGGGAAAACAAAAGCCTCTTACGGCCTTGATGTCATGCATTCTTTTCGTCTGCTTCGACTCCCTGCGTGGATATTTCGAATCAGCGATGGTCCATTTGCAGAGCGGACTTAGAATTTTGAGGGATATGACTCGAACCACGGACGTTAAACATATCATAGAAAACATTATCTCCCCGCTATTTCTCAGGCTCAGTGTGCAGTCAATTCTATATGTCGATACCAGAAATCCGGAGGATAGGTACAATTTCGCAATGGAGCTCACGGACGTCTGTCACAGAAATGGAGGGGTCCCCGAGACATTTGAGACATTGGAAGAGGCCCGCTCATGTCTAATGGAAAGCGCAGAGGGTCTCTTCCGGATGTTTTACCTGTAGGAACTCCCCGCCCCCACACCGGAAGTCATATCTCTATACTAACACGCTCCAGTACCGATGGCAGCAAACCAGCTATTAGCCAGCCCCCGGAAGCCTTCACCATGTTCGAAAAGTACTCTGCGGAGCTGCGCGATTGGAATCTCGCCTACGAAAACTTCATGAACTCCCACTCCCACTCCTTCAGCAGTAAGCAAATCCGCGGTGCCGCTCTCCTCAAAATCCACCACACGACAGCCTCCGTAATGGCCGCGTGCAATCCTTGTATAGATGATTGTCGTTCCATGAGCGAAGCCTTAAATTGCCCCACCACATTCACGAAATTCACAAAGGAATTCGTAACCATCCTCAACCTCTCCCGCTCCCTCATCACGACCGCCGAGCAAGATGCCCGCAACGGTATAACGCCCCTCACCTTTTCCACAGATCTCGGTCTCATCGGCCCCTTGTACTACGTCGCGGGGAAATGCCGCATCCCGCATATCAAAGAAGAAGCCGTGCAATTGCTAGGGCGCTGTCCGCGCAAAGAAGGCATGTGGGATAGCGTGGCGGCTAGTAATCTAGTGCAGGAGCTGTGGGAGGTAGAAGCGCAGCATAACGCATTGCAGAACGGCGGACCAGATGAGATCTCGCTGCATATACCGCTGCACGAGGTTCTAGACTTGGTGTTTTACGATGGGGGAAAGTGGGAGTGGAAGTGGAAAGATACTGCACCTTCATCACTGACGAGGGGCAATTTGCATGGCGTGAATAGGGTGGGGAGACTGGGCGTGGAGAAGACGCAGCATGTGAACTGGGTGCATACGCTGGAGGATCAGAGCCTGTTTCAGGGTGCGTTTATGTTGAATAACTATGGCTCGTCCGACAGTGCGAGTCCGGCGAGCAGCTACAGTCATATGGGTTAGGGTTGCGGGGTTCTTGGCGTTGAGGTAGATATCCTGGGTGTATGTATGATGAATAGATGAATAGATATATGATATACAATAGGACAGGCTACCTAAGGTAGGTGAGGGAATCTAGAGAGAACATTATGCTACATCCGAACTACCTTCATTCAGCCTCACAAATATAGGCCAGCAAAAGAATATCGGCGAGTGCCAATGTATTGTATATTGTGTTTTACTTTAGCTCCAATGAAATTCCAGCACATTCTAGATTTCTTAGTTGAACAATGCAAGCGCAAACTCATATTATAGACTGTTTCGAGCCGCTCTGATTGTTTTCTTGAAAATTTTGATTTCTTGCAACATATGTGTAGGCCTTTTCTCTCTCTGCTGCTACAGCATCACAACGCTTGCTTTATTACTTATTATATCTCCGAATCTCAGACGGATATCAAGTGATTGAACGATCTTCATTTTTTCTTTCAAGACATTATCCTATCATATTGAAACTCCGCCTACCACCACTATCTATTCACAGGTTTCCCTCTCATCTCATCTCATTTCATCTCACACTCCATTCCAACATTACAATGTTCCATTCCACCTCGCACACATCACATATCAAGAACCTCCCTTCATTCTCACATCAGTCCCCCCTTCCACTACGTATCCCTACGGCAGCTCATGGTGATACTCCTCGCTCATAGGCGCCCCACTCATATCCATGGCGCTCTGTCTCTGCTGCCCAGGCTGCACGCGATTGATACCTCCCGAACTAGCGCCGATCTCCTGCACATTAGGCGGGACCTGGTGACTCGTTCTATTTGTATTTTCCCCTCCTCCCAGCTCAGCATGTTGGGGCGCCGGACTGCTGATCCTGCTGACCCCGCCCAGCTCACTCGATGCCGTGGTTGTCCCTATGGGACTGACGGGTGCTCCTGCTGCTCCAGGGCTCGACGCCGGATCTAGCTCTGTGAAATTGCTCGCTGGACGCGTGGGAGGAGAAGAGGGCTGTGCGTATAACGGCGGTGGTGATTGTTGTCCTGCGGGTGCATGTACCTGCTCGGTGCTAAGTTCACTGCCGTAGTTGCTCGGAGGAGGCGGGTGCGGTATATACGCTGCTTGCGTCGTAGCAGTATGCATTGGCTTCTCGTTTTGAGGAATCACATACCCGGCTGGAAGAGGAGCGTAGACTGGCTGCTGAATAGGTTTTCCCCCCATCTCAGGTGGTTGATTACCCCACGCCGCGGCCGTGGCTGCGTCCGCTTGCTGCTGCTGCGTTTGGACGTTCTGTTGAGCGGCTTTGTCTTTCTTGTTTTTGCGCAAGATGAAGAATGCGAGGACGGCCAGGGCGGCGAGGAATACTACTCCGCCGACTACACCTCCTGCTATTGCGCCCACATTGCTCTTCTTCTTCTTATGGGAGCCGACACTAGGGCGGGCTGTTGAGCCAGAGTAAGCTTGTCCAGTTGGCGTCACGGTAACAGTTGGATTGGGTGTAATGTAGACCGTTGATGGGTCGATCGTCACTTGCGTGGTCCCTCCTCCGGCCAAAATCACTGAACTCGACGTTGTGTCAAGCAACTGAACTGTCAGCGCGTATGCAGCCGTACTGCATCCGAAGTTCGAGAAAGTCGCGCCTGGCGCGAATACGAAGGCGAAGTATCCGCATTCTGGCTCGCTTGAATCACAATATATCTCGCTCGCAGGTGGTGTTCCTATAACAGGGTAGCTGCAAGTTCCCATAGTTAGCATTGTTCCATCCCAAATCATCCAGGGTTTTGAAGCATTTAGTCCAGGTGTCATCTTACTCCCAACACCTAGTGATCCCTGCCAGCGTATTAGTATGGTAAAGAGTTGAAGCGCTCTAGGTAACTCACAGTCATAAGTTACAGAAGTTTGACCGCAGCCTTCATAGAAGAATTCTCCAGCACTTGTGAATAAGCAAGTTTCGGAATTGGAACATATAGGCTGTCCGAACCCTCCAGGTATTGTCCCTACATGTCAAGAGCTCCGAGTTAGTATTGATATCTGGTAGATCAAGAGGTGTCGGGTATATCTCAGGATGGTAACCGAGGATAACCGCAATTCAACTCTTACAACCTCCAGAGCTTCTGTTTTATTGTCCAGCTTGCGGTGGTGGTTTCTAAGTAGTAGGCTAGTATTGTGAGAAATCAACCACTTACATTCCGTACAGGTATTTGTGAGGGCCTTCTTCTCCAACCTAGCTTTCACCAAATCCCTCTGAGGAGCAGCAGTCACTTCAGGTAAGAACGGTGCCCCAAAACCTCCTACAGTCTGAGTAGGAAACTCCCCAATGGCGAACCCCGCAACAGTACCAACAGCTGTAACCAAGACAGATGAACGCAAGAAAAAAGCCGCCATTTCACAATCACAAAGATTAGACAATCAATGAAAATAGGAGGAGAGAAGCAAGGCTTGAATTCAAGCTCCCACGAGGAAATCCGCATATATGAACGGCACCAGCAATGCACCTAACTACAGGCAGCCCGCTCACATGTCTCTGCCGTTACATGAGCCGTTCAGCTCACTGGGCTTCAATGCCAAGACGCGACCTAAAGGTGTCGCCTACGCCTGCGAAAAGAAGTAACTTATTATCACCAGCCGCATCGAAGGATCAAAAAAGCCCCAAGCGAACCTATAGCAATCCAATCCGATGGGTTGCTTGAAGAGGCTGGGTCTCGAAATATCCCACAGACGCCACATGGACCAAAGAGGAAATCCAAGTGCCACGCTAAAGAGCAGCTGAAAGCCCCTGCGCAAATCAAAAGGAGAGCCGCGACCCGCCAGGGCGTCCAAAAACGGGGTGATTGGTAAACTGCATGAGGCTGAACTTTGCACATTCTGTGGACGGAAAAGAGGGATAAGTGATGTGTGATTCAAAGCTGGGCATCTTTCATGTCCGGCTTGTCGAGGCTAAAGTGCACATGGTAATTCACGAGTATGGCACGGTATGCATGGCAGCAGGGATTAATCTGGCTGGAAAGCTTATTTCAATTTGAGCGGGGGGGGAAGGGTGGGGGGTGCGGTGCCTTGTGAAATGCCTTGTAGAAGTGACATGCCCATGTCCATGTCCATGCATGGTTGCTGTGTTGTGACTTGTCTATCAGACGGGACGGCAGCAGAAGTCCGCATCTCTCAATGATAGACTTCCATCCCCAGGCTGGTCCTGTGCTGTTCGTACAGTATAACGAGTTCTTGGCACCTCGTTTCCTACTACTCGGTATCCTCGGCTTTCGTTGGACGTTATTATTGTTGACGGTTCGAAGACTCACTCGCTTGTAATCTCCCTTTTCAGTGTCGTTCCTCCCCCTGTCTTGGAGCTTAGGGGTATAGGGGTATGTACTGTACGCACAACTTAAGTCGCAAGGGAATTAATTAACAACATTCCAGACCTTTAAATTCCATAACCACAAGACGAGTATAATAGAATCAACCAGCGACAAAGCAAACACCTCGAGTGGAGAATCTAGACTCTTGAATTTATACTTGATATTCTGTACTTTTATATATCCCAAGACTACCTCTTCAAATCCTTAACCTTAGCCTCCCCACCCCCCTCCCCTGTCTTCCCCTTGCCCTTAGCACCCCCATAACCCTCAACGCCCATCTCCCTCAAATTCTTCTCAACCATCCGCACCGCCTCCAAACAAACATCACTACCACCCCTCCAGCTCCTCAACGCCACGCCTTTAGAATCAAGAATATCCTTTGCGCGTTTCCAGCGGCGCTTCCAGAGATCTAGTTTTTTGTTCGGGGGTGCGTAGGGGTTAGACTGATAAGAAGATGGCTCGTCTTCTGACTCGGCGTTGTTCCAGGAAATATTGTTGGTGATGCTGCCTACGGTGTTGGCTACGGTGCTGGTTGCGTTGCGGCGCGGTGGAGGAGGTGGTGCTTTTCCTGAGGATGACGTGGTGGTTTGCGGGCTTTGGTAGCCGGGTATATAGGAGCGAACTTCCGGGAGAGCGTTGTAGGCTGCTGATACCTTGTTGCGCGCGCTGGAGACATATCCGTCGTTGAGGTTTGTCGTGCTCTGTGATTGTGAAAGGGGGTGGGGACTCTCAGAGACAGGATTGCTGCGCCGTGGTTTTGGAGGCGGAGGAGTTCTCTTGGACTCAATTGGGTACTTGGATAGGTCTCCTGTTGTGCTTACGCCTCGTAATGCAATTGGCTTGGAGGGTCGTGGAGGGGGAGCTTTGGTGGTAGGTTCTGGGACTGATTTCCTTCTTGGAGATTCAAAGGCTTCGAACGTCGAGGCAGATCGTGGCATGACATGGCGATGCGATTCGTGAACCTCCATTTGAGCGGGCTCGTCGTCAAAGTCAATCAGCTTTCCCATTCTTGGACCATTACTGGTCTGAAGCGTAGCTTCGGAAACCACTCTAGGAGGTAGTGCTGGTCGACGATCTGGTATATCATTTGGAGTAGATTTCCTCGTCGTCTTGCTGTCTCCAGAACCAGCACTAGACGGTGGCGCTCTGCCTCTCGGACGATCGCCGCTGAGAGGGCCCATGGCCGAATCAAAGAAACCCTGGTTCTCAGGAGTGGTGACATCCCGAATGAATATTGCGATAATCTTTCCAGGGTTGGCGAGCACTACATCCGTATATACTTCTAAGTCTGCTTCACCGCTGTCTCCGACAAGTATAAACTTCCTTTCTGGAAAATCTCTCATGATTTTCTCAAGAGTTCCCTTCTTTCTCTCTGCGACAGGCTCAAATATGCCTTGAAGCATACCACTGTACTGCTTCAGGTGATATGATCCTGGAGGTAACTGCGCCTTTCTAAAATAACTCACCAATACAGGGAACAACTGCCAGGGAGAGTTAGACACGTAATGGAATCCCACACCCATATCGTACATAGTATTGTACCACTCCTTTACTCCATCAATAGTGAGATCTCCCAAATCTCGAATGAAGGTATTCCTGAAGATTTCTCGGGCCCCACTTCCAATGGAAGAGTGCTTTATTGTGTCGTCTACATCACTGATCAAGCTGACACCCTTAGGCTCTGTAATCTTGACCTCCTCGGTTGCTGACAGATGTTCAGAGGCTAAGACTCTAATGTGAGTCGGAACAAACTCTAGTGGGGCTCTCATTATAAAATGGCCAGCCTCATTAGTCGTGACAGTTCTAGACACAGAGGTATTTTCATCGTAGAAAAACACAGTAATTGGAATAGAGACCAGAGGGTTCGTCAAGAATGGCGCTAGGCGTGCCATCAAATGAGAATTTGCGGTCAGCAATTCAGCTTGGGTCATATCAGAAGGTTGATTCCAAGATGATCGTTTTCCGAGATGGCCTGGTCCAGGAGGGTCGTCTCGTGATTGGGAGGGAGTGAGACTTCTAGATCTTATGGACTCGCCATATAAACTTTCCGTGTCTGAGTCGTTCTGTGGCCTCTCGCTATAGCCGCCACGAGCAGCAACGTTCTTTTCACCCTCTCCCTTCCTCAAAATCTCTTCTGCCTCGGCGGCAATCTTCTCCTGCTCTCGTCGAGCTTCATGTTCTTGGTGTCTTGCACGCAGGGATTGGACCGAGTCTGGACTGTCATCTCTGATTGGTTCTTTGGGGGCTGGTATCCCACTCAGCTGCCTGGCAAGTCCAATAAGTAGCCTATTCTTCCTTGTCATAGGACCTCGATGTGGTGAGTAGATCCAGCCACGCACATCCACATCCACAATAGCCCGGTCATCCTCGAATTTCTGCCATTCTCTAGCCCAGTATTCGGCATTCCCAGATCCATCCTCAACGTCACTTGCGGTCCTCGAATCAGGATTTGGAGCTTCTTTGACATGTCTTCGTGCGTATGAAGGAAATAAAATGAGTTGCTCGTCTCCATGTGATACTATCGCTACATCTGGGAAGGCTCCCGGTATCCCTTCTGTATCTTCGTCCCCATAGTTATTATTTCCGGCCCATTTCTCGGTGTAGGACTGCTGGTACGATTGTCTGACTTCGTTTGCTGCTTTCAAATAACCAGCTAGCTTTTTCCTCCTTGCTCCACGTTCTCGGCCCTCCCCAGACGGAGTGTCGCCTGCACCACCGAAGCCAGGCATAGAACCAGACATGGTCACCTTCTTTCTTCCTGCTGTTTCATGGTCCTTGCTATGGTCGTTGGCAATGATTCGACCCCTCTTTCGAACAATGTCCCAAATCGTAGGTCCCTTTTCTCTCTTCTCCTGTCGTCTCTTCTGATGCTTAACTATGTAGCTGTAAATTCGGGACTGCGCTCGCAGCCTGTAATATGGATATGTGTCGAGGCGGAACTTTGCGAGCCTGTCGCGCGCACTCTGTCGAGGATGAGGGAATAAATATCGGAATAGGCTTTGCCGGTGGTGCGGATGTCCAGCTCTCGAACGTTGTAAATATGGAGGTCCCGCCACTTTAGGAGCGAATTAGGGATAACGAGTAACTATGTAGTTGGATAGCACAGTAAAAGGATTCGGATGCAGAGCTTATGCATGAGGCGTACAGAGAGCACTGTCAAAGTGTCGAAGGATCAAAGTATCGAGGGGTTGTTCGTAAAGGTCGTCAGAAGGTTCGTTTTGTTGAGGAATGAGCAGAGCAGCAGCTTGATAAATCCAAGTCAGTACCTAGGTACGGTATCAGGCTGCCAAGAAATGCTCTCCTTTTATCGCATCCCCTCGCCTCACCTCTGACGTAATTACCGTAGTATGTTATGGCAAAAGCTTCGCTTACTGTAGAACATTCACGGATGGAAAACTGTCTCTATCTTGTCAATTTTGCCCGAAATCAAGACTTGGTATTCTTACTTTATTCACTGGCGAGAAAAGACCACAAGAAGACAATATAGGCTATAGATCGAGACCCGTAGTCTCTGAATGAAGATTGTATTTCTAGGCTAAGTACATCCTGCACCGGCTGGAAAGCCATCTAAACCACCATTTCGCCATGTTATACTATATGGCTCCTGAAGCTCCTGAAGCTCTGCCAACGCCGATAAGCTAGATCGACTAAGCCATAGTCCATAGTCCATGGTCTCCTAGGCACGAGAACAGAAACAGCTCCAAACGCCTGTGGCTCAGGTTTTGTGTCACGGGAGTTCCGTGCAAGTTGCTGAGCAAATGCTCGCATGTTCACCGAAACGAATCGGTACTTTTGAAATTAGGGGTTGCTGTGTCATTAGTACGCTTTTACTACTGGTCAGTCAAAATGACCATGGGATTTCCCTTTCAAAGGGACAGGGTCGGATATTTGGCATCGAATATGCCGAGTAGGCCTGCCGTTAGACGCTCGTCAATCGAAGAAGGGAAGAGAGGGTTTGGGGTGATTTCGCACAGGAACTCAATTGCAAGTCTCACGCGACCGAGGTCTGCTGTCTTTTCGGGGGAATAGTAGAGGACTCCTATACAAAGTCAGCGCTATCATAACCTCTTGGGCCGGGTAGTCTGGTTGCAACTCATGCAAACCGGCCAGTTGAAATCTGCCAAACTTCTATGCACGGATATAATACTTCACATACTTCTGTTGCTGGACGCTTCCTTGCCGCTCCGTGGACTACCTTCCTCTTTTGTGGGCGAGCAGGTTTGATTTCACCTTCCCCAAATACGTCTTCTGGAAGATCATAGCTAGGTAGAAGTCAATCACATTTGCATTGAGCCAGACCGGGACGGAATAGATACTGACTTTTTGGTGTGAATAACGTTCAAAGCGTTAAGCTCAGGGTCGTGCTTTTCCCAGCCCATACAAAGTCTTTTGAAATTGTCGACCTGCCAAGAGAGATCAAGGGATTTGGCACCTAGATGGATTCAGCAGCTGGGCGTCAGACGGGATCTCCAGTGTCCGATGCATTCTTCGAGGGTTTCTCTTCTCGTCACATAGCCACGAGTGTAGAGATGCACGGTGGCGGGGAGGACTTACCTTCTTGCAACTCCAGTCCAATGTACCAGGTTGTAGTATAGACCATGGTTCCTCCACCAACGGTCGATTTCTCATCACCATTAGCTATCTGATCATTGACAATAGCATCTCCGTTAGGTAAATTTGCAGGGTCAGTAGTCTCCGTTGGGATTTGCTTAATCTGAAACTCGAGATTGCTCTTAGCTTTCTCGACGTCCTCCTCGCTTTGGCATTTGTGAACCCGTTCGAAGCCTTTATTGAAGGGGTGAGCTAGTGCGATTGACTCGTGGTCCTCAAGACCGGCTACAAGAAGTCGGACTTTGGATTCAACCCAACCAGCCCAGATTAGTTGGGCATTCGTGGTAGTACTGGCAGCAATGACGGAAAGGTAGTATTTGTAACCCTGTGTGAAAAACGTGTGCTTGATAAACAAGTCCTTCCATGGATTCTTGCCTGTCATGATCTTGTCTGTGATCTCTCCACCACGTCTAAGCTCCCTGCATATGATTTTCTGGGTCGATCTTGTGATGTTGTGAGTCGCACACATGGAAGGATAGGCAGGTGTGATTATTGGCATAAGATGATTCCTGTCACTATGGTAGACCTCGGAGAGTTAGCCAGATTATAATCGTAATAATTATACGTCTTACTTTTGGATTCCACACTCGAACGTTCATCTGAGCACCACCTTTGGGTGTGAGCTGCGCGGGTTTCAGAAGTACCGGTGTCGGCCATTGCCACTTCTCCATTATGCGAAAGAACTTCAGGACAACAGTCGAACTCGTGGCCTTCGGATAAAGTTGACAAACTCGAGCAACAAGCATAGCCCAAGCCACACCACCAGGAAATCCCATAATATTGGCATATATGGCACGCCGCTGAGCCCAGAGCTTGATCGCTCGAAGGGCGGTTCTGAAGATAGCCTTTTGGGGTACTAAATTTAAAATGTCATCCGTAACACGAGTGCCATTCAACGAACGGAGTTCGGGCTCACTAAGACCTTTGAGCAGATTGTCGTCAGCAAGAGTCAGGTCTTTAGGGACTTGGCTGAGATAAGCAAGTCGGGAGAAAATAAGATCAATACTGATTCCAGAATATTCGAATTTGATGATTGGGACGAACGAGTCTGTAACAGGTGTGAGATCGGTGATGGCGCCCGCGGGAGCCATCTTAATCAAGAGATCAGGGAAGTGTTCGAAGTAGTCGTTGATGGTGATGTGTTTCGGGACAACAACGAGGGTATCAATATCAGAACCAGGACCGAACACACCAAGCCGAAAGCTTCCATACGTGAATATTTTGCCGCCAGCATTCTTAACGAGATTCTCATTGAGTCCTTGTGCTCGGCTGACTTTTCTCACGAATTCTTCGGTTATGGACTGCAGTGACTGAAGGACAACGGTTCTGGAAAGAACGAACGGTTAGCTATAATCGGAAATTGTTTGCATACGATATAAGAATAAGTGAACTTGGGAGAACTTCTCTCGAGAAATGGAGAGCTGTAACACACCTCTTGTTGGTATCCGATGTGCTCTCATAGTTGTTCTGTCGCTTTAACTCCTCGATAAGGTCATTGCTGGCTTGGTTCTCAGCGTCTGTCGGGAGGGCATTCGACAGCGGTGCCGTCACGCCATATTGCATTGGACCAGCAGTCGCCATGTTGTATTGACGACGGCGCTGTAGCAAAAGTTGGGGCGAGGTTGAGTTGAGAAGTCAAGGCGCCGTTTGCGATGTTGCGATTCAATCGATTAAGTTGGGAAGGCGCGCTAATGACTAAGCAAGGCTGAAGACCACATCTCATGTTCGCCTTAGGCACTACAAGTCGACAGTAATCCTTGAAAAGGTATCTACTGAGCCTATAATTCAATAGAGACTTCTTTTAACTTCTTCGACGTTCAGATAATCCGAGTTTCCCGGATTTTGATGTAGTCTCCATGCCAACAAGATGTCATCTGTAGAATGGGAAGGGAATACTGCCACGATTGAGGATGATGAGGAGAAAAGAGTTCTTCGGGGTGCTCTGTCGTCTTTCTAGTATGTGCTTTTACTGTTGATCTTCTGTTTCTCCCATCGGAGGTTTACGGGAGAGTAATGACATTCCAAATCTGGTTTCAAACCTTGGTAATAGCTAGCCACAAATGTCCAAGGATTTTTACTGCCCTACGGCCACTCTTACAGATCTTTATATGCTATAATTGCTATGGTATCTAACGTTTCTCAAGATTGAAAGCAAGTCGGGGTTGATTGGTTACTGATTTTGCCTCTAGCCAATATGCAAAAGTTGCTCATTACAATACCACGCATCTCCGAAGGCAGTCATTCTACGCTTTACCAAGAGCGCACTGGGAGATGTTAGCCAGTCCACCCTTCTCCTATCTCGAAACTCTCAATGCGGTGGATGATGCCATCGACAAGAACTCGGAACTAGCAAGTGCCATCTTTCATGCTGGCCTTCAATCCTTCGGGTTGTCTCTGCCCACGAGCGAAGTTGGAGCCAATGACCCTAATGATTGGCGAGGAGTTGCAACCTCAAATGATCTCGAGAAAGCACGAAGTACTTTGCGGCAATTCTTCCGAGACTGGTCTGCGGAAGGCGAATCGGAACGAGAAGCTTGTTACGGTCCAGTGATCAGTGCCCTTCGAGATGAATGCAACCGTCGCTCCGGGTCCAAATTACGTGTCTTGGTTCCCGGTGCAGGACTTGGTCGCCTTGTCTTCGAGCTCTGCTGTGCCGGTTTTGACGCTGAGGGCAACGAGATTAGTTTTCACCAGCTTCTTGCAAGTTCATACATCCTAAATCACTGCTCTAAGAAGCATGCTCATACCATATTTCCATGGGCCCACTCCTTCTCGAATCACCAAAGCCGTGCGAACCATCTGAGGTCAGTCCAAGTGCCTGATGTGTCTCCCGCCTTGACCCTTGGCAGCATTGAAACAGCTGGTCAGATGAGCATGAGTGCCTCGGATTTCTTACTGTTGTACGGGGATGAGGACCAGAAGGACACTTTTGACGCCGTTGCGACTGTCTTCTTTCTCGATACTGCGCCAAATATCATAAAATACATTGAGGTGATTCGGAACTGTTTACGAAAGGGGGGGTTGCTTGTCAATATGGGACCCCTACTGTGGCATTTTGAAAATAATGCTCCCGGTACGCATGGACGGGAGAAGGAACCATCTGGGCACCACGATAGTATTGGTAGGCTTTCTTTTGTGCACTACTAATTCTATTACTGATCCCCTGAATTTCCAGGTATTGCAGATCCGGGAAGTGTCGAGTTGACAGATGATGAAGTGGTGATGTTAGTAGAGAAACTTGGGTTCGATATAGTACACAAGACATCTGGGATTGAAGCACCATATATTCAAGATAAGGAGAGTATGCTTCAGAGTACATACAAAGCTAGTCACTGGGTAGCTAGGAAAAAATAACCCTTCTACATATTGGCAAAAAACTCCAATCTAACAAAGTAGGTGGCATAAGTTACTGAAATTCCGCAAGTCAAGTGATCAACTATGGGATTTCAAATATGGTCTATATCCAATTAAATTCGAAGCGAAAGGACCAGCGCAGCTTGCAACTTTCTCTGGTGCGCTATAATCGCCGCCTCGAGCTAAACTACTGTAATGACCTGTTCGTAATCCATCTGATACATCTTACACACATAACCCTTCAAAGCTTCGCCTCCTCTTTAACTTCAACCATCCCCCCTCTCGCCCACACTTCTCCCCCATCAACCGTCACCGTCGCGCCATTAATATGCGAAGCAGCCCTACTCGACAAAAACACCACCAACCCCGCAATATCCTCCGGCTTTCCCAATCTCTTACTCGGATTCTTCGCCGCGAACGTATCGGCACCGCCACTAATCTCCAACAATCCAGACGCCATCTTACTAGGGAAGAATCCCGGCGCAATAGCATTCACGAGGATATGTCTAGGCCCCAGCTCTACAGCTAGGTTCTTAGTGAGATGGATGACTGCTGCTTTAGAGGCTGAGTATCCAAATGTCGCGTTTTTCCCTAGGCTGCCGACGCCGATTCCTGCTACGGAGGCTGTGATTATGACTCGTGATGGGTCTTCAATTGTGCCATTCTTCTGAAGCAGTGGCGCAAATCTGTTCTCCGATATCAGCTCTGGTCCCCGCCATCTCATAATCGGGCAAGTACGGCATGGGTACTTGTGCTTACAGTCTAACGGTATTAAAAACACTTTTAACATTCAAATCCATTACCTTGGCAAACGCACTGTCCGGGTGCGTATCAAAACTCTCTCCCCACGTAGCGCCCGCATTCGCAAACAAGATATCCACGTGGTCCGTTGTCTTTCTCACTTCCTTAACTAGATGCTCTACGCCCTCGAATTTCGCACTATCCGCGGGGACGGAAATAGCTTTTGCGCCTGGCGCGAGGTTGGGCAGCGCATTCAGGGCTTTCACGGCGCTCTCGCAGGCAGACGCCTTACGTGATGTGATGTAGACTTTTGAGGCTCCTGCTTGGAGAAATCTGAAGGGGTTTGAGGGTCAGGGAGGGGCGAGAGGAAAGGGGTAGGGAGGGAGGTACCCTGATGCAGCGTGTAGACCAAGACCTCTGGATCCGCCAGTAACGACGACTACTTTTCCTTTAAGAGAAAATATATTAGGGAAGTCTTTAAGTTCGGTTTCGTAGTTGGTGGACATTTTGGGCGACTGGGTTGATATGATAATGCGATGCTGTGGCTGGATGGGTATGAGATGTCAATGGGCAAATTGCTCTATGGAATGAGATGAAAAGACCGTGTCTTAGATCTACTTCCAGTCGAGCAACAATAATACGAGATTGGCCAGGAAAATGTTCGTGATGTTTGTGAGGAAAGAATGAGATTGAAGCTTGAGGATCAATTTTGTGGGGTAGTTTCCCGCGGTCTATACATGCCTCGGCATCTCTAGGATTTCTTTCAGGGATCCTTTCAGGTACTGGAATTATTGAAAAGTGAGAAGTTGTTGAAGGATATTTCAATATCCCGTTCTTGATTGCTTCTCAATTTATCCTTGAAAAAAGTACCTTAATCATTCATTGCCTAAAACTAGCGATTTTTACAACAGCAATGGCTCGCTGATCCATTTTCAACTATTATTCCTCTTGCCCGTCTAGTCTATGGTCTATCTTATATCTATTGTCCCTCTATCTTTGGCTTGACGAGCTTCTTAGCCTCTTCATTTTTCGCAACAGTCTCCTCATAATCTGGTCTCAGAATATCGAATCCCTCGGTATTTCTTCCGTAAGTCATGCCCCCTAGGCGGCTTATTGGCTTCAGAATCTATGATGCGATCAGTATACGGGTTTCAACGGTAAAAAGACAGAGCTTACAGCAGGATCAATCTGGTTTTTGTCCCCATTGATAGCATCCTCCCTTACCCAAAATCTCGTCCCCTCAATAGTAGCAAGCACTGCAGACTTCTTCCCTGGCTTGGCCTTACTGTCAAATTCCCTTGTGCTCTCCAACTTGCCCTCAATAGAGAAAATAGCCTCCTTGACTCTGCTAGCCTTGACGGTTGAGCAAGGTGCTGGAGTAAGACCACTCAGACTCCACTCACTCTCCCCATATGGGGCATTAACGGATGTGGCATTGGCAGCCTCGACGAAATGCTCCGAGATGATGTTGATAACACATTCCCCTGACTCAACCAGATTCTTCAAGGAATCCTTCGCATTTTCAAAGCCGCCAGCATAGCCGATAGTGAACAAAGGCGGGTCATGGGTTATCATCTGGAACCAACTGAATGGTGCGAGATTCGTACTACTCCCATCCTTCGATCTAGTACTGAGGAAGCCAATTGGGCGCGGAATAATGCCGGAAATCAACAGCTTGTAATTAAACACCGCGGCTCTGCCTTCCTCGTGGGGATCTATTTCCACATGAGGGATCTTCAGGCTTGCGCCGCCATCGTTTGCCCCATCCCCGTACTTCCAATCTGGCTTGATAGTCTGTTTGAGTTTCCATTCCAACGATTTATCCCATGCTTCCCTGCCTGCTTCCACCTTTTTGAAATCCGGGTGAGGGTTTCTTTGAATGAGCTTTTCTGCTTCAGCTCTCGACATGGCGAATCTTGACGTCCTGAAACTTCGACTTGCGGTTTGCGCGACGCGGGGTAACAGAGGGTGAATGAATGGACTTGGCGGTGTTAGCTTTAGGAAGGCTTGGTGTATGTTGTATCAATCAACTTACCGAAGGAATGAAAAGGTACTTCTGCGGACTATCATTTGTATATCGTGAGGTCTTATAGTGTTTTGGTTATGTCCGGTTTTGCGCGGAATTCTAGAAGTCACTACAAAGCCGGTAGCAACCGCGACCCCGCCCCCGCCCCCTTATCGACGCTAAGATGCCTCCTCCAGGAAAGGAAGAAATTCCTCGGGTTAAAACAGCGATTTGTTGAATGACACATCTTTCAGAGAACTGAACTTTTTCTGACTTGGGATCTCCCACTCCAGTAGGAATTTCGAATACATCAGCTCTTCTCAATAGGGAGTAGTGAGTTTATCACAATTATTGTGGGGCAGATCAGTAATAACAATCTCATCCCACTGAAGAGAATTGTTGTGTCTTCAGCCAGTCTCAAGAAAGTGCAAGAACGGACATCAATCCAAAAGAAGCGCTCAAATCAAAAAGCATCATGGCGAGCGTCGAGACATATAAACTTGGCGATTGGAAACTGCAGTCTGGACAAGAAATTCCCGATGCTCACATTGCTTATAAGACTTTTGGAGACCCAGCGTCTCCAGCCATTATCTACCCTACTTGGTTTTCTGGATGTAAGATAATAGCTATTTTCAAAAATCTGGCAGCTAACACATTAAAGCCATTGCGGACAATGAGTGGCTAGTTGGAGAGGAACATACTCTGAGCCCAAAGAAATACTTTATTATCATCACAGCTTTATTTGGGAATGGTCAATCGACCTCCCCTTCAAACTCCAATATTAAACCTTTCCCTAAAGTCACATTCTATGACAATGTGAGGGCTCAACATACCCTGGTAACCAAGCATCTGGGTATCAAACACGCTCGAGCTGTCACTGGGTGGTCTATGGGGGCAGGACAGGCGTATCAGTGGGCCACCCAGTACTCCGAATTTATGGATATTTCTATTCCATTCTGCGGCTCAGCAAAGACTTCTCTGCACAACCAAGTTTTCCTTGAAGGTGTGAAATCTGCACTACTTGCTGCTCGAAAAAACACGTCGGCAGGCTCATGCGAAGATGGGGTACTCTCAGCTGGAGAGGAATATCGAACCTGGACTGCAGAGGAAAAGGAAGTGGGCCTGATGGCATTTGGCAGAGTTTATGCAGGATGGGGGTTCAGCCAGGCATTCTATAGAGAGAAGCTTTATGAAAGTGCTCTTGGGTTCAAGGACCTTGAAGACTTCATGAAGAATTTCTGGGAGAGTTGGGCACTTTCCAAGGGTACGTTAGACTTTCGACTTTCTTGAAACTTCCGACTTAGTTGAACAGGTAGCTGACGCTGGGCAGATCCTGAGAACCTGTTAGTAATGCTCTACACATGGCAGTCTGGCGATGTTTCAAATCAGGAGCCATACAATGGTGACTTCAAGGCTGCTATGCAAGGGATTAAAGCAAAGATGCTGGTACTCCCTGGCAAGACAGACTTGTACTTCCCGTATGTGTACACCGTTTATAGAAGGATATTTGCTGATAAGGTATCTCTTCAGACCCGAGGATTCAGAAATAGAAGTTGCAAACATGAAAGAGGGAGTAGGAAGAATGATTCCGTTCCCAAGCGTGTGGGGTCACTGGGCGGGCGGTCCGGGCGATAGTAAGGATGATTGTAGATGGTTGAATGAGAAGCTGAAAGAGGTTGGACTTTGATGTCAGGTATAGCTTTAACTTGCAGTAACATTGTAGAAATGGGGCTAGAAACTCGATTTGACTGATATCAACACGAGAAATGCATCTTGCGAATGAACTGGGACCCATGACCATGAAAGGCGGCTTATTCCATATGTGCGTAGTGGGACAACTTCCCCCCCTTATCAAGTTTGAAAGATGAGTAAAAATGACCTGCTGCACTGACAGCTTAGAGAAACGAAAAACGTGGAACCTGAGATTGGTGATCTATGATTGTATGATTAAATTTTATGTATCCAAGAAAAGTATTATAAGACAGAAAGTTTTGTTAGCAAGATCGTAGTTCGCGCGTTGGTATTTGTCCGCGATGCGATTGGCCATTTTGAAGGCAATCCTCAATAACAACCCTTCCACCTCAGAGCTCCTCACGTCAACCTACAACGAAAAAGAAAATCGCCGAGGAACAAAACAGCAATCATGGCACAATCTTCAGCTCCTCCCATCGAAATCTCCTTTCCCCTCCCAAAGTCGCCCGATACAAGAATCTACCTCCGTCTCACGATTCAATCAACCTCTCTACTACTTTTCCTGACCACAGCTTTGAATGGCGACCAATCTGCAGTGCCACTTGGTTCACTCGTTTATGCCATTCCAGACGTACGGATGCCCCCCTTTCCAACAAGATTATTACTGACTTTCGCGCAGCGACTGAATGCAGGCCAAGCACTCTCTACACCACTGCACACCTCCGAACCCACGTTGGAGTTTACAACCCGTTTGGCAAAGCTCTTGGCACGTCGGACCGGGAAGCCAGCTTATGTTGGGAATTCTATAAGCTTTGCGAGTGCTGGGATGGGTGGGACGGTTGAAGAGGAGATAGAGGGGTTTAAGAAGGTCGTGGAGGTCGTCATGGGTGAGGTTGGGACGGGCGGACGAGTTGTCAATGGTACATGAAGGATTTCGATCTTGGAGATTTTAACCATCGATTCGACATCATGCAATTGGGGATTTTGGTCTCTTCACGTAAAGCCGGCCAATCTGCACTGAGCCAGCAGGCTCCATGTAGACATCACGCCCGTGTTGGTACCTTTAGAACGTCCACGCGGCACGATATAGTGGGCTCATTCAACCTACAAATGGAACACATTTGAAGGGCTTGAATGAGCTGCTTGTCTGCCATTACGATCAAGATAGGCTTGGGGGAGCAGGTCCTCATACAAATGGAAGGTTATCCAAACCAAAACTTACAGACCGGATTTTTTGCCTACATAGTCATGCGGTGCGATCATGTGCGCCCTTGCCAATCTGGAAATAGGTCTTCAAGTCGTCCAAATATATGTCCAGCTCTTTACAGACAGCTTGTTTAGGGGTTGTTCTCGGTTCGTACCTGACTGAATCGTCCCAAGATGCATGTTTCAAGGACCTTCATACCGACCAACGCTAATTTCAGAAAAACGAGGTTTTCAGGCCCATGCTAAAGCCATTTGAGATTCCCAGAGTTGTTGGATATAGGTTCGGCCACTTCCTAGGTTTTCACAATATATTTGTGCTGATTGCGATACTGCTGCAGATGCATCAGGTTCCACCGTACAGATGAATAGAGGGGTCTTAACACTACCCGGCTTGCAAACAATTCTTGTCAACCTCACGGAAGTCGTGTCGATTTCTTGTAAATTATTACCGTATAAAAATCTACGCACATGTATGACTATGCAGATTATTAAGACTGGTCTTCTTAGTATTCTGTTGAAACATTAATTCATTGGAGAACGTTGCGCACCAGCGCAAGGAAGCAAGTACCGCGCGAAAAGCAAAATAAAAAAAGTCCCCGCCCGAACTTCTCCACCAACTTGAATGTCCATGCCCCTCTCGCATGCCTCAATTATCTCCTTTTCAGCGCTCTGAAATTGAATAAGTTGCATGTTCATATGTGCGACTAGCCGCAGGTACCACACCTATCATAGTCTACTCACAAAGCTACCCTCCCATCGGTCTCTACGCGCATCCACAACCCCACTGTCAATCAAACCGCAACACCCCATTACCTTCTCTGTCGCCCACAGATTGGTTGCGCAAATCACCAGAAAGCTTCTTACTCTTCCGTCACAATTCGTGAGTACAGATAACCATCTCCCGGCAAACGACTTGCTCTAGATCGGCCATGAGGCATCAGAAACAGCACACAGCTAACTTCAATCAGATGGTGACCCAAGACGCTTAAGGTCATACAAGTATCCTTGTGCGACCTCCCAAAGTCAAGTCTATACCTGGAGTGCGTACCTGCATATCGGAAGGAATCGATTGAATCACCACGAGAGACACGACTTGCAAGGCATCCAAAGCTAGGTTTCAGTCATGGCCTGGCAACCGGAACAAGAGCCCTTGCGGCAGTTATCTGGGTGTTTGAAAGACTCTTTGAGTGGACACAACAAGAATGCCCAAAAGCAAGCAGAGATTGTGCGTGGAAATCTCCCTCAAATTCTCCCGTTGATATCTGTTTGCGCAATGTAACATGAGCTAACTTTGTGGCTCTTTCAACAGATGCTTGCCCAGGCGAAAACCTCTCCCGATATCAACAACTACCTCACTTATCTGTTTTCCAGCTCTCAAGTCCCCCAGGGATTGAATTATAGCACGGAGGAATATCATGCGGTCCGATCTGCAGCGGCTGTCATGCTGAAAAACAATATCAAGACCGGTTATAAGTCAATATCACCAGAGAGTCTTGCTCTTGTACGCTCCTCGGTACCTCTCGCATTACAAGACAAAAATCAGTCTATAAGAGGATATGCTGGAAATGTTATCACTGAGATTGTTGGTCGTGGTGGAATTCTAGGATGGCCTCAACTACTTCCGGAGTTACTTTCACTGATTGGGAACGAGACTGGTAACATTACACCAGAAGCACAAGAGGGAGCTATGGCTGCTCTGGCAAAAGTCTGTGAAGACAACAAAAAAATGCTCGATAAAGACTACCAAGGCCAGCGGCCCCTGACTTTCATCATCCCTAAACTCATTGAGTTTACAGTCAGCGACAAGCCGAAGGTCCGGTCCCTAGCCCTCGGAACTATCAACGTTTTTATTCCCCAAAAGCCGCAGGCATTGCTTGTTTCTCTTGATGATCTTTTAAATCGACTTTTTCAGCTTGCAAATGATACCTCATCGGACGTCCGGCGGCAAGTATGTCGAGCGTTTGTTCAGATTGTCGAGATCAGGCCAGACAAGATCCAGCCACATATTGCTGGCCTTGTGGATTATATGATTGCGCAACAGCGAAAAATTGAAGATGAAGACTTGGCTTGTGATGCTGCCGAGTTCTGGCTTACCGTTGGCGAGCATGATCAGCTATGGAAAGCCCTTGGTCCTTATCTCAACAAAATCATCCCTGTTCTTCTTGAAAGTATGGTCTATAGCGAAGAAGATATTGCAATGCTGGAGGGAGGTGGCAACGACGCCGATGAGGAAGATCGTGCCGAAGATATCAGACCTAAGTTTGCCAAAAGCAAGAGCATTCGGACACTCGCCAACGGCGAGGTTGTGGAGGAATCGAGCCCGAATGGCGGCTCATACTCTAAGCTCGGAGGCGACGATGATTTAGATGAGGGAGAGATCGAAGACTTGGATGACGACGATGATGATGGAAATCCAGAGGATCGTTGGAATCTACGGAAATGTTCAGCAGCCGCACTGGATGTTTTCGCAACTGACTTCCGGGGGCCTGTGTTCGAGACGATTCTGCCATATTTGATGACCAACCTTCGGCATGAGGAATGGCCTTATCGTGAGGCTGCAGTTCTCGCTCTTGGAGCCGTTGCGGAAGGGTGTCTCGACGTTGTTACTCCGCATCTTCCAGATTTGGTACCTTATTTAATATCATTGCTGAATGACCCGGAACCCCTTGTTCGACAGATTACCTGCTGGACTCTGGGAAGATATTCTTCTTGGGGTGCAAGTCTCAACACACCTGCTTTACGGGCTCAATTCTTTGAGCCGATGATGGAAGGCATTCTCACTAAGATGCTCGATACCAACAAACGGGTTCAAGAAGCTGGTGCCTCAGCTTTTGCTCATCTCGAGGAGAAAGCAGGGGCAACATTAACGCCGTACTGCGAACCAATTATTCGTCAATTCGTCCGCTGTTTCGAGAAGTACAAGGACCGAAATATGTTCATACTGTACGACTGTGTCCAAACTCTATCTGAGCATGTGGGCCATGGGCTTGCGCAGCCTCAGCTTATCGAACTATTAATGCCGGCGCTCATACATCGGTGGAACAAGGTTTCTGACCAGTCGCGTGAGCTGTTCCCTCTATTGGAGTGTCTATCTTACGTCGCTACCGCTTTGGCTGAGTCTTTTGCACCCTTTGCGCAACCAGTATTCACCCGATGCATAAAGATCATCCATCAAAATCTGGAAGAGTATATGGCAGCCGTGAACAACCCAATTTTAGACTCACCTGACAAGGACTTTCTCGTAACGAGCTTGGACCTCTTAAGCGCTATTGTCCAAGCACTCGATGAAAAGCAATCCGCAGCTCTCGTATCCGGCTCACAACCCAGGCTATTTGAGCTGCTAACATTCTGTATGGAAGATCCTGAGAATGACGTTCGCCAATCATCATACGCCTTGTTAGGTGATTGTGCAAAATACGTCTATCCTCAATTAAAACCTTTCTTGCCGACGCTTCTGCCGATCCTTACACAACAGCTCGACTTGGATTTAATTCTTGATGAGCAAATTGAGACGGGATTCAGCGTGGTGAACAATGCTTGCTGGTCTTCCGGTGAAATCTCAATTCAGCATGGCAAAGAAATGGGACCATTCGTCGGTAAGCTCTTGGAGCGATACCTCGAGATTCTAAGTAATCCAGAGGTCCCCAAATCTGTACTGGAAAATGCAGCAATTGCTCTGGGGCGCCTCGGGCTCGAAAATGCCCCTATCATGTCCCCTGTGCTGGCCACTTTCTCGGAGCCGTTCTTGAAGGCCATCAACAGTGTCGACTACACCCTGGAAAAGGCCACTGCCATGAAGGGTTTCTGCTTGGTGATCCTAGGTAATCCGCAAGCTATGGAGAAAGACCTAGCACGACTCTTCACTGTCATCGCTAGGTATAACATGGGAGAGGCCTTCAAGACTCCTCTGACAGCCGATCTCCAACAAATATTCCAGCACGTACGTTTTCAACCCGCTCTAGATCTCCAGGATGCAATGCTAACTCAACCTTTAAGACACTTGATATGTACAAATCCCTTATTCCAGACTTCAACGCCTTCCTCGCTGGCTCTATTGCCGCAAACGACATTTCAGCTCTTCACAAGACATACAACTTGTAAATAGAAAGCTCCATTTTTTAGGACAATTGGGGGCGTAAAGGAGGGGTGCAAGTCTGATAAAGAGCAAAGAAAGCGACACGATATTATTTGTATTCACGAAGGCATGCGGAGGAATGAGATACAAAAGAGCATTTGCATTTGAAAAATGTGGTTTGCAGTTTGCGGCCAAGCGAGCAAGTTAGATATCATTTTCACTTTACACTCTGATGACATTTTGCTAGCATTTTAGATAGTTGACGATGGTTGTACTTCGCAACGAGGATTTGATGGGAGGAACAGGGCAATGCTGGAGATGTGAAAAGGGGCCCAAGGTAGCGAAGTCCCTTTTGAGGTCACTTCATCGCTTCAGAAATTGACTCCATTGAATGGAATACGGTAGATAGAAGAACTGCTTTTTACTGTCTATTCTCTAGACCTAGGTTGAGGTGATTCTATTCCGTCTAAACATCCCCCGGTGATGAATCTCGTCATCATGCAGCCTTACGGGACCGAACTCTTGGGCTAGGGCTGGGCTGGCCGAGGTAAGTAAGTGATTGGCTCGCATTGAATGCTGCCTAAAAGGCAGAGAAAGCATTGGTCAAGACTTCCTCCTTTTGAGACTAAAAGGTTATTGTTCTACCTGTATTATTACCAGGAGAAAATTAACCTTTGATCCAGTGCGGGATGGAAGAAATGACACGGGCCGGCGGGTATAGTTCACTGTCTCGCGTGTCTTATTCGTCTCGCTGTGGCCGTGGTCCGACTTTGACCGGAGCTCTTTGAAATTTCGAATTCTTCTGTTTCTTTCTTGGCTTGGGTTGGTTTAGGAACACGCCTCACTAAGATATCTGTTGCTTGGACTCGAACACCACATCGAGATAGAGTCAGAAACGCGTAAATTGCATAAACTACATACAAAGTTAAAGGAGTCCTGATTTGGATAAAAATCTTTTGTGAGATGTGATTTAATTTAATTGTGCATGCAGACTTGTGAAGGCAAACTTTCAGTTCCCGTTCCTGGCATCCCGGTGAAACAGTAACCCGAGGGGGAAAGTAAAGGCCCAAGTGGGTGCGGGAGAAAGGGGAGCGAGGGGGGGGGGGTGGGGTCTTCTTTGGAATCTCCGGATCTTAGCTTTGAAGCTATCACAGTAACAGAGTTGTAATGCTCCATAATAGGCCCTTGTTATTGAAGGTTATAATTAAACATCAATTGGCGGCTGCCTTGGGAAACCATGCAGCCACAACCGTGTGCTAGCAGCCGAGTATTTGCGCAAGGCAACGAGATGGGGTATTAGGTACAAAGTCAAAACAACGCTTACCGTATGTATTATACTCCGAGTATAATTACCGCTGATCAGAGGCGGATTGCTTCATAGCATAGCATGAGTGATGAACGTTCCATCGGGATACAGTAATAGACGATTAATCATGCAGTGTAGTGTAGTATAGTGTAGTGTAGCAAACTTGATAGCTGAATAGAATAGAGCAACGGAGAGTCCGAGTGGTCGGTGTAAGAGAAGTATAGCAGCTGATGGTCTGACGGTGTGAGCTGCTATGATACAGCATGACGATGCCGGGCCGTTTAGGGTGGTACATTCGATATGGCACTTTGTTTGGATACCAACGGCAAAAGGCCGGTAGCCTATAGCTGGGTTGAGTTGAGTTGATTCAACCGGGGCTGTTAATTTCAACGCACGCGCTAAGAGACTCAAGTAATAGAGTAATTAGTTTATAGTTTACTAGAAATAACGTTTTAGTAGTTTACTTGTACTTGCCTTTGCACTTGTAGGTATTTGAAGATGCACTGTGGTAGTTTTGGATAATATCCAAGTGGTAACGGGGATGGGGTGCTGAGAATAGATTTAGAGCTCGGCTAGGGATATAATATGGTGCGCTAAAGACCCCAGCTTTTACCGTTGCTCACCTATGATTTCATTCGATCATCCCAACATCCCATTTTTCAACTCACTTCGTCCGCTCCACTCCATTCCACCCCACTCCACCCCACTCCATTCCACCCAGATCTGACAGACAGGTGGAGGGAATCGGGAATCGAGGTCACGAGTGTGCCTTCTTGAAAAAAGATATCTCCTCTTTTACCCTTCACCGCCCAAATATTACTCGTACACATGAATCAGCGACAAGTACAAATACAACTACAAGTATCGTACCTCTGTACCATACTGTAGATCGTCGTCATATTAAGTACCTGCCTACTTGGTACTTCTATATGGCATTCTGATACGAGTGTGTCATTCGTGACCAACGATGCTTCCCGCCAAGGCTTTCCATGGCCTCTCTCATTGGTTTCTTCTAGGCGAGGCTGTACAGTACCGTTAATTCCAACCGATCTCGTTGATCTCAAACCCCGAGTGGGGGATGGTGTTGATGAGCCTTGTTCGATGCCGTATCTGCTTTCGGATCTACATATGGCAGCCTAACCGTTTAATAACTTGCAGGGCCCAAATATGCCCCAAAAGAGTTCGTACTTGGCGAGAAGCGAGAAGAAGCATAAACTTAAAACCAGCCAGGGCTGAGGGCATTGAGGGCAGGGTATACAACAATAATAAATCCCTGTAGATTATGATGCTATGAGCATCTCTGGGTCTCTCCTGCCCCAGCTACATTACTACTCGTAGGAGGACTGTGATGTGACAACAAGGTGCTCCCCCGAAGAACCCATAAACTTCCAAAGTGCCTCAAGACTCTCGAGTCAGGAGTTAAAGGACCCCGCCGCGGTTAATCATGCATGCCAGCGTTTTGAGTTCCTCGCCAATTTGAGACAATGAATGCAGAGGGCTGGAGCTGGAGCTCCCAACACACTTCACCGCCCTCAACCCCACGAGTTATTGGGTGGCATGATGCTTTGATAATATAGAAATGCATCCCCGCAATATGTCGTTCACCAGATAATTCGACTGCGCCAGACACTTGTCTTAACATATCATTTGAACATTTTATCCTAAAATCCCTTTGTGCAGTATGGCATGTTCATGTGGAGAATGCCCAACAGATTAAACTATCATTACTGGATCTTTCTCAATTACAAGTACCTTACGGAGGTACTGTAGCAATTTTCAGTCGGCCAATTTTCGGAAGGTTTCCGAAATTGCCGGTCCATTATCATCAGTCTGCCGATGATGATGATGATGTCGGGCATTTAGGACTGTAGCCTGTAGCCTGTACGGAGAAGATTTTGGATGATTTGCAGCTACAGTATGTTACGTTGTATCGCTTGCCACAGCTGGGTTGCACGTTAGGGTGCGATTGACGTTCTTCTAGAAGTAAATTTTGCACTAATTATAGCTTTTGCTTTTAGCCTTGCATGCCCCATGCCCATGCCTACAGTAGGCGCCGCCACATCCACATCCTTGATGTCGATGAATGAATGGCATGCAGAACACTACGGAATAGTAGGGCGACGGTCTCGGACTTCAACAAAACTCTTCTTTTGTAGGCAATAATACACGATCAGCACCTCCGTACACTAAACACCGCCGGATTGAAACTGAACCATCAATTCCGAAAACCGTTGTGGGCACAACCTCATCATGGCTATAGCAGGCGGTGAGTTCACCGGCCTTACTCGGACTTCTGTCATATCCAAAGTCTCACAGTTTGATGACAAACTACTCTTATACATACTTACCGGTCAAGGCAATGATGCGTTCGGCTATGAATAATCGAAGTTTGGTCAGAACTGGTCCGAGGCCAAAACCATGTGTCCTGTACCTCGGGACGGCAAGAATCCGTACTAGAAGACGAAGAAGACTACTACCCCTACCTATCAGCTTTGATATCGAAGCCAAGCGAACTATAAGTAAGTGACTATACCCTGGTTCAAGACTTCTACTACACACTAGTTACCAAGAGTTTGGTCAAGAGTTCCATTTACGCCTCAGGTCTGATTGGGTCACCAGGAAAAGAAAGATCTCTGCATGCAAAAAAAGAAAGAAAGAAAAAGGACCCAGATGAGCATAGAAGGCGAATACCTGCATTTTCTTCCGACGTATTCGGAGTCGTGTGAGAAATCCATTCTCGGATATGCGATGTACAGATCTCCGCTAGGGACTACGCTTAGACTTTTAAGCTTTTTTTTTTTGTTGTTTTGACCCTGATTTCCGCCATCTCCTTCACTCGACTCAAGGAGGCTTACTTAATCATGGACGTTGGACATGCGAATACTTCCAAGTAATTACTTTGTAACAGTGCGACTCGCTCCAGCAGAGGCATGAAAGTCGTCTTGTTACGTTATATTTTTCCGTCACCAGTCAAAGTCTTGAACCCATGCCCCTTTTGAGCCGGACTAAACGATGTCATGTCTCCTTAGCGAAGTGCGATCGAGTGAAAAAGTGCTCGGTTTGTGCTCAACTACTTTAGTACGGAGTGGTTCAGGGACAATTGGGAATGTACCTAAAATATGTGGTATGGGATTCAGGCAATTTACACATCTCCATCAGGGCTGTCGAAAGTGCGGCGCTTCGAGCGACTATTGATTGATCACGGCGCCCACAGCCGCTGTTTTGCACAGCCACCCAGGCTTATCCGTATGTTAAAAAGCAGTACTGTAAGGCAGGTAAATTAAGATGCGTTTTAGAACACGAGATGGTACTTCGGAACGAGAGACCGAATCAAGTGGCATCTCGTCTATCTTCAGGGTCCCTGTCTTACTAGACGTATGCAGCGACTATGATGCGCTCACAGGGGGTTTGTTCGTTGTCGCACCAGAAGACCCTGTGTGCTTGGGTGAGAAGAAGGCCTGGTGGGTGGTGGTGCATGGAGCATGGTGGGAGGCGGAGTACTGTATGTAGAGCAAGCGATGACAACCCCAGTCGACGCCTCAGAGCTCTTCTCTTCTGGGCCAAAGCCATCCACCGCAAAGCCGTTTTCGATCTGTTGCACAAAACAGGAAGCATAAGTAGGAAGCAAGCATATTGCAGGGGGATATATATCGCCAATACAGTAGACAGCAAAAGCAGCCAGGGCGCAACGCAGGATACCCTGTTCCGCATTGGCCGCCTCGTCGCTGTCCTGGCCTGGGGTGGTGGTGGTGCTCTCTCTCCGTGGATGGCAGAATGGCCAACGGACGCCTTGCTGAAGTTGGTGCACCAAGCCAAGTGCAAAAGGCGCTCGGCCTGGTTGGGAACTTGGCAGATGCCATAGCGTTAGGCAGCAGAATTACTTGATGAAACGAAAGCCGAGCCGACTCTGAAATGTACTAGGTAATCGTGGAATCGTCGGGGTCCCGAGTCGCCTAACTAGCCATTAGATGTCCAACCAATCATCGAGGGGCAGGTCATACTCCATAGTGCTCCGCTCCGTACTTAGTCAAGCCCTCCTTTTGGAAGCGTTATTTTTGGAAACACACCCATGCCGCTTATGCTCCGCAGAAAATCCCTGTCTTACCTTAATCCAAGTACACATCTCACATCTTCTGATCACGCCCGACAATACAGTTAGTAGCTGCAGTCCCGAGAACGAACAGGAGGTCATATCTTCATTTCGAGGAGAAGTGTGTCCACGGTTTTAGTACCATGTAAAACTTTAGATTCCTCCTGTACCTCCGAAAGGTTTCCGGAAGAGACCAATCTGCGAAGGGATTTTGGCTGGCAACACATGTCTACCATGCACTGCCCTACTACGACATGGCTTGATTCGTTTCAACTAACACACCTTCTTTTACAGGCCGCTCTGCAGTAGCTGTGCTGTCTAAATCTCTAACGCCCGGTCCTCTCTCTCTCATTCTTACTCACTCGCACTCTCATTTGTAGTAGTGGACGGTACTGTACTGTACCGTCACTTCACGGTTACACGGCTATGCGCCCTCGAGACCATCCCCATCCTACTAAATCAATGGTTCACTAAGGTTATGTACGATGGATGTACGGAGGTAATGATGCACAAACGGGTATCGCTACCGTATGGCTGTATGGCATGGCATGGCACTGGCCGTGCCCAAAATACCACCCACGTTTCTTACCTACCTCTACCCAATTATTATTAGCAAATACCACCACCACTCAACCACCAGCTGCCACTAACATGCCAAGCAAGTGCTTAAAACCTACTTCGAAGTATTTCGTAGGGTAACGCAGGCTCAAAGCTCGTGCCTCGGGCTCCACCATAGATGACCACCTCCCGCTGACCATATCGTTTGTAGCCTGCCATGGGAGGCATGTCTCCCGCGTACACTAACTACCTAACCCTGCCCTACCCAATGCAGGCCTCATACAAGCGCCTACCCTCCCTCTTCCTCCACGCCTGAGCCACAATTTCTCACCTTCCCTATTCCAGTTTCTGCCGCACCTGGCAGGCTATTAAGACTCGACCATCGCCAGCTACATTTCGAGAGTCATTCAAAACAACAGACAGACATTCAGCCCATACACTCGCTCGCTGCTGCAGACTCTCCTCACCACATTCGCTTGTGTGCATCTATCTCCTAGGAAGCCCTCGACGGCTCCTGTCACTCGCTTTGCGTTGCGTAGCTATATTCAGCCCGAACCGAACCAACCCCACAGCAAGACTTCGGCGGAATTTATCTCGATCTCACGCAGCCTACGATTAATCACCTGGGAAACTACTAAACAGCTGCAATTTGTGCCACCCTAAGATCTCACCCGCCCAGCCTCCGGCATTTGAAGCAGAACGCTGCGTTTATGCTTATTTGTCCCTGCATCGGCCGATATATCATTGAGATTGCAACACAGCTACGTTGCGTTCAGCCGCTGCACCCATTCAGTCCTGGCTGTACTTTGATAAAAGACAATTGAACCCCCTAGGCTCTTGTAGCCTTACCACGCTCGCTTTCCAGATTCGACGCTTACATCTACCCGGCAGCCTCGGAGTCCAGCAAACTCCTGGTCCCACTTCTCACTGTTACTCAGCCAGCATTAAAGAACTTCTACATCTAATTTTGTTTTAACAACCTTAAGATCACCTCGTCGTTGGCTTTCACTCGTTCAAGCCTCGTCGTCGTCTTCTATCTATCAACTCCCCCCAAGCCTCGTCTCAATGGCTGGCCCAGGTGGTGGACCTCCTCGCCGGAGGTACGATCTCTCTTGCATTATTCCACTTCAACATATACTAACTTTTGCCTAGTCACACCAAGTCTCGCAAAGGATGTGAGACCTGTAAACGCAGACACATTCGCTGTGATGAGAATTTCCCCCAATGGTAGGTTCCGAGTGTATCCTTTCCACTGTATTCAAGTATTAACTCTCCATTGTAGCCGAAATTGCACTAAGCATAACTGTCGCTGTCCTTACATGGACATGCCAGTTCAAGATGAGCGAGCCCCGACTCCTGAGAAGGCAGATTTGTTGTGGACTCCTGAGATTGAGGCCGATATTCAGCGTTGGCAACAGACTGGAAACTTTCCGTTTCCAGACCTGTACATATTTCCTGCCCCGTCTCCCCAGTTCTTCTCAGTCGAGGACCTCCGCTTGATTCACCATGTCGCCTCCATCTCCAGCGAACTCGGAGCTCATGATGCCAGCAACTTCACCATTTGGACTCGGCAAATCCCACTGTAAGTGGCACTTGGTACGGGGATTTTCGGTGCTGACAGTTTTAGATTCTTGAAAATCGGTACTGATTACGGCTTTGTCATGCATGCATTGCTAGCCTTCTCAGCAACCCACATTGCTTTTACCACGGAATGCCCACTTGCCCATAACATGGCTTACGAGCATCGAGGGATTGCCTTGAAAGGGTTGCATGAAGCTATCGGGGCTTTCTCTAGGCCATCCTCCGATGCTGTTCTTGCAGCTTCTCTTCTGCTGTCTTGGCAAGCCACCGAATGGCGTGGTTGGACTCAATTGATGCATGGAACATCATCCGTCATTGATGCTATGCAACCATGGAAGAACGAGTCTCAGTTCGGAGAATTCATTGCAGAGCAGAGCACTTTCCCAACCGCACCTCCATCACCGGCTCCGGGTTCCAAGAAGCTTAGCAACCCTCGAAAGCAAGATCTGGATGCACTTTCACAAGCCTATGCACAGCTCCAAAGGCTCGAATCACACCTGAAGGCGCACAACGAAGATTCCAAGGCCATCCAACAGCTCATGAGCTTTGTCAGGGGTGTTCGGAAGGTTTCCCCAAGCCACACTGCCGCCCAGCGCTTCGAAATGCTGAACCCGCTTCGAGCCTGGTTGTTCTGGCTTCCGGTAATGTTTTTGCAACAGACCAGAGGATCCCAATCTACCCTTCTCATTCTGGCACATTACTACACAGTGGCACTGGTGGTTGAACCCCTATTTCCAGAAGTGGGAGCCGCATACTTTGGAAGTCTATCTCTGGGCCCGATTGAGGAAATCGCTCGTAGACTTTTTTCTATCCACGTCTCGCAGACTTCCGATGTAGACATGCAGACTCCACTCGATCTCATGGAATACCCCATTGATATGGTCTCGAACTTCAGAAGCCGCATGGGCTGGGTACAGCCTGAGAGAACAGCCTCCTTCCCAACATTCAGTGGCCCTACCTATTCTATGGAAGAAACCTATCCAAGCACTCTGTCTCTTTCTCCTTACGGCAATCCAGCTTTCACCTACAGTCAAGAGCACCTGATGACCATGCCGCCTGATCCAATTTCGGCCACTGCTATGAGTCCTTTGACACTAGACCCCTTCACCAACCAGTACCTTGGGATCCCATCGCCCAGCGGATTTGGAGGCTACCAAAGCCCAGCATCATCGGCCTTTGGAGAAGGATCAATTGTCTACAGTGACCATGGGGATGATTTTGCCCTGTATGAAGGACCGGGCTCCGGCTCCAATTTCGGCGGGTTTGTGCTTCCGACCGTGTGGATATAATCTGGACGAAACAATTTAACATCTCGCCCAGGACTTCCCCAGGTTACACAATCGAACCTCAAGCACTCCATGAACGTCGAATCAAGGTCGATTTTCCATCAGAGGAGCAGCACATGCAACAGCTGTCTCCAATGTCTCACCTACCAAGTTATCCTGCCCGTTACCCATCTCCGGCTCCACCTCCAGGCAAGGGGAAAGCCCGCGGGAATTAATACCTCTCACCCGACACCACGAAGCTTGGACACCACACCTCATAATGATTTACGACTTGTTTTACGCGCCTCGCATTTACAAGATCCTCGCTTAATATATATTGTTCAATTATCTCACGACTCTCCTTAAATATGTTCGAATACGACTCACGATTCACGATTTCGCTATGATGATTCTGTATGAATACTAGCGCCGACGATCCTTTATAGATGATACCCCCACAGTCCTTTTAGATAGATACCCACGGTCCTTACTAGACACCGCAGCATATGCATGGAAAATGGCGTTTTTGAGAGCCAGGGAGCTCAGGATATTGGAAAATGATTTACAGGCGTTATAATATAGCGATTATTGTGTAATGCCTCTAGCAGAGCAGCACTGGGGAGGCAACGAGAGTGTAAAGAAATATTTAAAGAAGCTATTACTCCAAATAGAGCCCTGAATTTGTCTTGGTGAATGTACGATGAAATTATATGAAGCTTGCTTTAATCCTCGAAGAATAAGAAATCAATGTCTCGTGGTGGACAGACAAAGCGGCACCAATTTATAGGATGACAAGCGGAGCGAGACATTAAAAGTCGGGTGCCGCTTTGAGTGTTCATCACGAGTGTCAGGGATTCACTTAGCTTCGATCGCGTCTTCTCGGGGTGCCTTGAACATCTGAAGTCTACTTACTAACCTGCAATCCCAAGCACTTGACTTCGATAAAATTTCGAAAATGAGTGGGGGTTGGAATACTAGTATGTAGTTCTTCATCTCAGTTTTGTGCTTTTATCGTTACTGACTCCATAACAGTTGAATCCGATGCGGTTCGTTCAAACGAATCCACTCCCACCTCGCTCGCCCGCTGACACTTTTTAGGGTGTCTTTACCTTCCTGCTGGACAACTTAGGCGTCAAGAACGTGCAATTCGAAGAGCTAATCGCACTCGACGCGGACTTCCTACGACAACTCTCCCCCGTTTACGGCGTCATCTTCCTCTTCAAATACCCTACGGGCGAGAAAGCAAACACAGACGGCACGCCGAAAGACGGACAATACGACTACGCAGCCGCCGAGAATCTTTTCTTCGCCGCACAAACCATACAGAATGCGTGCGGTACACAGGCACTGCTGTCGGTGTTATTGAATAAAGATGGCGAGATTGATGTTGGCACGCAGTTGCGGGAGTTCAAGGACTTCACTTCTGGCTTCCCAGCGGAGTTTAGGGGTGAGGCACTCAGCAACTCGGAGCTGATTAGGGATGTGCATAATAGCTTTGCGAAGAGCAGTCCGTTTGTAGATGAGACGCAGCGGACGGCAACGGATGACGATGATGTGTATCACTTCATTGCGTATACGCCTATTAACGGCATCCTCTACGAACTAGATGGTCTACAGCCTGCGCCGATTGCGCATGGAGGGTGTACGTTTGAGGAGTTTCCAGAGAAGGTTATACCGGTCCTGCAGAGGCGGATTGAGAGGTATCCGGCGAATGAGATTCGGTTTAATCTGCTGGCGATGGTTAGGGATTTGAGGGTTCGGGCGAGGGAGTTTGGGGATCAGGATGCGTTGTATAGGGAGGAGCAGAAGAGGAATGAGTGGCAGTTTGAGAATTCGCTAAGGAGGCATAACTTTGTGGGGTTCGCGGGCGAGGTACTGAAGGGTGTGATTGCGGAGAAGTTGAAGGAGGGCCCCGAGGCTTATGGGAAGTGGATTCAAGATGCAAAGGACAAGACTAAGCAGAGGAGTGAGGAACAAAAGAAGAAAGGGGGTGCGGCGGACGAGGACGAAGAAATGCTGGGCTCATGATTAGAAAAATGGACTTAACTTCTCAAGAAGAGAAGCTGGATCACGCCGTGTAATGATAGGAGGTCGTAGTGGAGGGGTATGCATGATACGGCTATGGCTTGGGATATGCCAACAACGAAGAAGACGATGATTAAATAGACATCTAATCATAGAAGGTAACTAATATTAGGTTATGAATAAAGGGCTGCTATCATTTACAGCAACCCAATTAAGACTGCTGCAGAAATGCATTGATATCAAAGGGCATTCATTGAAGAACATGGTGACGAGAATAACCCTTTGAAGTTAGGAAAGAGAGAAGATATGTCGACTATGCTCTTCATGGCATATACTCAATGACTACTGGTATGTAAGATACATATCAGCGCATTTTTGCATCTGAAGTAGATTGCAACTTTAGAAGGCTGTGAATAATAACACGGCCAATGAGAACTTCCAATTAGAGGCAATAGACGCTATTCACAAGTACCTAGCCTAGGTACCTGAACTTTGTTTGTTGTTGCAGCTTGCATGTTAATTACTCACCCAGCCTTCATATATTCCTGATACTGTAAGTCTTAAGAATAGTATTAAGAGGTCCTATTTACTGGCGATTTGAGACCCGGAGCATCCGAGCCGGAGGCGCTATGAGAATCCCAATGCGTACAAAGATGCGTTTGCTGAAACTGGCTGAGTGCAATGCAGAGCCAAAGAAGGCATCCGCACGGGTTCCCCGTACTCCCAAGGGAGAGAGGGACACAATCATTTCAAACTTTGCTCGCACCGCATTTGCATGACATTTGCATGACATTTCCATTTCCATTCCATTTCCACTGACGGTACAGTGCAGTATATTCACACCTTCGAAAGTTGTCCCGTCATTGTTGTCACCTGCACTAAGCAGTAGGTAGGTACCTGGGTATACGGACACATTCTGCCGCCACCATCACCTACCATTGTGACGAAGCGAGACCAGAAGACCTCCATCTCCCTCTCCACCAAACATCTAGAACGTTCGCCTTCACCACCATTCTCCCAACAACCATCCTGCCCACGTCTAGGACCATTATTGACCTCGCTGGCCGAGTAAGCTGGACTGCAACACATAAGCCGCATCAAAGACGACTCCACGACCAGCAGGGCTGCGATAAGACCAAAACAAAGATGGAGGACCGCCTGCGGGGGCTGCATACCACTCTCACCACCTCCATCATAGGCCCAACCCCATCATCCTACTTCGAAGATGCGCAGGTAAAGGTACAAGCGCTGTTACGACCGAGTGAAGCCGGCAATGTGCCGGTTCAACAAAGTAGTAACGAGAGTACCGTCAATGGCGTGGTCATTGGACTGCTCAGCTCGTTCGGGAGCGCCTTATTAATTGCATTCATCTTCTTGATAGTGTATTTCTTCAGATATACGAGTAGCGGACGTATCCTGCTGGATCGCATTGGGAGACCCGGAGAGTATGACGATGAGCAGGCGTATGCGAGGGAGGAAGCAGAGGCCCTGGAAGAGATGGATGATTTACAGAGGACGGAATATCTAAGAGCTAAAGGTAGGACTTTTACATATGCGTTCCCTTCCCGTAAATGGTATACTAATTCTCTACCGCGCAGCCTTTATTCAAGCAAATCCACCGGACTCATTACCGACCGATATCTCTCTATCACAATACCTAGCGATCCAGGAGAAGGGTGTGTCAGCATGGGAGTTTGAGCCGGAATTAGAGATTGCGAATTGCTTTGTAGAAGGCCGGACAGAAATCGAGTTTTACGACAGCGAATGTTCCGTTCTTTCGAATCTACCTCTCCCAAAACAAAATGAAGTGTATTACTGGGAGGCCAAGATCTATGATAAGCCCGAAACCTCGTTAATAAGTATAGGAGTGGCTACTAAGCCATACCCTCTATTCAGGTTACCTGGTATGTTAATTGTCTAGGGATATCTCGCATTTATGCTGATACGTCATTTTAGGTTGGCACAAGTATTCCGTTGCATATGTATCCAACGGACAGCGAAGATATAACCAGCCTTTTCATGGACCCAGCTACGGGCCGCTATATGTCCAAGGAGATGTTATCGGCGTTGGATACAGACCACGAACAGGAACGCTATTTTTCACAAGGAACGGCAAGAAATTAGAAGATGTAGCACACGGCCTCAAGTCACAAAATCTCTTCCCAGCAGTTGGAGCGAATGGGCCATGCACAGTACATGTAAACTTCGGGCAATCAGGCTTTGTGTTCATCGAGGCAAATGTAAAGAAGTGGGGTTTAGCGCCCATGACTGGCAGCCTTGCTCCTCCTCCACCATACGGCAGTGAGCAAGGCAGTATTCTTCTCGAAGCAGGACGAGAAGGCGCCCAGAGCAACCAAGGACATTATCCAGATACACGACACGGACGAACAAGAAGTGGGAATTTCCGACACCATCCACCCACGAGCCCAGGTCCAGTTCGCTCACCCACCGACATTTCTTTAGCTCACCTTACACACATTCCTACTAATGAAGATCCTGGAGAGTCGAGCGGCGCAGCTGATACACCGTCAGCTGGTCTTACTACACAAGCCGGTCTGGGCGTTCATGACCCTTCGAACCCGCCACCCGAGTACACGAGTCCACTACCCTCGAATTCGGGAAGTCCTCGAGGGAGCAGCGATAGCGAACGAACACCCATGATAAGGAGAAAGAGCACACCACCTCCAATACCAAGTTACAGCGATGCAGTAGCCGAAGACAGAGCAAGGGAGCGGAGAGAAATTCAACGGGAAAGAGACCAAGAAGACGGTGCTAGTGACTCAAATTCATCATGACGCTGGATGAGATGAGGGCTTGGTATGATAAGGAATGGCTGGTTGGACAGGACTGGTGTTGCGGATCTGATTTAGCGCAGGGGGGCATTCTTTCTTTCGCGAGCAGACAACAAAGTATATGGGGCAGGTGTAAGGCGCATTTGGAGTCTGATAACATCACGCAAGATCAATCAAGGGTGGGGAGGGAGGCTGTTTGAGTGCTTATGGATGGATACTAGGACCAGCTTGGTTCAGGAGTGAGAGTTCCGGGATCGGAGATGTAGCATAGTGGGGACACCCTCTAACACAATACGATATCATATTCTTTTGTTAGATGCGGTTGCATCGAGGTGGTTGTATGAAACTTACATTTGCAATTTCTGCTTGGTGTAAGCACTATTTTCTATCCAGTGGATGGAATTAATGCTGTTTGGAAGTTGCCCCAACCGCTTGTTTTCTTACAGAAGGCTTTTCTGTACAGTTGTTTCCAGAATTGATGAGGAATTCTTCTCAGAATGATCACAACTACGCGAGTGCTAGTTGAAATCCCTTATATGTACGGAGGTACAGCGGTTAAGTATTCGCATGAAGCTGAAAATGCTAAAACGACATACCTTTACAAAGTCGTTACTCTTAGCTTATTTGGGCAGGAAACGTGTTATCAAACAAACAAAGTACCTAAATAGGCTAAGAGAGAGATCGCTACAGGGGGGCACTCTTCTTTGTGCGAATACTTCACCGCTGTACCTCCGTATGTTGGAAAATTTACAGCTGCATCTTACCTGATACAGCAAGTGTCGTCTTCACATATGCTGAACTAGCTCATACTTTCATAATGCTCCTTCCAGAGTTCATTCGGTTACGTTCATGTACGGCAAGAATAGACTGAGAAGAGTAGTTTGAATATGCATTCTAGCATCTAGGTAGTGGGTATTACAATTCTAAGCTCGCGCTTTGTATCCAACTCCAACTCCAACTCCCTCTTCCCAAAACAAGATCCAATTACCCTTTCAGCCTCCAAGTGGCAATACACGACCAAGTTTCCCCCGTATCAGCTTTCCCTATCCTTTTCCTCCGGTTCTTCGAGACCGAAAACCTCAAGATATTGAAAGTCCGAAAGTTCTTTATCAGTATCCTCCAATTCCTCCTCCACCTCCTTCACGTCTTTCCCGTCCTCCTTATTCTCACAAACACTCTCCGTATTAACCCCCATGCCCTTCCACCTACACCTCCCCTTGCACTTCTCACACGTCCTGCACATCTCCGGAAACCCATCTGCCGGATGAATATCCCCCAATATTCCCTTCCCATCACGTACAACCCACAACTCACTAATCCTATTCCTCTCTCCCTCGGGCACGAAAACCGACTCCCTCGAAAGCGGACTGCGTTTGTAAACCCTGGATTGGAAGAAACTGGGTCCGTTCTGCGCGTTGCGTTTCTGCACTTCGATGAGTCGGTTGGTGATGTGGGGCATGGGCTTAATAATGTTTACTGGCTGTTTTCGTTGTTTTTGTAGTGGGGATCCGAATGCGACTTCGGGTGGTGAAGAAGAAGAATATGATGAGGAATCTGATGAGGATGATGAGGACGATGATGAGGAGGAGGAATCGGGGTGTGCGTCCCAGGGCTCGGGGCTTGCAGCTGCGTCGAATACGATGGGATCTGTGTCTATATCCATGCTGTCGCCCCAGAAGGCGGGGTCTATGGAAAGGTCGAAGTCAGGTGGTGTGGTTGTCGTGCTTGGTGTGTTTTGAGTGGATGAGGTGATGGAGGAGATTCGAGACAAGAACTCCGCATCAGCGTCCTGGTCTGAGTATGCTGTTGTTGATGATGCTGATGATGGGCTATCTTGGTCGCTGTAAGTGTCGAAGTCGATGAATTCCATTATCTGTTCATCTATGATGTCTGTTTCCAATGCTATGTATCCGACGGAACCGTAGGGAGGAGCTTCTTTACTCTCAGGAGTGCCTATCATTAATGGATTCAGTTCCCATTTCCGCCTGTGCAGCTTTTCGAACATTGATTTCATGAGCGCCGACATTTTGAGTTTTCTTTTCCTGCTCTTGGTACCGTTATACCGATTGCTTCTACTTTCTTGGACTAGATGGATTGTTGATGGGTAGTTCTGGTTATGATGGATGGTTGTGCTTGATAGTCGATGAATTGATCAAGCGTATAGATAGATATGTATTCGATTGATACCTTTTTGTTCTTCTGGTAGAGAAATAAAAATTCAGGGGGGGGTTTTTTTGAGAACAGAATGTGGGAATGTCTTATTTTACAGTGTAGGGCCCCCTTCCAGCCCATCTTGAATTGGGAATTTTCAAATGCTTAGTTGGTGCGTTCCTACTTCTGACGTACTGCTGAACCAAAGAAATGTGACAGCGGGAGCTTGACCGGACTAGTTGTTGGGACCCGGGGTTTTGGGGATTATCCTATCATGGTGGCAGATTATCACATTGGAACCGATGTTACAAGTGAAGGTAGTTACTTCACTAGCGACTTCTTGGGGGTGTGGATGATGTAAGTACTGGAGAGTAAACTCTTGTTGGGATATATCTTTATATTTAGATTTGAGATGTGCGTGCTGTATGTACAAGTAAAGATATATGCCTATACAACACTTGAGAGGGGGTTTTCTTTTTGATGGGATGAATAAACGCATCTATTGCTTCCGACCTACTTGAACTAGTCATACGACGGACTCTATTACTAGAGCTAATCAAATCAGCAGAGCGAGAGCGTTTCTTCCTACTACGCAAGCTAACTTTTCGAAGGCGTAAAGGAAAGAGCGATCGAGCGATTCTGTGTTCTATGAAAAGGAAGCGTTCAGTGAAAATGTCTCTCGCGCAGCAGTTGCGTGCGTCTCATCCATCCTATTACAGCATGAGAAACGCGCTGCTTTTTAAGATAAGAGCCAAACAGTTTTCCTTTGCTTAGTGCATATATTATCTCTCAGGATTGAGGGAAGCTTACCTATTATCACAGGGCAGTACTACCCTACCGTACTTCTAAACGGCACGATCACTAGGCTACATCTAGACCCACTCTTGTTCCTGATGAAGTAAGTCTATTGCATTATACATCCTTGGTGCTTTCCTTACTTACCACCGCCTCTTGCTCACTCAAGCCCACAACACAGGTAGGTGACTTCACCTCGATTGCGTAGCATGATAGATATATCGCCCCTCTTGGCAATTGTAAGTTCTTACAGTAGCCGCAGAACTCGTGGTGTGGTGTGGTATGGTCAACCTTGATATCAATATCTAAAGCCTACCTATCTAGGTAATCTTTGTTCCCTTTCCCCGACCCAAATATAGACGTACAAACAAGTTCCCCGGCCCCACATGCAATAAACTAACCCTACCTCCATACAACTCCAGCCCCATGCTCAAAAGCACCACCCACAGACTCCAAATTGACCCCCTAAAAGTACAACGCATCTCCAAACTTCGGCACGATAAACTCGCACCCCAGCTGTTCCTCACTCTCCCAATCGAGTAATTCCTGTAAAATGAGATCTCCGATCGCCGGGCCATCATCTAGTTTCTCCTTCGTGTGAATGACCACTACTTTTATACCTCTCAACAGCAGCTCTCCTTGGCCGCGCATTGAATGCTCCTGACTTGCCGCTGCCGCGCCATCACTCTGTTCCTCGATACCATCCGCCTGCGTGACTTCGAACTCGAAGCTCCTGCGGCTGGTGCGTGTCAACGGGCTGACGGGGGAATCTTTGCTGAGGGAAGTTCTGGTTGAGCGTTGACGTAATTCGTTGCGCTCACTAATTCGCTTCCGCTTCTTCTTTTCTTTGGCTCGGCCGTTGTATGAGTGGACCTGAGCTACCAACGACTTCAGCTCCTCGATCAAGTACCTCGGTGCCAGGTGGCCGAAAAGGGTGTCTTCGGATCGGGAATCGTCGTACGAGCATTCGATGAATATGGCGCCAAGCTGTCCGGCTACTACTTTTGGTGCTGCTTCGCTCCATACTTGCTTGTTGCGCGGTGACAGGGAAATGGAATCTGGCTCGACATCTCCAAAAATGAGAACCTCTCGGCCAGAGGCAATATCGCGGATGAAGTATGCTGAGCTATCGTACACGCAGACTCGATCATAAGGGTCAGTTCTCAACACATCTGCCGGTGACAAAATCCTACCGGAGCTTGACCTGGTTGATAGTTCCATCTGAGAGATTGAGGTAGGTCCTAGTCGTGGTGAGCCTTCGGGAAGCCCAGCATTGGAGCCTCGGTGACTATGTTTCTCAATACAGTGACCATGACTGACGCTCCAAGTCTTCACGCTTAGCCCCTCGCATATCTCCATGTATCCTTTACCTTCACCATCACCCATAGCTGGAGAGCCACCTTCAACAAGTCGCATGTAAGTAACTAAACCCGCCCCGTTGTTTTCATCGGACAGATTTGGCCATATAACGTTGTTGAAAATGTGTTCTTTAAACGCATTGATAGTCGACGGCAATCCAGCAAGGCGTTTTGGGCGAGTCCCCGGCAATGACGAAGTATTTATCACAAAGCCAGAGATATGATCCAGATGCGGATGGGTGATCAGATAGGCATCAACTATTGTACGTACAATATACCCGGCATTGGCGGAAGCTGAAAAGTTGGGTAACTTGAGGCCTTTGAAAGGGCCCTCTGTCAATGTATGCGGCAGCTCATCTGCATCATGGGAGGTTTTGGCGGGCAAATGCTTTTCGAGGATCCTGGTAATGGCGGCTAGATGGGTTCCTGCATCAACTGCAAGCAAGGATCCTCTGGACCATTTGGTAGCCGTTGAACGCACCAGGAAAGAGGTTGTATTATCCTCTCTGGGTCCGCCGCCACAACCCTGCAAGCAACAGCGTCAGTTGATGATTGCAAAACAGAGCATATCCCCGAAGAAAGAAGAAGAATGAAATAGAAAAGGTATTTGTTCTGGCGAAGACACACGTGACCATCAGCAAGTGGCAGCAAAAGCTCATGCCACATCGTGAGATCGACAAGGCCGAGAAGGCCTAGGTACGAAGGAACAATGCTATTGCTAGGGACGTTGGCTTGGCTTTGTCCCCAAGGACAAGCAAGTAGACAAAGGCGAAGCGTCCCTCCCATCCATCATCCATCCCGCACGTACCGGTACCAGTATTCAATATAGACAAGCATATCGGCATTGCATTCTTGCTTACCAGAACAATAACCTGCATCTTCGGCTCATCCACTTCCCTAGTCGAGCCCATGTCCGCAGTCTCACTCTCTCACCCGCTCTCTCTCTCTCTCTCTCTCTCTCTCTCTCACAGTACGGGTGGGTCGGTACTCTATTGCAAGCAGGATGCCGCGGTCTGAGATGCGCGTCTCGAGGCTTGAGCGTACGCAGCCTCCCGAAGTGTTGTGTAACGTATACTGGAATGAGACCCCCGCGCAGCTGACCGATAATCTATTTGGCTGGAGATGCGCACGTGACGTTGATTCTTATTTCCGTCTTTTGTCATTCAACCTTACCTAGTAACCTTACCCGCAAGGTCCATCCCAACCTTACCTCCTCCTTTCCCAGAAGGAAGAAAACAAACAACCTCGAAGGAGCTGAAGGAATGTACGTATGCTTATGTGTTCACTTCAATCCCCAATTCTCATTCCACCTTCTTTTTATTGTTATTATGCCGCTTTTGGGAGACGCTACGGTTGCAAAATGCATGACTCAATAGTCACCTCGACGCCAGTGAAATGGATCGAAGCTACAAGTCATTATCGAGTTGAATTATATACATCACGACTCGTCCATTCCATGAATATACTGTTTATCTTCATTTTTCTATCTCGCCGATTTATCGACCAGCCAGGTTCATATGCATTATTGCATCTTGCTTCCAATCATCATTTTCCTCGTCCGCATTGAGAACTCGTAAGCCCCCCGTTGGATGCTGACTAGGCAAGCTCCATAAGTCACCTGCCCTCCCTTCGACTGGCGGTATATCCGATTCAGAGGTTTCCCCTGGTTTGGGCCCAACTCGAGGTGGCCCAGTATCCATCTTTTCGAAGCCAGGAATGGTAAAATCTTCGCCTAGACCAGGGAATTTGCTCGTCTCTGAATTGTAGTTATCACTCGGAAGCTCAAAGCGCTTCCGATTGTCTGTTGGCGTATCGTCGCTTTTCATTGATGCGTGGTTTTCTTCTCTTGGCGACCCCGTGATCGAGTCGTCGTAATTATGGGCTGGCATTTCGCTGATGCCTGTGGGTAGCGGAGCAAAACTATTTTGAGACTGTACTCGCTCACGCTCATATTCGCGTTCTTCCAATATTTGGGGAGCTGGCTCGACGTTCCGTAAGCTGCTTGCAATCGCCGTTCCGTTTCGAAGACTTGCAACGCCACTGCGAGGTTCCATTGTTTCCGTGACGTCTGAAAGGGCAGCATCGGCATCTCTGATTCCAAACTGTGCCATGGTGCGCATCTTACGAGTAACCCAGCTGGCCAGGATCTTTCCTCGCTGCTTTTCGCCAAGCCTCGATCGCGGGAAATCGCCCTTATTGACAAATGCAACAATGTCGACTACGATTTGATGCTCATTAAGAATCGCATTCACAATAACAGGGACGATGGAGGCTAAGTAGGCTTTCCTCCCAACCTCGACCAGGACAACAATAAGCCCACCTGCTTGGAACACAGCACTGTGAAGATATTAGTGACACTCGGAGATTATTCAAAGCTGACTTACGATCCTCCAGGGACAATGTTTCGGTGGCATTTTTCAATAGAATCCTCAATATCCATGGGGAAATGGCTCAACCCATTGATCTCGAACGTCTCGCCAATGTTCCCTAACACGAACAAGACTTGCATATCAACCTGAGCGCCATTGGGGCCAATGGGCCTGCTAACATTATACAGGAAACCAAGGTCTCCAGTACGCACATACTGAACATTTGGGTCACCATCGATCGTTCTGCCATCAAATCTTTCGGAATCGAACAAATCTTTTGAACCGTAAAAGGCTTTGACGCAAGCTTCAGAATCCACCCAGATTTCACCATACTCGCCGTCGTGACATAGACCACGACTTTCTGGGTTTACAATTGCAATCTGAGTAGAGACGGGTACCATACCCGAGTCTTGAACTAGTAGAGATTTGGGATCTGAGTCTGGATCAGAAGAGTAGATCAGTCCTCGTCTTAATGCTTGCCTATCGAGCCAAAGCTCAATTGGTTCGATGCACATGTACGACCGGGATGCAATCATAGGGTTGAGAACGTGGGAATAGATGGTGTTGATAGCTGTGGGATCAAGGCCTGTCGATGCAAAGTGCATACGGACCTTCTGGAATACATCCACACGAGGTCGGCCCTCCGCAGATATCATCATGTTCTTCAGCTCGTGCAACGTGAAGCCCTTTCCTGGCATTATTGCCATCGCATAATCCAGCATTTGAGGCGTTGCATATGTGTCCTTGATCTTATATCTCGATAAAGTCAAGAACAGGGATATTGGATTCTGAGCGAACTCCACTGGTGATACGAGATATGTAGGCGCACCAACAAACACGCCCATGAGACATGTATGAATGAAGCCCAAGCCACTCGTACTTCGGACGCAGCCCAAAACTGGTCTCGAACTTGTCATCTGGCAAGTCTCTTTCTGCACTTTGCACATGCCCATGATCGTATCGTGACCGAGTTGAACGGCTATTCGCCGCTGGTCTGGAGTCCAGTATGTCCATACAATGACTGGATAGCCAGGTGCAACCCAAGATGGCTGCATAGTCAAGCCAAGGTCCCGACATCCATTGTTTTGCTTCGGAGGCTTCGTGGTATTATATACGCTTGGCACTGCAACTTTCAGCACTTGAGCCGACTGCTTTACATGTTGCGACACAATCTTTTGCTTGAGGAGGTGGTCAACTTCTTGGTTTACCAGCACAGCTTTGACTCTATAGTCTCCAACCATATGTAGAAATGCTGGTGCGTCTTCGTTTAAGCGATTCTGGTCTAGCGGGGCCATTGGGATTGCCGTAGCTCCTAAGCAGAAGCAAGCATGCGTGGCGTAGACAAAGTCCTCGGAATGTGTGTACATGAGTATCAAGTGATCTCCGGCACGGATCTTAACTTTGTTTCTCAGATACATAGCCACGGCAGCAACCTTGGTATCAAACTTCTTCCAGGTGATTCCTTTGCCTTCTCTGCCTTTGCCGTCGATAGTGCAATAGGAAAGCTCATCAGCTTGTCGGGCAACTCTCCATTGCAACAAGTCGACAATACTCGTAAAGTTGTTCAGTGGAGTTGACGTGCGATCGTCGATCACAACTTCGCGGCGATCGATACCTGAGTACTGCTTGTCACCAGGAGATAGAAGATCCTCTCGTGTTTGAGACGCAAGTGGTGACCAAATACCACCAATGGGATCCACACCAATAGGAAGGTTCAAAACTGCCCGTTCGACGCCAAATTTGACGTGAACGCAAGGTAAATTCCCAAGGTCAAACTCCCGTCGGCATAACATATTCCCAATCTCCCGGCGCCCATTCTTTAAGACTTTCGGGAGTGTATTCGGAGCCGTGATCATCACGCAATAGACTCTCAGATGATGCTCTTGCATCAAAACTTCCATACAGCGTTCTGATAAGGAGTCGAGCAATGCGGTGTCTAGCTGGCGAGGAGGCCCTCCCGAAGTCGCCGGGGCCGTTGAAGCAGACTGTGACTCTAGAAGCACTATTGGTAGATGTTCGTCATTGACGAAAACGTCGAAAGCGGAGCAGTCATAGATTTTTGGCACGTTCTTCATGATGCTCACAATGATGTGCTGCACAAAGAAGTACCGGTGCTCTGCGACTTCATGACCATGTTCAACCCACTCAACTTTCTGCCTCAACCGATCCTCGTATAAGCCTAGGACAAAGATTTTGCCTTCGATCACCGTCCCTAATAAGCCTGTTCGTAGGAATTCTGGCTCAACCATCATAGGGGTAGGGTCTCCTTGCTCAAATTTGTACGGCCTCGCATGAAAGATCTGTTCTGTGTGTTTTGGCAATGCCCAAAACCCCCCAGAGAGAGACGGGGAGTCAACCCAGATCTCCCCCACAGAATGCGGTGATGCCAACAGACCAGTTTCGGGGTCGACGACAGCTAGGGTGGCGTCAGGAATTGGAAAGCCGAAGGCCCCAACCCGCACTGTCCCGGGTTCGCTACTGGCTTTCTTACGTGCTTCGTCACCGATAGCAACAACAACCACCTCGTTCGTCTTCAATGCCTCACGATCTAGTAAGACTTCGCTTAATTCCGTTCTCACTTGCTGCTCAGTCGGAGCCGTAGTACCGCCTCCGATCAGACTACCGAAAGCTTCGCCAGGAGATTCGTCTTTCTCTTGTTTCTTCTCCTCTATTGAATCGGCGTCACCGTTTATATCAAGCTTGAGAGGGCAACCCATCCTCTCTTCTCCTCCCAGCCAATCGCGCATACTGATAACCATGCCACCATGCTCCGGAAGACAAAGCATGGGTGCTACCAATTCCCGCGCTCTTGGATTTCGCATTGGTCGAAGCCATCTATCGGCAAGTACCTCATGAAATTCGCTATCGACGGTGAGGGTGTCTATCAAACATAACTTGACCTTTTGGAAGTTTGGTTCAATTCCTTTCTTGAAGTTTCGTGTTGTCATGGGATCTTGCTGGTAATTGTACGCAGCTCTCTTCAGACCGGGATAATCTGCTAGCATCAAAGTCGCGTTATGCTTGGTAATGAGGTAAGCGTAGAGACCGGGTGTCTCGACGGCTTTATTCTCCATCCAGACAGTGGTATGACCGCCATAGACTGTTAATAAGACACCCAGAATCATACCAATGCCTTGCCGTGGATCGAGATATGACAGTAGAGTTTCGCCACGGCTATTCCCACCAGCCATGAGCCTACCATTCTTATCCCTTAAGCGTGAGTTGAATGTGTCGCCTCCGGTATTAGATGGCACGGTTGAAATGATGGCGCTTAGGCACGCCATTTGATGCATGATGGTCCGATGGCTCATAACAACACCGCGCAGATCCCCAGTTGGAGCGCGCGAAAACTCAATATATGCAAGATCCGGAACAGTCAGAGGTGGTGCTTCATCCTTCTTCTTGGGATGAAAACTTCCGAATTCATTCGTTTTCCACCATTCTACCCCACGCGGCCAATTGAGCTTTTGTGTGGTGATGTCCCTTTGGAACGCTTTGAGGTTATTATCGGTAGTCAGGGCAAGGTGCGCTTGTGTTGAGGTAAGTATTACATTGAGCTTCGCGTAGTCTTCGAGATCATTTATAGGGACAGCAACTACCCCTGCAATGAAGCAACCGAGCATCGCAATCGCAAAGTCAATGATCTCGGTATCCCGGTATATCAACGCAACTCTGTCGCCGCGATATAAAGAACTTTTGTCTCGAATCACCTGAGCAACCTTTTCGGCTCTACTCGTCAGTTTGTCCCAAGTAATTGAGGCAATTTCTTTTCCCTTGCCATCCAGTATCCAGTAGGCTGACGCTTTCGGGGTAGCTTTACTTCGATGTCTTAGAACTGCGGCAATATTGTCGAATTTAGACATAGGTATATTTGCATCATGTGGATCGTAGACGGCGAATGGGACATCTCGAGGTTCTAACGGCATCTGATATTCCAAAGCCGCGGGAGGGGGGAGATCGCTCGTTGTCAACATCGGTGGTGCCGTAGCCGCTGTGGGAGAAAAAGCATCGCTAGACGAGTACCTGTGTGGTCCCCCGCCATATGAGTCCCGTGCGCCATTGTCATATGCTTGTTGGCCAGCAAAATCAGAGAAATAGCCTTGCTGTGACTCTCCTAGCATTGTTCCGTGCGAATCCATCATTGTTCCAGCCTGGCTTTCATAGGGATCCCCTGTTTGTTCTGTGTACCCAATTTGATGCGCCGGATTGAAGGCATAGTTGGTCGTTCCTGATGCCATCGAGCCCATTGTCATGCTAGGTTCGGCAGACCTATCTCCAGGTGTAGGTAAGAATAGAGAGTCGCGGCCATAGGATGACTGTCTCTGAACGGGGTTTGCATTGTGAATTCCAAGCCGTAATTCTTTGGGCCTTCCACCTTGGGCAAATCCACCTTCTTGGGCCCGATTATTTCCAAAACTACCAAAGTCGCTCGCCATTGTATCTAATCGACCCGAGCTTAATCTGTTTGTCGGCTGGGAGGGTGCGTCTAATCTCTGGTCGTACTGTTCGCTTAAGCCCCTCGAATTCGAGTTGAGGGCAGCCAGTGAGGCGCTGCGAGAGCCATCATTCAGGGGATGTGCAGTATTATCAGGAGAATGTATGCGCAAGCCTTTCAATTCTGCGGTGGCTGCTGATGGGCCAAGGAACTGCGATAGGAGGATGGTCCGTCGTTTTTGGTAACTGTATAATTAACATCAGATGCAGTCGTATATATATGCGTGGAAAGGCACGGTATTATGCCTTAGCATAGTGCATATAGGGAGACCCATACCCTTTCTCTGTGATGTCTCCTTCCTACATGGCGCAAGTCAGCTCAGCTCAGCTCAACTCTAATGGCCAATATCAAAACTTAAGTGCTGCCATATAACGTCACAGTACAGTGTCGCACGCGACAAGACTCGAAGCATTTTATGCCTTGATCGGAAAGGCTGAAACTAACCTCCAGTTCATGTTCGAGCTCCTGCAGTTTCTCCTGCAGTTCTGGGTTGCTCGTTGTCATATTGAGGGTGCGGTTGTAAGCCCGGACTTGCTCGGCCTGTCTGTCCTGTCCCTCCCTCTTATAGTGGCTTAAGGAGGATGGAGGATGTCGCGAACAAAGGGAACCACGGGCATAAGTCCAAGGATTTGCAGATTGAAATGGGTATCAGGATGATCGCCAGAGCGGTGGGCAAAGATCATCATTTGGGCATGATTCTGAAATTGAAGCCAAAGTGCGTATTCTTCTTCTGTTCTGTACAAACAGCCCAGGATTGTGTCGTCTGCTCCAAACCAACCTAAGGTCTGAACATTGAAGATCGTCGTCAGTCACGTGAATGGCTCCTCTTAGGCCAAGTATTTTTGGTTTGGTCATCCCCGCCCCGCTACCTTACTCTACTGTACGGTGGTATTCCGCTTTGCTTTCCTTTGCTCCGCTCTCTACTATAGTCTGTCGTTTTTATATCGAACGGTCTGACTTATGCCTTTCCAACAAACTAACCATACACATGTACAATACCTCAGGTAACCTACCAAATGCGATTGCTAGGCGTGAGATTGTCAATGTTAACGAGCTTCAAAATTTGGCCATGCCTGGGCAGAGCCTTTATGGCAAAAATGCCCCGAGGCACAATACAGGAGGTAGGTAGGTTTGAGGTTGCACTAGAACATACCAGAAGGTCGCTGCGAGCAATGTTATGCCATCCGATGTTTGGGAGCGCACATTCAACGTGTCTGCAAGTTTTATGTTTTGTGGCCTGGTAGGTCCTACAACCTCTCTCGTCTTTCCTACTAGCAAAAACTCGGGATAGAGCTCCACTATTCCTATTCCTATTCCTATTCCTATACCTATTACTGTTACTATTACTATTACATGCTGCCTCTTACAAAGAATCGGGCTGATTTCTCCGTTCTATGAAAGAAAAGACTCTCGTGAGGCACATGTGGGCGTCCTTTGTTAGCTCCCCCAGCGTATTACACTTACATTTGTCAATGTAAGTTGCCTACTTTCACCACTCCTCTCCAACCGTTTCCATGACAGAAAGATGATGAGGAAACCGACATTATCACAGACCTGCTCCGAATCTCCCCGTCGGCGTCTATACTGGTGGTGGCATTTGGATCTCTTGGAGACCTGCTGAGCTGGCCCAATACAAAAGTACGAGTTTCATAAGTTGGAAACTTCGCATGCAAGCTAACACTTGCAAACAGGAACGATTGAGGCGTTTTGGGGGGAAATGTCTCCCTGGGATGTAGATGCTTCTCAGAATCCAGTCTCAAGATTCGGGGAGGGTTGTCGGTTTGAGAAGATTAGGCTACCGCTGTGAGCGGTGGCGGTTCCAGAGCTCCTTTATCAAGAAGCCCTAACGGATTTTCTTCTTTCTTAGCACATTATGGACCCATTATCGAGAAGAGGATGAACCCATCACAAGAACCCTTCAAATGAAGGCTTCTTTATTCTATTTACGAATCTCGAGAGATGGACAATGGCTCATTGTTCCTGCTTTGTTCCCATCGACGACTTCTCTCTGTCAATACTAGGCTCGTTGTTCAAACTCTTTCACATAACAGAAGAGGAACAATAGTACATATTCGATCTTTATCACTTCTCATCCACTGTCAATGGGCCTTTGCTCTTCGCTCTTGCTTTGTTAGACTCGGGGACTCGAACAAAGACTGTTTTACCTATAAGAGCATAACAATTCCTATTGTTAACAGGCATACGTTTCATATCTTATATACCTTCAAACTATCACGACTGGATCGTGACTTTACAACCTTTCAACTTCTAATCTTCACTCATTATATTACTAGCTCAGCAGTGTTACTAGACTCAGTCATTATGATGGATCATTTTGATTTTGAAGAAATCGACATTGTTATGTCCGGTAAGGATCAAAACAGACTTTCGAACAAGGAACAGAACGAATACAACTTTGACGATTTCGGTGCTGATCTTGAACAGCAAAAGGAATACGATGCCTTTACTGAGATCAGTCTCGTCGAACTCAACCACCTCCAGGAACTCCAAAGCAGTCTGTCAAACGATAACTTGTTCACGGATGCACCTGCAAATTCTCAGACACAAAGCAACCCAAACCTTTTTGAGCCATCCCTCAATAATCATATCGGCGCAGCTGATTATTTGGAACATAACCAGCCCATAATGCAATTTCCACAGCACGCTCCTCCGCCTGTTCAACCGCAAATGCAGTCAAACTACGCCAATATGTATCCACAGTCCCTTGCTCCTGGGTATGGTGTACCACCGCAACTAGTTTCTAATCAGGCGAACTGGTCTTTACAGCAGCCCATTGCTCGAGGTGTCTATCGCAATGCTATTCTGAATCGCATGCCGAATGCCGACCGGGCACTTCAAGTTATCGACCAGTCTCTATTTCCACTCCCAGACGTGGTTCGAAGCGCGCTCGAGATTGAAATTTCACGCCAAAAGGACGAAGAGACTGCTCGCCTCCTGCAAGATGCAACGAAACACAAACCATCTGCAGTGGAAGAAAAATCACGTCCTCGGAAGACGGACATCAAGCCTTTGAAAGGAAGCAAAAACAAGCGATCGGCCAACATTCGAAGCATCAACCCAGACGAGTGGTACAAAACTATTCCACAGAAGCCTGCATCTTGGGGCTCAATCAATCCAGAGACTGGGGGGAAGACCTTTCAGTACTCTGCCGAGGGTGAACTGACACCCGGAGTTACCTATACTGTTGAACAGATCCTCGAATATCTCGGACAGCATCATCTTCACACTCGGTTCGGAACGAATGGAGGAGAAATTGACACTCATAAGTCGACGCTCAAGCTCTGGATCCAAAAGGCGCCTGCAGATAGCGCGCACCGATACCCCACGGCAGTTTCTAGTAAATGCCGCTTTGAGGACTGCCCAAAAGACAACAACACGATCACGAAAGGTGAAACTCGAGTTTGCTTTGACGAGATCAAGTCCGATGACTATGAATTCACCCCGAACCCGTTTCACAATGCTGGGTACGTCCATCTCTACTGCCTCGAACACTTCTTGGACTTCCCGGATCTCTGCAAGAAACTCAATGTCTTGCCTGATACTCGCCAGCTTCTCGAGGGAAAGAACCCCATGGCTATCAACAAAGACGAAGCTTCACAGGCGAGGATTGTCAAGGACTTCGTCAAGAAGTCAAAGCCTTGGAATCAGTTCGACGAATCCGGCTTTCGCCCAGCGACGTATTACGACTACACTCTCAACTGTCTGATCGCCCTAGAGCATCTGAATAGCCAGTCCAATGGGGTCCAACAGGTTCGCAAAAGACGAGAGGGTAATAGCCTCGACGTACACTTGGGTAACCTGCATACATATGCTGAGAATGTTAAGATCATGAAAGAGATGAGGATGTCTGCTAGGGATAGTGTTAAAGCTCATGGGGGCGCTTCATCATCCTCATCAAAACGCAAGCGCTTGATTTCTCCCCTGTCTGAAGAGGATAAGCAAGATGTTCTCGATGACGATATCCTGCAGATGGAAGCCCGGCCCATGAAAAAGACCAAACAGTCCTGAGAACATGGTATGTTGTTCCTTTCATCCCAAAGAGCTAAGTTGTCTTTCCTTTTTTCTATCAAGTCTTATAGTACTGCATTTTAGCGTTGCATACAAGTAAGTATATTGAGCTGGTCTCAATTGCAATAATTAATATCATATTAAACCAACACCGTATATTTATTCGCTCGAAATTGGTGATTTACGTGACTATGTGACTCAGATCGAATTCCATTCTTCATCGTCACTGAAACCCAATATTCCAAATTGGTTCTCAAACCCCAAACCCAATCTCCTCCCATCCCTATACTCATACTCCAACAACCCATTTCTATCCCTCGGGTCTGGATATGAAAAAGATCGGACACCGCAAATGACTTATTCTTAACACTGAAGACTTCTGGTCCTACCACTCATCAAAAACAGCAACATCTAAGTGCCCTGTAATAGAAGGGCCGTGTAGAAGCCGATCAGCAGCTGTGTTCAAATGCGGCTGGTGCGCACAGGTTTTCTGGCCCGTTTGGAAGCGGAGGATGCTTTCATCCACTGCAGTAATTTTGGGAGTCAGCGTTGTCTTACGAACAAAGTTCTCGAAGTTTTCAACGACCGACATCTCATGGGAGAATTGAACCCTCCCAACCCCTCCCCACAAAAGTTGGTTCGAGTAAGCGACATATGCTGGGAGGAGTACATATGTGGTAGTGTTAGTGTTCTGAGTCTGTAAAGAGGGCTGAAGGGGTGGACGAAAAGGCGCGTCGCGACTGCAAACCCACACGGCCCAGCGCCGATGATTACCACGTCGTAAATGTGTGGTTCTTCTTCTGCTATTGTGGATGTAAGTAATCAAAGGGAAAGTAAACAAATTGTAATAGAATCATAGTCTCTTAAGACAGATTGACGTTGGTCATAAAAGCCTACCTTGATGGCGGAGTCCCCTTTCCCACACCCATCTAGGTACATACCCACGAGGAAACATATTTACAAACTGCAGATCAATAGAAGACTGAACATGATGTTATCTGAATTTGATTGGTACACCTATGTATTTTGTACAGGGTTCTATCAGCAAGTGAAAGGGGCTTTCTTTTTACATACCCACCCTCTAACCCAAACTCAGGATTCATCCACCCATCCAAGTTTTTCACCCATCTTGACTTTCTGCCCTTTCTCAACAGCCCAATGCCACCCTCCTTTCATCTTTGTCTTCTCTCCCATCCATCCTTCATCAAGACTGGGTCTTTGTCCTTTCGGCGCCTCAAAGACTAGCACAACAGTACTTCCTAATTGGAAACCGCCCATTTCTTCTCCTCTCTTCAATGCGTGACCATGTAATACTGGACTTGCAGCCTCATAAGTAGCTTCCGAAAATCCACTATATGGCTCGCCTCGTGCAGCAGCTTCTTCAGCGGCTCGATCAGCTGCCGTATCGGTCGTCAAAGAATTTGTGCGTAATTCTCGATCAAAATTGACTTTGATGGAGCCAACATTTGTGGCACCGACTGGTGTGAAAGAGAAGAAACCCCATCGCCATCGTCCTAGAAGAACCACTCGCTCGTTAAGCGTGAACAATCCAGGCATTGTTCGTTGTAAGTAAGGTGAGACACTATATAGCTCTCCGGCGAAATGTCGTCGTTTCTCCACAACCCAGGCCGCTGGGGAATGGAAACGATGGTAATCACCTGGCGCAAGATATACGACAACGTAATAGAGTGCGGTTTGGTGCTCCGAGGTGAGACGTGTGTACCAAGGGCGTTCGCCCAGAGCCAGGTCAGCTCGAACCTCAGCCTCTGAAGCTGCTTTTGGGGTTGTAGAAGCATCACTAGTTTTTTTGTCCGATTGCTTTTGCGGTGATCCAGATAAGAGATTAGGTAAAGTGTATTTGATACCGTTGACTGTTGCGAATTCTTCATCTTGCTTTATGACATCTTCGTTGCCTTCTCTATAGGATGATGTGCTTTGATTCGGCACACCGTCGCTCTTCGGCGCGAATATGCTTGAGGGATTGTTTGGATTGGGTGAAGTGTCTGGTTTGTCGGTCCCTAGAAGGGCATCCAGACTGTAAGTCATGCCCTTTACTTGTTCAACCTCGCCGCTTTCGATTTTGCCAAACTGGAGAACTCGTCCGTCGGCTGGAGAGAGAAGGGCGTTTGAATCAGGGTCGAGTGGTCGTACACCCGGTTTCAGGGTTCGATAGAAAAATGATGCCAGATTGGGGTATACGTGAAGATCAGGTTCTGACACTTCTGAGAGACTGGAGAGATTTAGTAAAACCCTTGTGTAATTTAAAGATAGGTATGCTATACTTTACGCCGAAAATATAAGAGTATAATTTGAAACCAGGAACTCGCAAATAGTATGGTATCTCTAACTCATTGAATTTGCCCCATATTCTTGAGATAGCTTTCAAAGGTAACGTAGACATGACCTGGACCTGCCTAGAAAACGCATCAGCTGTACTATCCAGAGGAAAATTATGTCCGGTACGAACCAAGGGCCAGTCGGCCTTATCCTTTCACGCCTCTTGGGCCTTTCTTCCGACCCAGGCCCATTAATCCGGTCCCCCTCCCATTTGCTCTTCAAATATGTATCGTTTTCCCATTCGTCCTGGCGCCTGGCCTTTTCTCGCTCATTAATCCGGTAGAACTGAACAAGACCAAGGAACCCAATGCCTACTCCTACTGGGATAGGATACCATTTGATCTTTGTTTTACCCAGGGCTCTGCGTAAACGTGTCCCAAACGAGTCCTTGTATTCTGGCTTCTGTCGACAGAGTTTGGCTGACGAGGAGAAGCCCCGGGGGGTTTGATAGTGACACAGGTGTTTTGTTTGTGAGGGGGCTAATGGGAGTCGATTTAGACCTCGGACTTGGAAGGCTGTATGTGGCCTCGCACGCCTTGCTATTGATTGGGTTGCCATTGGAAATAAATTCGACATGGAATATCTACAGCTAGATGTAATTTGTGATCCATAGAGAAAAGAAAATCATTAGTTGCAAAACGCAGCTTCACATTATGACGATAGAAAGCTGTGCTGTTTCTGGGTTGAGCGGCAAAACTATTCTTCCGAGAATCCACTAGCTGTGCCGTTGTCGTTCACCTCAGGCCATTTTTAACTCGACGACTTCAGTGAGCTACACAGCTCAAGAAGTACAAAATGCGGCCTTCTTCTTCTTCGTACACCTGCCGGAGGTGTCTCCAGGTGCTGGGCAATGCAAGAGCAGGTTCGCAGACCAGCTTTTTAGCTTCACGACTGGCATTGAGGCGGAGGACGATATCGACCAAGAATGGAGCGGGACTCAATGGAAGTGAACAATTGGGGGTTCGGCCAGCTCGAAAAGCGATGGAGAAAAGGATGGTGTCCTCGGAAGCAAGACCGTTATTGATGCCAAACAACCTCTTCCACCCTTTCTCGGAGTCTCCTTCCCCAGAGATAAGACGTCGAGCAGCCTTCATCAAGCAAAATGCTTTCTGTCCTCACCCCGACCATCGTCAGTCCCGACTTCCAATGAACCCTGAGGACCCCGAAGCCCGAAAGTCTAGTGAAGGAGGATTAGCACCCGCGCATGTCAGTTTCGAATGTCCGGATTGTGGAATACCAGTATCATGTTCTGAGGATCATTGGGCGGACGATTACGAGTCTCACCTGGAAATATGCGATACACTTAGGGAAATCAATGAAGATGACCATGATCTACGGTCAGGACGTTTCTTCCCAGAGTTTGACTACCCTGAAATGCAAATGGAAGAAGCTATGATCAATATGACGAACTGGGATACTTTTCTCTACACGAGAGATTTCAGAGCTATCGATGATGAAAGGAGTCTACGGCAGGCTACTAGGCTCTTAACATATCCTGTCACTATTGGAAGTGTGTTGCATGAATTGAGCCCTTACACAATAAAGCAAAAGGGCAGATTAACCGTGGAGGGGTTGAAAAGTCTAAGTGGTAGGTCTTGGTAATTTTCAATGTATGAGCTTCTTGCTAATATGTTGCAGCTTTACGATACTCTCTTCACCCACCTCGAGATGGAGCAGGCTCTGGTATAAAAGGTCTTAGACCAACGCCGCCACCAATGCGCATCTTCATCTTGGGTGCTCGTGCGGAATCTTCACTTCCCAGAGAAGTTTGGATTCAATTGACGCATCTATTCCCTCGAGTTGCTTTCCATCTCGTATTCGTTGGCCCGGAAAGCATGGCTAATAGAGACGCGGAATTTCCACTTCCTGAAAGAACGCCTAGCAACCCTTACGGTGCTATCGTAGAGGGTCGTATCACGAGTTCCTTGAAAATCAGCACGTTTGTCGAGTATTATCACACCTTGCACAAAGCTGGTCATTTTCACCCATATGACCCATACTTTGACTGCTTCATGCTGTTCCATCCAGGTCTTGGACATCCTGCAAGTTCTCATGAATGGCAGGAAACCATACCACAATTACTAGAGACCAAGGTGCCTATTCTTGTAACTGGATACACACAGTATGACATGGAACGGGATATCGAATGGGTGAAGAAGACAGTGGGTGGTGAGATGGATATGTTGATGGAACCAGGAGAGAATCGTTTCCGAAGCTTGAGGTGGGATCTTAATGACTTGGATCCCCAGGACATCAGCTGTGGAAACTGGGGGGTTTGGGGGTTCAGAGGCAAGAGGTATGCCATATCGCTGCACATGTCCTCCATAATATGCTAACGATTTACAGATACGAGACTACGAGGAAAGATGCTGAGGAGTAGATGCTCTATATAATGAGTGAAGAGAGGCCTCCGTACTCAGGGCCACAAAATGTTGTTTAAACTGTACAATGTGTGGAAATATGTATATACTGTATACTAAGCTTCCTAGTCGCTGATTCTAGGAACTGATCTTAGAGGAGTCTAGAATTTGTTTGTATCCAAATCCAACTCTTGAACTGCAGGGGGTGGTTTCACGGCACTTTTGACCACGTGGTAGCAGACTAACATTCTCGATATTGTTTATAATCTCTGATCATCCTCATGACTAACCACCCATCTATATGATCATCAGAACTTCTAGCTTGCAGAAACCACATTATTTTTATGCAACGCTAGATACACTTTCACTCATGACGACCACTGGCACCTTACATGATATAGCTGAGAACAAGGACCATAGCCTTGCATCTAACAATGAACTCGTCGCTATAGCAGAGCATCACTAAACGATGAATGGAAGAGGCGGCTATAGAGGAACAAATGTCTGATTCCCATGTTTTCCAAACAACTAGCTAGTTGCATATACGACACATCTGCTGGAGTGGCAACAATTCATGGAGCACAGACGGAGCAAGGGAGTAACGCAGGCCGAGGTCTGGATAGTATAATAGCTCAACCTCACAAGGTTCGCACGGAAAAATGATAATAGAAGCCTACTAATGTCCAAGTCTACCTATGCGTCTATCAAGAAAGGTATCATCAAACAAAAATGGCCAACTCAATGTGGAGATGGACTCGAATAATCAGTCTGTTTGTTGTAAGGGCAAAAATTTGAACATAGCGCAAACGAAGTCAAACCCATATAGATTAGTAGGATGTTTTTTTTGGGGAAGATCTGGTACGCATAACGGAACGTGAGCATTCAAAAGGAGAAAGTTTCAATTCCAGGAATCTGGCCCCTCTCCCCCCCTTTGCCCCTTAGCAAGCGACTAGCGAGCCTCGGCAAACCTCACTATGTGTAAACAAATCTACCAGATTAACCAAGCGTTCTATCCATTCTCAAGGCTAAGATAAAATAAAGAAAGTCAGCCCTTTGCGAGGGGGGAAGGCTTGGGGAAAGGACTGGAAGTGAAAATGCCGTCTTACAGCAAAGTTAAAATTGAAAAGGATGGGGAACGGTCCTTCGGGGAAACCCCATTGAGAAACTCCAGTAGGAACCTTTGCTTGGGGAAAATTCGAGCCCGCCGGCGAGTGAGGTGAGCGAAATCAGTATCTTGTTTCCACACATACAAAGCAAAAGGAAATGCCACCATACATGCATAAACTCCCTACACGCCTTCCAAATTTGCCCAAGTCCCCTGAATCCACAGCATCATAGTACTAGTAATAATCTCATCAAAGCTATACGCATACTCATCACTAATCGCATACATAAGCACCCAGATCCACCCCGCGAAGCCGACGGGCGTATCTGACATGGCCTGGCCGATGGCGAGGGGGTTTTGCGTCTGGATGGTATCGTAGGCGGAATGCGAGCCGAACCATGCCTGGATCGATGCGATGTACGCGTTCTCCTCTGCTGTCTTCTGGTTCTGCACTTGCCGTGCGAGATCCGTGGCGTTAGATCGCGCGATGTAGAAGTCGGAAAAGTGACCGATAAGATTGGAACTAACCGCGTCCACCATCCACATGCCTACCCACCACCCAAGATCCGTACTCACGATACCGTACTTAGGATAGTCTAGCTTGCATATGAGAGGATCGAATACCAGGCCCATTTGGCGTGGTCCTAGACCGGAGTATGCGGGTGCGGGACTAAAGCCAAAGGCAGGCAGGTCGGGGGCAACGACGTGGAAGCGTTAAGTTGTATAATCGGCGGGAGACAGAAGTGGAGTGATGACTTTGAACCACTCGAGGTGAGAAGAAGGCCAGCCATGGAGGAGAATTGGCATAGCGTCTTCGTCGTCTGAACGCTCATGGACGAAATGAAGCGGGACTTCGTGCTGGTATTCTGAGCCATTGGGAGAAGGGATAATAACGGCGCAGTGAGAGAAATTTGCGTTGATCTCATTCTCGGTGTTGAACCAGTTGTAGTGCTATATCCGCTATCCCTATCAAGAAAAGAAGACAAAGACAAACGATTATTTGCTATAGGTCCACAGCAGCGAAATCAGTTTCCTTCTCAGGTCTCACATTGGGTATAACAGCTCGAAATCGTTAAGGTAGTGCTTTTACAGACTCGTTTTATTCACAGATATAGAAAAATATCACGCTAGGTAGAGGTTCCCACCGCTTTCCGTTTCAAGATTTCGAGTTATAAATTGACATGAATAGAACAGCCACCGTCCTTGACAAAGAGGAAAATGCGGATCAAAAATTGCGGTCCGCCCTATGCAATGGCAAAGGCAGTTACGGTATTCATTTGAATGACTTCATGCAATGACCAGGGTAGTACAAAGCTAATCACTAAAAGTATCCACAGTTCTTATCCAATTTCCATAGCATTCGACTGTATATTCGTCTTTGACAGCAATACACTTCCCAGCCACATGAGTTGAAGTGCTTCCTGCGAACGCGGATATAACAACATTAGAGGTACGAAGTATCTATACCTTTGTAGAATAAAAGATTCTCTGGGTTTGCTTGTACATCACACACGGGTGCTATCTTTATTGTGATAGGTATAGATGCGTAAACGCGTAGTTTGCGAGATAAGTTCGACCATTACGCATTCTCAACTGCTTTTTATACACAACAAAACATCTTGTCACGAACTGTTTGACTAATAAATGTAATGCGGAATGAAAGGCTCTCAACACTGGTGAATAAATACACGAGAGATATTTTAGCAGCGTAGGTACTTAGCTATAAAAAAACTCACTTCTTTAATGGAACGTGCTCCAAGATCGACGAAGAAAAAGAAGCTGATACAAGACTGTTGGTGGCAGAGAAGAGGCACGCGGTACTGGTAGAACACATGTAAGCTCGGGAAACAATTGCCATGGAAAGATGGAGTTGCCGTTGCAGAAATGAAGTTGATAATGAATTGCAAAAACTGCGATTCAAATGAATGAACGAACTTCAAAATCTGACAGCAAAGAAACACCTGACGCACACCCTCAACCCGACGAAAACCATCGTTCACTCCACGCTTAATAGAAACACCAATCTTGACTTAATATCGTCTTCCATTCTGACACCGTATTCCCCACCCAGACGAACCACAGCAGAAAGAAATTCCAAGCGCACTTTGCCCATGTTTCGCAGCTGTAACCGGTTTCCTGTTGACTATGGTTACCAAGACCAGAGCATCATTATATAGAAGTCCCAGACAGCCCGGTCTGCTGACCAAGTGAAGTGAAGTGAGTGGGGTAGGATGATCATTCACTCGATCAATCAACCTGCCTAGCATTAGCAGTAAAGTATGCGGTGAATCAAGACCTGATATCCTTTCCTCAAGTCACGGTAATTTATATGGGCATAAAACCCCCCGCTCAATCCTTCCCATGAACGTCCTGCAACAACCCCGAGAACGATGACAAATCCGAATGTGTCGTGCAGTAACCCCCTTAAGATGGAAACTCTCAAACAGAAGTCCGGCGATACGCATCCTGGTAATAGTCAATATGTCCAATCCACAACCGACGCATCTCCCCCCCTATAAAGACATACTTGTACTTAGTACATGCACATATATCAGAAGAGGTGAAGCAAAGCCAGTCTTTTCCTCCAATTGGGCTCTCTTTTGATGAAGCAGCGGTTATTGCCCGTTCAATGCTGGGATACGGTTTGCCTTTTATAGAGCGAGAGCGAGAGATGGGAGCTTAGGATGGACTCATGCTGCGAAAAGAGGATGGGAAGGAGGGAGGGGAGGAAGGAGCCAGGGACCCACTTGGGAGTCACCACACTTGGGCTCACCACCATTCACACATATACACACAATCCAATATTGAGTGAGAACAGTGTAACGAGCAATAACTCTAATTGCAATTGCAATTACCACACCACGCTATTCGGGCACAATGGCTTCTGCCAACCGTTCTCCGTGTTTCCAAACTCCTATCAATGCCACACAATACGGTATCAATTTATAATCTCTCCGTGATTGATTCCAGACCTCACGCCTTGCAACATACAAAAGAAGAAAAAGAAGCCCCCATACTGCCATCGCCAAATTTATCCGCCGATTTCCGATTTCCCTGCCCAACTGACAATATGTGCATTAAAAGAAAGTACTTGGTCCGTCGGCCAGAAGGGAACGAAATTGAAATGTTGCTTTTGTAATCTTGTACTGATTGTACGAATGCTAACGCCCCCCGTGAATCAGACAAGTAATGGAGAATTGGAAAGTGCTTCAGTAGCGATTAACACTCGTAGAGCTCATTTCAGCGCGCTTCATAGGAGGAGGTGGCGGTGGCTTCTTTGCACGGCTCGGTGGCGGAGGAGGCGGGCCTTTACGTCCATTTGAAGCGTTGGTAAGGGTCGATTGGGGAGTCGTTCGGCTGGCTACACTACTACCATGAGAGGTCGCGGGACTGACAGAACGGGCTCCGTATGATCGATCAGGACTATTGCTGTTGAGTGTGGAGTCATCTGATGGATCGCCAAAGAGTTCTGAGTTTGTATTGACTCGGGCTGAAGGTCGTAGCTGTGCTCGCATGGTACCGACATTGGGGGGGACAGAATTCTGGCGGGTTTCAGAGACGGGGATTTCTCGGTAGATGGCAGTAGGTCCTTGGAATGTGGATGCACGGGTGATGTTGGCTCGGCGTCCAGGAGAATCGGCTTGGGAGTATTCGTCAGGGACGTCCAATCGATTGTCCTGCCGTCCTCCTGAAGGAACACGGGATTGAGAGCGAATAGCTTGTCTGACTGGTTCTGGCTCTGGCATTGGAGGAGCTTCCTCATACCTTTCATTGTAGGAGTGCGCAGTGTTGGAACGAGAACGTGGGTTTGGTCGTCTCTGGTCACGGTGTGAGGAGGTTTGTCTAAAAGATGTTAATACTGTCAAAGATGGGTGCCCGCGATTCTTACCCAGCAGGCCAGTCTCTCTTCAAACGGAGCAGCTCGTCTCGGCATTTATCGTAGTATTCAAGCTCTGCCTCCAGGAACTCTCCAAGATCGGCAACGCTATCTGCTTCCGCTTCCTTGATATCCTGCATACGCCGCAAGACATCCTCACTTGACTCCTCATACTTAGCTTTCTGAGACCGAAGCTCCTCCTCGGTTCTGAAATCTTCCTTCTTGGCTTTCTGCATCTTCGAAAGGGAGGCGTCATATGCAAGTCGTCGGTTTTCAAGCTTCTTCCGGGCAGCCTGCATAACTTAGCTTTTGAAGTCATCCCTGCCTTCAATACACATACCTGGTACTCCTTCATCATTGCCAGAGATCGTTCCAATGATTCGAGCCATCCATTTGTAGCTGTCACAACGTACGTCTCCTGAGATCGTGCAATTTTCTCGTTTGCTCTGCCCATGCCTACATCCAGTTAATAATATCCTTGTAACCGTAGCCATTATACGCACTGATGAGACAGTTTCCAAACTCCGAGTCAGGTTCAAAGTCCTCGCCATGATGTATCATTGTTTGACCCAGGTATCCAACCGGTAGGATCTTCTCTTTGTCTTCGACTTCGTTGCGTTTAGAGAGGGACTTGACGTAGGTGGTCATGGATCTGTGGAGCTTCTGCATGCCTGGCAGATGTTAGTTGTGTACGGCGTAAAACATCTGAAGACGTACCATCTTGTCTAAGATCCATCTCCAGCTCCAAATCCTTGAACTCATCAGACACGTTGGTCTTGATCTCCCCGCCCATCTTCTCCCCAGCCCATTGCTTGACCCTCCCGAGCTTCTTGTTGATATTCATATTGGCGGACGTGCGTGTGTATTGTGTGGTATTGGAGGTGAAATTGTAGGGAAATCGTGGAGTTTGTGATTCTGGGTTTGTGGGGTTGTGTTGCTATTGTTGTCTGTTCAAGACTCCAATGTGGATTTATCCGCGAGGACAATGATTGTTGGGTCTCGAAGAATGCTAGGCTGGGAAAGTACCAGAAGCGACAGTGTGTTGGGATGAACCGGAAGTGGGAGGAAACTGAACTGTAGAGCCCAAGCCAAGTCAATTGAATTGGGAGCTACAGTAGCCAAGAAAGAGCGTGATATGGATCCCGGTAGAGGACGTGGACGGTGAAGGGAATGATGCGTCTTGTTGGTTGCGGAGCGGTGGTGGCTTTCTGGACTGTATCCGCTTTGTAGTCTGGCAGAATGCAAGATAAGGTAAAGAGTGTGGGATATGGGGGGGCCGGCTGGAATGTACAGGTGGGATGTACAAGTACAGACTGGGTGATGAAAGGAGGCAATTCTAGAGGAAGAAGGGGAAAGAAAGGAGAAGGGACGTCGAATTGATGCGGAATACTGGAGTACTAGTAGAAGGTGCGACTCTGGTTGGAATGGAAATGGTTTGGTTTGAAATGGGATGCTTTTTCCTTACCAGCCGATGAGGAACTGGTCTGGTGGGAAGGGTCGAGGAACGCCACAAAAGCCTATTCTCCTTCCCCTGTCTTGGCTTCCTGTCTGAATTGAAGGCCGGGTGATAAAAAGATAAACGGCTGATCCTACAGATCTTCCCTTCATCGACACATCAAAATGCTTAATACATCTATTTACTCTATATTTCCTGCAGTGTCCAGTTATTAAACCTTATTCACCCAATCAATCTAGCCCTTCAGCTCGACTACTACTACTGGCGCCCGAACCCAATGAAACATAGGTCACTTCCCCCCCTTCCTACTGTTGGAATAGTCTCAACGATTGGCGGGGCCGCCATCGATAAATCTTACGCGTCAAAAAATATGTGAGCACGCGCGGAGTACCATACCATCGGATCTAGGTTCGCGACTCGCCCTCCCTCGCCATGCATTATGCACGCTGTAACACGGTCTTCTAAAAGTCCTGGTTCCGACCACAAGAATTCATTGACAGATCCTCCATATGAAACACGTCGTATGCGTTGTTTTGTGGGTACAGTATGTACTGTATATCCTTTCACAAGAGCCGCCCAGTTTCATCTTTTAGGCTTCGGGACTTACCTTTGACGTTCGACCGGCGTCTCCTTAGAGTCAGGTCAGGTACCGCTGAGATTTATTGGACTAGAATTCCCCTACCGAACATAAGCTATTGATATCGTTCTCGTAGAGGAGGATGAAGAGGATTGATTCGAATGCCAAATACGATCTTCTAATCAGCATTAGCTTGTTGTAGAGGAATACGGGATTCTAAGGATTGAGATACGTGCGATGCCGTTCCCGAGAAAATAGGGGGTGGGGTAAGAATGAGGCTGTGCTATGCTACAGTAGCCGGAGAGACCGGGAGTGATACGGTATCACCTCAGAACTTGCAGTTGTCGAAAGAATAATCCGAACCAAGAGTTATTTATATACATAAAGTTTTCAAACCGCTTCCTTTAGACCTTTCCAAAAGGTCTTGTTTAGTTGGGTTGTGGCGACCGGCTAATTTGGGAGGGACAAAAAAGGGAAAGGGGAGAGGTCGCCGACACCGACGCCACCTTCCTAAACCATAATTATTATCAATGAAGTGATACTCTTTTCCTCAGTCATTATTATTCATATAGCCTCATATTTATGAGGATTTGGTACAGCATTCATACAAGGGTTTCATTGATCAAGACAACTATAAGGAGGAAAGCTAAAAGTACAAAACTCGAAAGTTGGGAATAACCTCAAAAGCACAGGCCACTCTCTTAGCGAGCCTCTAGCGCCCTCTACTATACGTGACAATTCTATTACTCAGTACCATTATATGCTTTCCTTGCTATATTCTTACCTTATTAAAAGGTAGTGACATACCTATCACACCGAATTCCACCACCGCCCAAGTTGAAAGATAAAAATCATACACATAAAAAGCAAATAGAATCTAAACTACTAAACTACAATAAAAAAGATTTGGTCAGGATACCCTTAAGAAAGCTTAACAATTGAAAAGTTCTCAAAAACCTAAACCAGTACACCATTACACATTTGATGTATTTTGCAATTCCTTTCATCCAATTATATATACCCTTCACACCTTTGTCCACGGCTTAGTGAATCATATGCGCGGGGCGGCCGCCGCTCTTGTTTAAGAGGTAGGCAAAAGTTCCAGAAATCGCGAAGTGCAACAAAGACTTTGTAATTTCTTATTTGGGACGTCTTTTTATTAGATAATTCACAGTGGATGACTGGCCAGCGCTGTGAAGTGAATGACTGCTTGTATAAATGGAAGTCAGCACTGCCTCGTAGCATACCCCTTTAAATTCTTTAAGCGAAGGAAGACAAGGAGGGACTTCAGTCCACATAAACCGTTGTCTGGCTTTCTCTTATATTGCGCAGAAAAGTCGATAGTCTTTGGCATATATACTAATCATGGATAACTTAATACGATATGTTTCTATAAGATCTACTTCAAGTTCACAACGACGACAATGCCGTTGGTCACTTGTGCCTATTCTTCGCCGAGAATCGTCGAGTAAATATAAGTGACTGCTACTAACTTCTCCCCTAAAATCACATCTCAGAAACCCTACCTTTATTTTCTTCTTCAGATCTATAAATCACCGCAAACATCTCCCAACCTTTATATTTACATACAATGTCTGCAACTCTGCTTCCTTCCTAGTGTGGAGAAAGAAACCAAATCCCGACTTTGCAAAGTGTTAGTTCCACTTTCTCGAATGCTTAAGCCGGTTGCATATTCAGCATAACTTGCAGTTATGTTCGTTTGATATGTAGCTGTTGTTATGGTTTCTTCGGCGCCGTCGATGGCACTCACCTTTCCCATCACCTCTTCTACTGGCCCAAGTACCCAGTCCATGTTTCTGGTCCTTTCTCCAACGAAAGCGATCTCATCAAAGGTTTTGCTGCGAAGTCACGCTTGAATGCTGAGGACAATGACCGTATTTCGTACCTGGCCAATTTCTATGAAGAACAGCTCATGGTTTCTCTGGCAGTTGAAGGCAGAGCGCCAGTTTTCACCCATTGCGATTTGCAGCGGAAGAATATTCTGGTTGAGGAGGTGCAAGGGACGGCCAAAGACGAAAAGGACTTCCGCATCTCGTTGGTTGATTGGGAATCGGCGGGCTGGTATCCTGTGTACTGGGAGTACTTCGTTGCCTTTATCTCGCTCAAATGGGACGACGATTGGTGCAGCAAGTTTGCGCAGGCTGTCGATGCGTGGCCAGCTGAAGCTGGTATGATGAAGATAGTATATCAGGATTTGTGGCTGTGAGGAGCTTTGCCTGTGAAGAAAGACCTACTAGGTATGAGAGGATGATGTATGATATGAAGGAATGGAGAAGTTTAAGAGAATGCTACGAGATTTATAACTTGGCAAGTTATCCCGTTGAAACAACGTTTTCGCACTGCTCTTGCAATTAGCGGATCCGTAAACCTTTTAGACATATAGTGTTATTGCAAACCTGCTTCTGTCTGGAGTATGATATTGGCGCTGGTGCAGATGGTGATATACCCTACCCTTCAATATTTGGTCGGTGATCTAGCTGCACGGTTGGAGAGGAATAAAAGTGATCTCAATTAACGTATGAATATCCTCTCGTGGATTGACGTGTAAAGGATTCTTCGGATAGGAACTCTTTATTATTTTCGGGACTAGAGGAAAAGGAAAACATGATATTTGGAAGTCACAAACTCCTCCCAGAAAACGCGAAATGCAATAACAAATCATTAAGCCAACTTGAGCCGAAGTTAGACATAACATTTGAGAAACACGTGCATGTAAGCTGTTAGAGGCTATGAACGCTTTACGAGAAAGCTTTGTGGGGCCTGAACTTCAGTTCTGGGATCAATTGATCTTCCGAGTTCGAGATATAAGGCCTGTTAGGAACCGGTGTCCCACTTTTCAATATGTCGTTGCCGATACGTTAGAAGAACCCGTGCCATGTTTCGAGTACATGGAACCACATCGAAAGCGTCGGGGCTGTTGTCATAAATCAGTTGCTAACCAATTATCCAGGACACTGCAAGGTGAGTGGCATCTCCTATAACCAGTCCCCCATCGACGAGAAGCGGACAGGCTTTCCTCGGATAACCATCCACATGCAGAACGCAGGACTAGAAACATGGCGTAATTTGTGATTCTTCCATATGTACAATGCTTTCTTGAAGCCCACTCATCGCCTAGTGATGCTCCTCGCCGTGACCTCCCTCCGCGTGTCCATGATGATCGTCCTTCAGAAAAAGGTATTCGTACCCGCAGTACGCCGCAAATGCCACTGTCGCAATGCCCAAGCCGGGGAAGCTGCCCTTAAACCGGTTCCATCTTGTAAAGGGTCCAGTGTATCTCCACGCCTCTCTGTACACAACAGGTCAGCACCAAGTTATATGATCCAATTCCGTTCCCCCGCAGTAATGCAATTACTCACGCTCGTGCCCATGGGTCGTTTTTAGGTGTGCCAGCTGCCGCTGCGAAAGCTTTGGGATCGAAGCCCGTGAGGTTTGGTCGAGGCGCTCTCCGGACACTGACGGATTAGTTATTAGCAATTGATATCACAATAAACACAGATGGAACATTGGACATGCCATACCTAGTGAAACGCATCTTGATTTCCAATACGCAAGGCTGTAGTTGAATGAGGAGAGTGAAGCTTCCCTATCGACTGAGGTTCAATTGCTTGGCGGCGCTAGTCCCTAAAATGGACCTAGCCTTGGCGCGGTATCACTTGAAAGCATCCAGCGCCAGCCCTGCGAGCATCAACACCCTCCATAACAAATTCACATCTACAATACGAATACTCCCACAATAGGAAGATTTGTAATCAAGTCCCTACGCACACCTCAAGATACAGCATACAGTCTGCCAACCAAGGTTCAGACACAACTTCCCCCACCACGCGCTTCACACTGCGCCCATGAAAACCGTACACCTCCCTCGATCTTTCTGGACTAGCACACATAGCACACAGAGACAGAATGCCTCCGCCGAATATGCGCCTCGGTGCCGCGCAAAATAGCTATGGCTCTCAATATCAGTACGGAAACCATCCCCAGCATGGAGCTAACAATATGGCTCCTCCCCTTGGGTCCAATCCGGGATTTATGAACGCCAATTCCATGAACAACCCTTTCGCGGGCGCGAACTCGCTGGGGGTGGGAAACTTTGGAGGCGCTGGTTTAGGAATACCTGGAGGAACTGGTCTGGCAAGTCAGGCTGCGCAAATGAGCTTTGCGGGTGCCTCGATGCAACAACAAGGACACAATGGGATGGGCGATCCCGGAGCGAGGGGGCAAGTAAACAAGGGAGGCAGGATACGGGAGGTATGGAAAGGGAACTTGCATGAGGAGATGGCCATTCTACGAGACCTCGTGCAACACTATCCATACATTGCAATGGTGAGGACAGTTGCTTGGTGGGGAGGTTGACATAACTGACATCATCTCAGGATACTGAGTTTCCTGGAGTTGTCGCTCGGCCCATGGGAGCTTTCAATGGAAAGAGCGATTATCACTATCAATGCCTACGGTGTAACGTGGACCTTCTCAAAATTATACAATTGGGTATAACATTGTTCAATGAGGAAGGAGAATCCCCACCAGCGACAATAGATAGGGATGATTTGTCTGTATCGTCTGGAGGAAGAAAATACGGCCCGCAACCAGTCCCTTGTACTTGGCAGTTCAACTTCAAATTTTCACTGACTGACGACATGTACTCGGAGGTATCCATTGAAGCTTTGAAGCAAGCCGGGCTCGACTTTGCAAAACTTGACACAAATGGAATCGACCCTTTTGAATTCGGTGCGCTGTTAATAAGCTCCGGGCTCGTGTGTGAAGAGGATGTGCGATGGATATCATTCCATGGCGGCTACGATTTCGGCTATCTTACCAAGGTTCTCCTCCGATTACCTCTGCCGGACGACGAGGTGGAATTTGACAAGTTCATGAAGAAATTCTTTCCCAGCATCTACGATATCAAATTCCTCATGAAGCACGCGATAAGACAAACCCAAATGGGCCAACTAACGCCTCTAGACCCCGGAAGTGCCGAAATACTCCGTGCATTCGAGCAAAAGCAAGGATTGGAGAATACGGGAGAAATTTTCAAGATCAAGAGACAAGGACAGGCGCACCAGGCAGGATCGGACTCGTTGATGACGGGAAAGGTCTTTTTCAAGATGCGGGAAAGGATCTTCAACGGCGAGATCAGTGATGACCATTTGGGCAAAGTGTGGGGTCTCGGGCTACCAGAGCACAACACTCACTCAACTCCTCAACATTACCACCAACAATTACAAGAAAATTCCACACCTACGCAGAACGGGACGGGATACACCAACGGCACACCAAGCACACCCAATACGGGGAATGCAGGTCTTGTCAGCACACCAGCACATAATAATGCTGGAGGAATAGGACCATTGACGCCTGGAGGTGGGGGAGGGGTGTTCGGCTCGTTTCACTTTGGCAAGCAGTAAATAGGGGTTTATGCCTCTCAGTAATTCACAGTCGAAAATAGTCCTTGGATTAGGCAGGTGGTCTTTTCGGAGTTTATGTGGCGTGCTGACTGTAATGTGCTTGGCTGGAGTTGGGACGTTTTGTGTGTTGGGTGTGTAAATTATGGAAATATAGAGCCTCTGATTATGAATATTGGCTAAAGATGAAGAGTTTGATAGCACTTTTGGTACGTATGTGTTGTGTACCTCCGTAAGCGCGTTGCATGTGTTGAAGTGGTGAAGCTGCCGTGATAGTAGTGGGGTAACAACGTCATGCGGGGCAATTCTGTAATCAGCTCACCTCACTTGATACTTTTTTCCATTTAAAGTAGATCCATAATACTTTGACACTATATTACATGTAAGTTTGTAATCGGATCGGTCGGACGGATATATACCAAGTCGGAAGACAAACTCACGCATTTCAGTTTCACGTCTGTCAACGTTTAAAAGCGCCTCCCTCCTTGCAACTCACTACCTAAGGTACATACCTATAGTAGTACCAAATACCTCCCTTCCACCAACCAACATAACAGTCTCTCATCTCAACTCACCTCAACCAACCAACCAACCAACCAACCAACAAACATGACACCACGCATCCTCCTCCTCGGCGGCCACGGCAAAATCTCCTTGCTCATGACCCCTAAACTCCTCGCGCGCTCCTGGAACCTCACATCCGTGATCCGCGACCCAGCCCAAAAAGCTGCTATCCAGGAAGCAGGGAAAGCAGGTCCTGGGAAATTAGACGTGCTGGTTGAGAGTCTGGATGAGGTGAAGAGTGAGAGCGACGCAAAGCGTATATTAGATTTGGTGAAGCCGGATTGGGTGATTTGGAGCGCTGGTACACCACTTCCCCTTCCCTTGCCTTGCCTGCCGTCCCGTCACGCCCCGTCCTCTCCCCTAATCCCCAAAATTAAAAGGGGAGGGAGGGGGGTTTATGACGAAATGGAATGTACAATAAATGGAACATTTTGCTAATAGAATTCAAAAACAAATAGGAGCTGGTGGCAAAGGTGGCGCCAGCCGAACAAACGCCATAGACAAAGAAGCCTGCATCCACTTTATCCGCAGCGCGCTCTCCACGCCCACCATCAGCAAGTTCCTGCTCGTAACGGCGCTGTCGGAGCGGCGCCAGCGCGCGCCCTGGTGGGACGACGAGTCCTGGGCGCTGGTGCAGAAGATGAACACCGAGATCCTGCCCGCGTACTATGCAGCGAAGCTGGCTTCGGACGATGTGCTGACGGTGCTGGGGCGCGCGAAGCAGGGCTTTGGGTATATTTTGCTGCGCCCGGGCAGCTTGAGCGATGAGCAGGAGACGGGGAAGGTGGAGTTGGGGAAAACGCGGGCGAAGGGCACGGTTGCGAGGGCGGATGTGGCGGAGGTTGCGGTTAGGTTGTTGGAGAGGGGAGGGGGTGAGGGGTGGTTTGATAGTTTGGGAGGGGAGGAGGAGGTCGGGAAGGCGGTGGAGAGGGTGGTGAGGGAGGGGGTGGATTGTATGGAGGGGGAGGATGTTGAGGTTATGAAGGCGGGTATGTAGGGAGTTGTAGAGAGAGAGAGAAGTTGAAGTGAGAATGGAATTAGTATTTGAATATTTCACAAGAGTTGAGACATTGCTGTGGACTAGTATTCAGTGAAGGTAGCATGACTACGAAATGATTAAGATAAACCTATCTTGTAAACCCAAACACCCCCAGATATACTATAGCAAGGTTGTCTTCAAGCCCCATCATTGGGTAGTCTGAAGGTTGTTTGTTCATCACATCCTTCTATACCGCGCCGAATTGAAAAATGACATTAGACTCATCTTTCAATGGCGTGAACTTGGACCCTTCACACATCGATATCTGCTCTTTCTTCACCCACTCATTTCTAAAAGCCAATGAAATTACACCCCTTACTCCGTAAACCTTCACAACTTAGCTTTCTTTCCCTCCTTCGGCGAGATCTCAATATCCTGCCACTGTAACCCCAAATACTCCCACATAAAATGAAAACTATTTATACTCAAGCATCAGTCAATCAGTCAATCCATTTCTTCCTTTCTTATGCATTCCAATTCAACCGAAAGAGATGATTATTAGCTCCACTCACCTATCACTCCCAAAAAACGGTTCCTCCTTCCCCTCTCCATTCCTGACCCACATCCACGGACTACCAAACGCGCCCTGCTCCAGCACCTTCTGCGTATTAGCCAGCAGCTTACCTTTCCATTCTTTCTAGCCTGCTCCGCTCATGATGGCTGTGACTTCTTGCGGTGACTTCTTGCGGGGTGAATAGGGTGAATTCTGAGAGGACGGTGGCGAGGAGAGCGGGGTTGCTGATGTCGGTTTGGGTGGGGGTGTCCACATGGCGCGGAAGATGAGCAGGTAGATGGCTTCGTAGGTGTGGGCGGGGAAGGCGCATTGGATGTAGCAGAGTGCTCATTGGGCCTTGGGGTGTGAGTAGGATTGCTGATGGATTGGG